TCCATCCGCCTGTCCATGCTGTGTGCATCCTCACCCTGCTGTTTCCACTCCATGCTGCCTCCCTACATCCACCTCCTGTGATCCACCCTCCATGGTTACATCCACCTCCACCACCTCCACCCTCCATGCCTCCCATCCTATACCCTCCTCCCTCCACCTTCTTCCTTAAAGCATCGTACATCCACCCACCATCCCTCCACTTCCACCCTCCACCCTCCCTTATCCATCCACCCTCCATACTCCATATCCATTATCCTCCATCCACCCTCCACCCTCCCTTCCTTTATGAACCTCCATCCACCTCCCTCTTCCTCCTCCACCTGCTCTTCCCTCCATCCACCTCCACTGCCTCCATTCAACCTCCACTGTCTACATCCACCCTCTCCAGCCTCCATCCTCATCCACCTTCCACCATCCACAGCCTCCACCTCCACTTGTCCATCCACCTCCTCCATATGCTTTCATTCCATGTCCATCTTTCTTTTATCCATCCCTCCATGTTTGTCCTACATCAACCTCCATATCATTTGTTACATCAGCCACTCTCATGCCTCCACATGATCATCCACTTGGCCTCCTCCACCTCCACTGCCTCCATCACCTCCATGCCAACCTCCATCAGCCTCCATGTCCATCCAACCTCCATTTTCTACATCCACTGCTGGCCTCATCCACCCTCCGTCCATCAGCCTCCATGGCAACCTCCTGTCCACTCCACTTCCGGCCTCCACTGCCTCCAGCCTCCATGCCTCCTGCATGGCCTCCATGCTTGGCCTCCTACATCCACCACTCCGTCCATCCATGCCAGCCTCCATCCACCCTCCATATTCCATCCGGCCTCCACTTGCTGGCCTCTCCAGCCTCCACCTTCATCCAGCCTCCATGCCAACCTCCTACATCATCATCCATACATCTTTCCATCCATATCCATCCATTTATCCATCATCCATGCCTCCATCCACCTCCATTCCACCCTCCTTGCTGTCTCCATATCCACTTCCATCCTTCCATGTTTCCTCCTGTCTTTTCCTCGGCCTCCATCCTTGTGGCCTCCATGCCTCCATCCATCCTCCCCATGCATTTGTCCACGTGCCACTCCATGCTTGTCCACCCTCCACCGTCCACATCCTCCATATCCATCACCTTCTGTGTCGTGTCCTTGGCCTCCACCCTCCATGTCATTCATCGGGCCTCCTCCATGCTGTCAGTCCATCCATGCTGTCTCCATGTCCGGCCTCCATGTCGTGTCGGACTCCATGTGTGCCTCCATGCGTCCATGCCCGGCCTCCATCCATGTCCAGCCTGCTGTCACCTCCATATCCGGCCTCTTGGTCGTCATCCATCGGCCTCCGCCGGCATCCATCGGCCATCCGCCGTATTTTCCTTCCATCCGGCCATATTTTCCATCCATATCCGGCCGGTCGTCATTCCGCTGGCGATCTATCCAGCCGGCGCCGGGCGTCGTATCGTCGGCGTTCGATCGTCCACCTTCCGCTGGCGTCCATCCGGCTCCGCTGGCCTCTACATCCGCCTCCATCCGCCGTCCATCGTGTCCGGCCACCGGTCCTCCGCCGGCCGGTCGTATCATCGGCGTCGCATCCGCATCCGGCCTCCATCGTCATCCGCCATCCACCCCATCCGTCGTCATCGTCCTCTTCCGTTCCTCTTCGGCGTATCCGCATATCGGCGTCCATGTCGTCGTCCGGTCTCCTCTTCGACCTCTTCAGGCTCGTCGTCGTCCATATGGCCTCCTGCGTCGTCCTCCCTGCGTCCTCTTCCGTCACCTCCGTATCCGGCATCCAGGCATCGTCGTCCATGACCTCGTCAACCTCCATGACCTCTTCGAACATCAGGCTCAAATGTCGTCGTCGTCCATCGTCGTCCTCTACGTCCTCTTCCATCAATCTGATCAATCTCATCAATCCATGGATATGGTCCTCATCGATCGATATTCAACATCAACCTCCCCGTCAATATCCTCAATTCTTCGGTCTAACTCGTGAGAAGCCCTTGCCGATGACTTTATAGAGAAGCACTGTAACAAGTGTTAAAAACACGTACGTCTATTTCGTAGTATGATTACCCATATTTCCCTTTTTTATTACATGCAGGAGTTAAACTGGTTCAGGCTCCATTTGTATAGCGCGCCAAAGTTGCGCCTTATGGTCGCGATATGCGATATGCGGGGCCCAGCTTGACAACATGGGAGGGGCAGCAGCGCATTTTATACGCGAAACTGGTTTGTCGTTCACTCCAGCGATGGAAGGAACATAGGAAGTAGTTCAGGAGTTCGTCTGAGTGTTACAAGTTATCAAAGGTTTGTAGGTATTTATTTCTTTGTCAGGCTTAGAAGCCATGATATGATAGTCCCTTGTCGTTTCACTGCTTCTATACCTACAACGGGTGCCTAACTCGTCACCAATACACAGCCGGTAAACATTTCACACTCAACTCAACATTCTGCAATGGCCGTTTTTGTTTGCTACACTGGGGCACAGACGTCAGTCTTACCTTGAACAAAGACGTATATCATGATATACGTCTTTAGCCCTAACTTTATTTTGTGATATATCGAGGGATATCGATAACGCCTTAAAATCATATGTAAGGAGACTACTGCATGTTTGTGAATAGTGACCACTTTAAAGCGTTGGGATTAGCCTAGGCCTAGGATGTCCTGAATTCAGTAAATCAACACAAAGCGATTTTGTTCGTTTTGCATCGATATTGTTACCACGTGTGACCTGTGACATTGAAACTTTTCAAACACATGACATAGTTTGTAACAACATCTCCTCCTACATCACCCCTCCCATAGAAACCTCCTACATCACCCTCCCATAGCAACCTCCCATCAACCTCCTACATCATACATCTCCTCCCATAGAGCAACGTCCTACATCAACCTCCCATAGCAAATCCTACATCACCCTCCCATACAACTCCTCCTACATCAGCCTCCATATAGAAACATCCCTACATCAACCCTCCCATAGCAAACATCCTCCTACATCATCCTACCTCCCATAGCAACAACTTTCCTACATCAGCCTCCCATATAGCAACCTCCCCTACATCATCATCCCATAGCAACCTCCTACATCACCCTCCCATAGCAACCTCCTACATCACCCTCCCATAGCAAACCTCCTACATCACCCTCCCCATAGCAACCATCCTCCTACATCACATCAGCCCCTCCCATAGCAACCTCCTACATCACCCTCCCATAGCAACCTCCTACATCACCCTCCCATAGCAACGTCCTACATCACCCTCCCATAGCAACCTCCTACATCACCCTCCCATACAACCTCCTCCCTACATCAACCCTCCCCCATAGCAACCTCTCTCCTACATCACCCTCCCATAGCAACCTCCTACATCACCATCCCATAGAAACCTCCTACATCAGCCTCCCATAGCAACCTCCTACATCACCTCCTACCATCCCATAGCAACCTCCTACATCACCCTCCCATAGGGCAGCCTCCTACAACCTCCTCCCTACATCACCCTCCCATAGCAACCTCCTACATCACAGCCTCCCATAGAAACCTCCTACATCAGCCTCCCCATAGAAACGTCCTACACACCACCCTCCCATAGCAACCTCCTACATCACATCACCTCCCATAGCAACCTCCTACATCACCCCCCATACCAACCTCCTACATCAACCTCCTCCCATATCAAACCCTCCTACATCAGCCTCCCATAGCAACCTCCTACATCCCTACATCATCCTCCCATAGCAACCTCCTACATCACCCTCCCATAGCAACCTCCTACATCACCCTCCTACATCACCCTCCCATAGAAACGTCCTACATCAACCTCCCATAGCAACCTCCTACATCACCCTCCCATAGCAACCTCCTACATCACCCTCCCATAGAAACGTCCTACATCAGCCTCCCATAGCAACCTCCTACATCACCCTCCTATAGAAACGTCCTACACTACCCTCCCATAGAAACGTCCTACACCACCCTCCCATAGCAACCTCCTACATCAACCTCCCATAGCAACCTCCTACATCACCCTCCTATAGAAACCTCCTACATCACCCTCCTATAGAAAGCTCCTACATCAGCCTCCCATAGCAACCTCCTACATCATCATCATACATCACCCCCCATATCAACATCCAACATCATCATCCCATAGCAACATCCTACATCCTCTTCCTACATCAACCTTCCATAGCAACCTCCTACATTCCTCTTCCTACATCAACCTCCCATAGCAACCTCCTATATCACCCTCCCATATCAGCATCCAACATCATCATCCCATAGCAACCTCCTATATCCTCTTACTACATCAACCTCCCATAGCAACCTCCTACATCATCCTCCCATATCAACATCCAACATCATCATCCCATAGCATCATCCTCCCATATCAACATCCTACATCATCCTCCCATAGCCTCCTCCTACATCACCCTCCCATATCAACATCCAACATCATCATCCCATAGCAACCTCCTATATCCTCTTACTACATCAACCTCCCATAGCAACCTCCTACATCCTCTTCGAACATCAAACTCAAATATCAACCTCCTACATCATCATCCCATAGCAACCTCCTACATCATCCTCCTACATCCTCTTCCTACATCAACTCCCAAGTCAACTCTCCCACATCAACATCCCACATGAACCTTCATGTAAACCCTCATACGTCGACTCTCCCCCACCAACTTTCCAACATCAACCTCCCCCGTCAACCCTCCTCTCTCTCAATTCTTCGGTCTAACTCGTGAGAAACTCCTGCCGACGACTTTATAAGCCTTGTAACAAACATTAAAAACACGTACACGTCTATTTCGTAGTATGACCCACCCATATTTCCCTTTTTTTATTACATGCAGGAGTTAAACTGGTTCCAGGCTCCATTTGTGCGCGCCAAGTTGCGCCAACTATAGTGCGATATGCGAGACGGGGCCCAGCTTAACATGGGGGGGGGGGCAGCAGCGCATTTTATACGCGAAACTAGTTTGTCATTCACTCCGGCGATACCGGAAGAACATAGGAAGTAGTTCAAGTTCGTCTGAGTGTTGCAAGTTATCAAAGGTTTGTAGGTATTTATTTCTTTGTCAGGCTTGGAAACCATGATATGATAGTCCCTTGTCGTTTCACTGCTTCTGTACCTACAACGGGTGCCTAACTCGTCCTGTACACAGCCGGTAAACATTCACACTCAACTCAACATTCTGCAATGGCCGTTTTGTTGCTACACTGGGGCACAGACGTCAGTCTTACTTTGAACCAAAGACGTATATCATGATATACGTCTTTGCTTCAACATTTTGTGATATATCGAGGGATATCGATAACACTTAAAATCATATGTAAGGATACTACTGCATGTTTGTAGATAGTGACCACTTTTAAGAAGCGTTGGGATTAGCCTAGGCCCTAGGATATCCTGAATTCAGTAAATCAACACAAAGCGATTTTGTTCCGTTTGCATCGATATTGTTACCACGTGTGACCTGTGACATTGAAACTTTTCAAACACATGACAAAGTTTGTAACAACATCCAGATCAGTGGAATTCCCAATCGCACCAACATGAAATAATGTCTGTTTTTTTATTTATCTTCTATACGGATATGACAATCCTTTTGAACGTGTTGAACTTCAGGGTTTACGTCATTTGTAGTATTTACTGCCCAGGTTCCAGTTTAACTAACCAATCATAACACTATGACAGTCGTAACCCCTATAGTTACTTATGAGAGTCCAAGCACTACGATAGCTTGGTGAAACGGGATGGGAACAGGTGAAAAGAGCCAAAGTACAAAAGGGCCAAAATTAAAAAAGTCAAAAGGGCCAAAGAAAAGTCAAAAGGGCCAAAGGAAAGTCAAAAGGGCCATAGACTTAAGTCATAAGAGCCAAACTTTTAGAAAATAGTAAGATTAGAAGAAATTCATTACATGTTGCTTCCTAAACATCTCCAAGTCTCTCAGTGTTGTTTATTTAAAACATCTCAGAGTGCTTAAGTGTTTATTTTATGAGTATAGTCAACCATACAACTGTTTGTGTAATGATTACAAGAGATCACTTAGGACAATTACACTCGTCAGTAATCTAAACAAGACTAACAGTAGTGGTTAAGTGTTTATTTTATGATGTGCATGATGATGTGTGGAGTGATGATGTCTGTAGTGAACTTTAAAGTGTGAATTATGAACATTTGAACCACTATGGTTTGAACATATTTATTTTCTGAAACCTGGGATGGTAAACAATTTGTTACCACATAGGATAGTTTCTAGATCATATCTGTGGATGTAAAATTAGGTATTTTTCTGATTTCACTATATTTAGTACAAGTAATGAAATAATGATATGAATTCTCAATTTGGTGCCCACAAGAGCAGACCGGGTTTTGTGATATATATCTTTGAAATCTGTCCCAGTTAAGATCAAAGTAAACATTACATATTGATTCAAATATAATAAAACATATAAAATATATATTATAGTACTGTCGGAAATAGAAAAAAACTGTTTTTTCACATTTATATCTACAATTTAGGTAGTTAATATGTGAAAGTGTGAAATATCTGTTAAACTAAGTTAAGCCTAACTACAGTCTCAGTGAAAGGGAGATAGGAAATGTTAAAATCCTGGTTGTAACGATTGGCGGATTTTACTGAGGAGAGATTAGTGCAGAAATGAGCAATGCAGTTTTTTCAAAGTCTGAAGCGCACTTATTTGGGGGCAGACCATGGCTTTATGACAAATTAGTGTGCAATGATATTGCATAACAAATGACACTTTTGAATGTCTGTGTTCCACACAAGCAAAAAAACACTTTTGCAATGTCTAATTTGCACAAATTCTTGTGGACATTAGCTTCATAATAAGCGATAGCAGACATAAAAAAATAAAACTTTAATTCTGAAACTATTTCCAGGATATAGATACCATTGAGTCTCACTATCACTATAAAAGAAACAGGCAGGAGGGTTCGTCTCAAAAGTCCCTTTCTTCTTAAAGGCGTGTGTTGCTGACAGTAGTTCTTGCTATTTAGTCGGCTTGGGGATAGACATCATTAGCTACGTGATTAGATAATCAATACAGACATATTCAATACACATGAAATTAAGCATAAAATATATCTGAGATGACCCACGCTGTGTCTGTGGGCAGCATGCGTGCATTTCATGTCAAATGAGTCGCCGGTCCGTTTCGTCATACCTGGCTGGCGACCTAATTGCCATCTATAGTCTCGATCTATTGTTTTCAGCAGCTATTCCTATTTTTTTTCTAAGTTTTGCCCGATTTTACTATTAGAATAGAAGTAAACATGCTTTTCTGGATATCCTAATTCGCATCCCTCTGAGAGGGAGATAGGAAATGTTAAAAAAAAAAGGATTTTACGCCCAAGTTAGGCCATATGGTCTATTTCGACATATGCTATTTGCAATTGTGTCAATTTTAGGGATCAATACAGGATTCAATAACAGCCTAAAGACAGATGACAGCCTAAAGACAGTTTTTTTCTATTTCCGACAGTACTTTAGTTTGTATGTTCTTATTTTAATTTGACCTATGGCCCTTTTGACTTTCCTTTGGCCCTTTTGACTTTTCTTTGGCCCTTTCGACTTTTTCAGTTTTGGCCCTTTTGTCCTTTGGCCCTTTTGACTACAACCCAAACGGGACCCTGCCCTTTAGATTGACCTATTGCATGTCTTCCATTATGGGCATTCTGCGTGACTTTTAACATTCCTTTTTTCCAGATTGCTTAGTGTGCAGAGTTTGTCACAATGTTGGATTATTACTACATGTAAGTAGAACCTTTCATAATGCCGAAATATACTATCATTAAAAATGGTTAATGTGCTCATATTAAGGTATTGATAAATACTACTGCATACATTATTTGACTGATTTGAAATACAGTCGAGCACCATTGTGTCAATCTCTGATAACTCGACATCTCGGTTGTCTCGAGATAACATTGCGGTCCCGGCAAAATCCTTCATAATGTATCATTATTCAAGCTCTTTTAACTCGATACGGATGTCTCGATATTTTGGATATCTCGATATAATTTCACAGTCCCAACAAGCAAAATTACCCTTTTTACTCGATATTTGCAAAGTAACTCGATATTCACCTACCTTTCATGGGCAAGTAGCCCTCTGAACTGAGGTTGTTTCCACAGGTTTCAACACGGTGCGGCATGAATCACAAGGATGCGGTAGTGTAAAATAATTAGGGCTAATTGACTTGAAGGGGTGGCTTGTTTGTTATTTAATTAGGAATAATTAAGGAGGAATTAAGTAGGAAGTACTAACTGTTACGACTAAACACTACTGATAACGGATTATAGTTTCGAAACAACACATACTGAGAATCTAGTGAGGGGTTTGTGTAATTACTGAGTAGCATGTGATTGTTGAGTAGTTTCTAAATTGTTTTGTTTTCTTTCTGACATAGTGATATGTGATTATATGCCCTGGTCGGATGTCTCGAAGTTCGGATAACTCGATATGTTTTCTTGGTCCCATGAATATCGAGACAACGGTGCTCGACTGGAGGGTACAAGATATCTCATCCCACAAACAGGGCGGTGGTTAAAGTGTTCGCTCATCAGGCCAAAGATCTGGGTTTGATTCCCCACATGGGTACAATGTGTGATGCCCATTTCTGGAGTTACCCGCTGTGATACTGCTGAAAAATTGCCAAAAGTGGCATAAAACTGAACTCACTCACTCACCCCGCAAGCAAAGCATCTTTCAGAGTTCTCAGTTCTTTGAACTGAAGTGGATTTTATGAATGTATGAATATAAATGAAAGTCACGCTTTAATTATTATGAATATAGATACATATTACTGAAAACATGATGGCAGAAAAACATGAGTTTACGGTGACATGTTTACTTTTAATACACAGTGTCTCTCTAGTATTTCCCGGTTGGCTATAAATAGCAGAATCTTCACAGTGTCCCTGAGCTTAAATGTCTCTCTAGTATTCCCTGGTTGGCTATAAATAGCAGAATCTATACGGTGCCCCCCATGCTTATATGTCTCTCTCGCTTACCAGCTAACCTTCTTTCTGAAATTTGGGGCGATTGGGGTAGCCTAGTGGTTAAAGCGTTGGCTACCAGCTAGACCTGGGTTCGATTCCCCACATGGGCACAATGTGTTAAGCCCATTTCTGGTGTCCCCCGACGTGATATTGCTGGAATATTGCTAAAAGCGGCGTAAAACTAAACTCAGTCAGTCAGTCAGTCTTTCTGAAATTTGAAAACAAATGATTCAGGATTGTAATACGCCTGGAAAAAGGGAAAGCATATGAGCTTCTGTTAAAGACATACTGTATTACGATGCAAATCATATGGCCCCCATATTATCGGGATACATATTGTATCATGGCCACTGTATTATTACACCTCTAATGGTTACCGCTACAATTTTGTGTTTTCAGCATCATCGTGATTCTGGTGTTCCTCAAGGTGATCTTTTGGACATTTTACTTCTACATTCGAGCACAGAGACTCCGTGCAGCCAGAGTGCAAAGACAGTTTGTTATTGTTGACACAAGACAGATGCCACCAGGCTACAATGTAAGTAGACATCAAGCCAAGATATTTAACATGGTTACATAAACAACCGTTTCTAAGGAGACGATTCCTAAGTCTGCAGCTTCAGTGTTTAATGCTCATGTGTCACTCTGACAGTTATTCAAGTTGACAAAAATGAATTGCCCTTTGAGCATTTTTGTGAGCCCACAAGTGACAAAAAATTGTGTCATGTTGGGAAAAGCGGAGTCATTTTAAAAGGAGAGCCACTGACGACTTGGTGATCATGTAGAATAGTTTCGTAAGATTAATTTATTTTACTATCAATAGTCCATATGCTATAACTAAAATCTACTGAAAGTAATACCGAATTACAACTTCAGGCTAGAAGTCTTTAAAGGGTTCGGCACCCTACTGATAGCTTTAGGGACCGTCCATATGGGGGGTGATGATTTTTATGGAGAAGCATATACAATGTGAATTAACCCCCCTAAAATGTATGTACAACGTAAGTGACACCCCCCACCCCCCTTGCAAGTCATGTACAAAATCAACAGCGCCCTTTCCTCCCATTCCTATGCCCCCAACCCAACCCAACTCTTCCTCCCCTCTCCTCTCCTAACATTATCATCATCACCCTCCTAGCCATAAATTATGAACGGTGACAATATTCCATATTTTTGTGTTACAGGACCGATCCGCCATTGTTCAACATGAGGTTCTGCCTGACACCTGTCCAGGCTTGCCACCCCAGTACTCAGGTGCTGGATCCCAGTTTCCAGGAGGGCCCCCACCGTATGAAGAAACCCAGCACAGCCAGCCCAACAAGCCCCCGAGTTATGAACAGGCTGTATCAGGCTACGCTCCCCCTGCCCCAACTCAACCAGTGAGCCAGACCCAGAACCCCGCACCAATGCCGGTTGTCTATGTAGAGACTGGTATCTCCAACACATCACAAAGCATTGGTGTTCAAGGACCATAAACAGCTTGTCTGTGATGTCATCAACAAACAAGGCTTTTCGTTACCATAATTTGCGATGTTATCAATCCAAGCAACACAGACCACACTGTCAAAATATTTGATGGTTTGAGGAGTTTTGCTAACCATTGCTTTGAGTTGTTCAAAACAAAAACATTTGTATGGCTCAATAGGATTTGATTTGATTTTATTTGAAGTTATCCGAGTCAGTTACACGACTCAAAGTTAATTCACTCTTCACTGAATACAATGAGTCAAATCATTATTGTAACATTGTATAAAGTACAAGAACTTCAATATTGTTGCAGGAAAATTAGTATTTTATTTCTTGAAAGGGTTCACTTACGTTAATAAGGTTTTGCAGTTGACAGAGACTTGCAATGTGTTTGATCAGTTACTTTTCAAAAAGTTGAACAGGCAACTAAGTTTTGCATAATGTTAGTTCTTTCTCTTTTCTAATATTCATTCATGTAAATATGTATTTTAGTTAGATTCATTTGCTTTTCTGAATTTGTTTTTTAATGAAACCAAAAACCAAGGACTAAAAATAGTGTTTCCGACTTGTGTGATGCATAATGTTATGGTCTTTCAAAGTGAATGTGATGTGATGCTATTGACTCAATTTTAGTAATATACGTTTTGCTAATTACAGTGGTGTATCATTGGATAATTCGTTTTCGGACACCAGACATTTTCGGATGGTAGTGCTTACTTAAGCTATAAAGACGGGGTGTTGCGTCGATAGACACAGACATTGTAAATTCTTTAATGTTTCTGTTTGGGATAAAATTACCTTTTAAAGTTTGTGACATGTTTTACAATTTTGCATGCGATAATCGAGACAACACATGTTCTTAAGTGTTCGAAAACCAATAACATGAGAATAATGCATATTGGAAGAAAGAAAAGACATAACAAGGACGCATTGTTCTCTTTGCAAAGCAGGCAGTGTCCAGGTAATACATGTGACATGAGCAAATAAATATAACATGAGAGTGATTGTAGTTTTGTCCTGTGATGATTGCTGTATATACATGTATTTTAGGTTGAAACATTGTTTTAAGTGCCATTTTATGTTACCTAGAACATTCCTATTGGCTCTAAAAAGTATAAAAAGGTTGTGAGATTGCACCAGATTTTACCACTGATGTGTGTACAATGTATTTGCAAGACACTGTTTTACTTACCAGGAGAGGAGAATGTGTGCAGCCTCAAAAATTTGTCTTATTTTCAAGTTTGGTCCTGAAAATTGAAGCTAGTCCTGGTTGATCAAGGCAAAGCTGTTTATTCTATACCATGAGTTTTATTCAGTTCCAATTTGTTGCAACATTTAAGCATTTAGAACTGTTATTGTATAGACCTCAATAGCTACTCACCAGATAATACAATTATCATTGGTTTTTCACTTGTCCTGAGCACAAGTTAGTAGTCATGGGCAAGCAGGCTAGCGTCAATTTTAAAGGCTGATTTTGTATTAAGTAGCTCAAGTCGCGACAGTATGTGCATCCTTTGTCTTCATTTGAAGAACTCTTTTAATTCCTGAAATACCAGGAGACTGTTTTTAAGAAAAAGAGAGAGGAAAACTTCAAGATACAATGCTGTGAAATGCTGTTCACAAATATTTCTTTAATATCAGCATTCAGTTTAATGCTTTCAAGGATTGTGTTTTGCCAGTCTTTCAATCCTTATTCGTACAACATACTTGAAACACAGACTCGATTATTTACAGACGGCCGCCAAATAGCTGGAATATTGCTGAGAGCGGCATAAAACAACAAGCAATAGCAAACCAACTTGAAACACAGGGCTAAGTCATCTTCCAGCCTTGGTGTCTGTGGTACATTTACCTTAAGTCAAATAGAAGAAGCACCAAGATTCTTTGTAGAACCATGCCATGGCTGCTTTGGTAAGAGAACTTCTTTTTGAGACATGTTACTTTTCCAGGGTAGTTGTGACTGGAAATTTGTTTTTCTTTCATTGTTGCTTGTCATTAAATAATACTCCAAAGATGATTGCGTGATCATGTATTTTTTAAATGTATTTTGTATGCATTGTGTAGGTGTTCCTGGTTATAAATGAAATCTAACTGGTATGTAAAGTGTTTTGTCGGTGGCTACAAATACCTATTCTATTAACACACTTGTGTTTATTTACCCAACATCAGTATATGAAACACAGAATCTATAGTCACATATATCCCAGACATGTTGTGTGTAAATAGAGTTAAAACAGACCAACTGGAGATATATTTATCACATACCTGCATACCAGTCACCTGTCTCCCTTGACACTGCACCCACTATTGTCCTTTATATACTACTCAAAAGAAATTAGGGGCGGTGGGGTAGCCTAGTGGTTAAGCGTTCGCTCGTCATGCCGACAACCCAGGTGCGATTCCCCACATGGGTACAATGTGTGAAACCCATTTCTGGTGTCCCCCAGCCGTGATATTGCTGGAATATTGCTAAAAGTGGCATAAAACTAAATTCACTCACTCACTCAAAAGAAATTAACACACCCTCATTCCTTCATTTTAGTTCACGTGATGGATTAACTATTGTCATTAATTGTCTGTCATTTTGGATATGTTTTGAATACATTATCCACAGCATGATTCTGAAATGCATCAATAAAGGTAGGTTAACTATGGTCATATGTACGAATTGCTTACTCTTTAACTTGTTTTGAACGATAGGCTTCTTTAACTTGTTCTGAGCGATAGGCTTCTTTAATTTGTTTTGAGCGATAGGCTTCTTTAATTTGTTTTGAGTGATAGGCTTCTTAACAGAAATATACATCTACAAGGTAAGGGTTTCCACATCATGTTCTTCTCAAAAGAAGTTAAGGACCATCAGATGGCTCTTAACTTCTTTGAGTGGTATGTATGATGCCCTGAGTTTACCCAGCTCATCCACAGCTCTGATAGTTATCTAGCAGTGCACTGAGTCAGGTGGTGAGATTTAATGAAGCATTATCAGTCCATTATTTTTCCTTAGGTCTTTAAATATCTATACTAGTTCCCAACTGACAACTTACAATTTCCCACCTCTGCTTATTGCAATAATAACCCATCCTTTACTTTTGCAAACATTGCATTTATTATGCCAACAACTTTGACCAATGCTGCAATATCTTTTTAAACTTAACTGACATAACTGCATTGAATGCAATGCTACATATTTATGAACATATGTTTCCCAGGCATGGGCGTCCCCATGTCAGTCATTACGATTCTAGGGACCATTAAGAAATACTCTTGTACTGAATGGTGTGTTGATTGATTGCTTCATTGGTGATAGCATTGTGTCTTTGTTAATATCTGGCTGTATTATGCATTTGGCTGTTGAAGTGTACTATTATCCAGTGCCTTAATTGTTTCAGTATCTATTGTGGGAGCTTAGGAACCGTTCATAATTTATGGCTGAGGGGGTTGATGATGATTTTTATGGTGAAGGAAGTACAATGTGAATGACAACACCCACCCTACCCCACCCCAAAATGTCTGTACGAAGTAAGTGACCCCTTGCATGTCATGTACACAATCAATCACACCCCTTCCCCAAATTATTAAGCATAATTACATAATGTACAAAATTGATGACCCCATACCTCCCTAGAACAAAATGGGTGACCCCCCTTAAAATCAGACCACACCCACATCCCCAAGCCATGAATTATGGACGGTCTCTTACATGTATATTTGCTTTTACCTGTATAGTCGTTGGCTAGATGATTTTTCACTTTTTGAATCTCATCCCCCCGTTTAAAAGGGTCGTTGTAATATTTACTGTTAATGATGTAGTCAGTTTTGAGTGATAATGGAGTTTCACTGGGATCTTTTATTTCTCTGTTTGAGAGTGATAACTTCAAGTAAATCATGTTATTTAATGTATTGGGAATTCAGAATTTAACATATGTTTGGTGCAAGGGTGGCCAAGTCATTTCAGGCGCAATTATTGTTCATGCATAGTTGTGCCCCTTGGCATCACCAGAACGCTGTGATCGCGGGTGTGAATCCTACTTCAATGTTTATAGGCTATGCAGCCCTTTAGACATGCTTGCAGGTTTTACCAAATGGTAAATGTATGAGACATGTGTCACTTCCTTCCACATTAAACTGACATGTTGTGATATAACTGTAAAGCTGTTTCAAAAAGCGTTAACCGCCCTCACTCAAAATTTGTGAAGTAAGTTAGCTCCCACTGCTCTGAAGACATGTTGGTGGCTACCACTAGATGCTTTACTGACAAACTCACAACAAGCACTGGTGTTTTTAGACTTCTTTTCAAGGAAAATTTGTTCTTGACATAATTAATCTTTACCAACCAGAACCATTTTTAACCCTTTTAATAATGCTTTTTGAACGGCATATTTTAAAGGTTAATCAACATTATCACACTTTTATAGGCTTAACTGGGAATGGGTCAATGTTTTTACATGTGGAATTAAACCACCCCTTTTCCTCCATTGCAGTGTAGAATGTTAGTAAAAACCTGTGAAAACCAGTTGAGCACAATCTGTAGGTAGTTTGTTTTTGGTTACAAATTTTTATGTCTTTCATTTCTGTGTTATTGGATGATCTTATCACTGACTCAATGATGTTTCCTTTTGACATCGTTATGGTATGGCCAGACCAATTTCATTTCTTGTTTTACGGATCTGCCTGTTGTATTTTTTCAAGAATAAGAAAAAAAATTAAAATTAATTTTCCCAGCTCAAAAAATAAAATCATAAAATCCAAAAATGTAAACTTACAAAAAAAGTTTTTTAGATTGTTTTTGTCCCCATTTACACTTCATAAATTGCCAAAAGTAAAATACTTTGAGTACTTAGAAGGAATATTACTTTGACTGGTGATTTTATTTTTATTTTTTTTCCCTCCTGCCTTTAGGTTTTCTAAGGACAAAAATCTGTAAAACAAGAAATAAAATTGGCCTGGCCTATGATTTGATTTACATGTGTTTAGAAATCATTCATTGCTTTTAATGATTCCCTACATGCTTTGTCGTAACTAGTCCTAAAGATATTATGTACTTACAGCAAGAGGTATAGTGTGGATGATCACCCATACCCTGAAATTAAGTTCAGAGGAAGACTGTATTCCGAGGTGGAATTGGGGATTGTGCAGGGTAGCAACAGCAAGAGTGGGTTAAGAGTAATCACCCAATTGATTAGCAAATACTTTTGTCACACTTTACACAAGCTTCAAGTATTTGACAACAGATGTATCACCCAAGTCTTCAGTTTTTCACATGGTATCATAAATGGTTTTTTTCATGCTTGTAAAAATAATTACTGTACACAATGTATTTAGTGCCCTCATGTTGATGAGTGCCCCCACCCCTCTCCCTCTCTCCTTCCCTCCCTCCCTCTCCTTCCCCCTCCCCCTCTCTCTCTCTCTGTCTCTCTCTGTGTCTCTCTCTTAATCAATGCCCCTCACTCAAAACGCTAATTACATTAAATATGGTAATGTATGCTTTTTCATCACCCTGCTAGAAGCATGATTGACAATGAAATACAGACTAAAGTTGGCAAATGATGTTAAAATAATGGAGAAAAAGGTGTACAGTTCTCCCAGAATAAATGCACTTTTGATAATTATAGTGATGATAATTCTGCTTAGTAGTGCACTAAGTCTAAATGATGTATTTAATCGTAAATGGACTGTATCATTTATGAAATTCTGTGAATCAAGTCTAAAATCGAAGACATGTAGCAGAATATTTGGTTGAGCCTCCCATTTGTTCAGTGTTTGAGGAAGAACATATAGTACTGAATGTCAAGAACACAAGAACAGCCCAGAACACCTTAGTTTTGGAAGGTATTAGATCATTAATCACATTTTGTTTAACCTCATAAAACCCAGAATGGCGGAATACCTAGAAGTCATTTAGTGTATCCGGGATATAATCAGTAAACTTGTATTTCCGATGTGAGTTTTCTATTTTCCATTTGCCAAAATGCTGTGAGGAAAAAAAATATGTTGTAATGAAATCAATGTAACACTAAAATTTCAGCATTGAGTATAATTTTGAAAATGACTTCATTGTGCTACTTACATAATTTATAAAAAGAAATTTCTGAAATGAGATACAGGAAGGGGCATGAAATAAACATTCTTTTAGCAAGTTAATTCATTACCTGTTTTCAATTGTATACATTTATGTGCAACATCTCTGGACAGGTGCATCTGTATAGGAGTGATCTTTACGAGAGAAAAAATGACATAATTATGAAAACATACTTTGAATATTTGTCTTCCTGAAATTCTTAAAATACAAAAGATTCAAGTTTCAGTTTCCTAAAGTATTGCACAATATGATTTATGCAGGAGCGATATTTTTAGAAACTAATGACAAAATTTGTTTTGTTTTTGAGTATTTGTCTTCTTACCATCTAAAGATACTAATATTTCTTGTTTCAATTTGAAACAGTGTTGCACAATATGTTTTATGATGATGAAGGCTTACATAGATCATGGAATGCTGGAAATGGCATGGAAATTCAATTTGAATTTCCTGGGCCTGGAACCATTTTAGGAAATAGAAATTTATTGTAAAGACATTGAAAATACCATTTTAGGGTATTACCGGTAATAGTTTCTGTGGTGATATATTAGTTACGTTAAATGCTTTGAGCAAAGTGAACAAACGTTCGAATTAACTAAGTTTGTTTCATTCTTATTTTCCTGATATAATATCATGTAATATTGGCATTATTCCCTGGAAAATTCATGGATATTTTCAGGCTAATAATGTATCCAAACATCTGAACTGGTCCTTGAATGAATACTTATCCTTCCAGTAGATTAAGAACATAAACAGATAATACAAATAAGAAATCTCCTTCGGTCCATTGCAGTGCATTATGAACGGGGACCAGGGTATATGCCAAAACATCCATGCCAGCATAACTGCTAGCATTGAGTAAGTGTAGAATTTTCTTCAACATGCTTTACTGGATTAAAAGTATGTCAACAAAACCCAAATTTCTTGATAAGAATATAGACACCACAAAGATATATGACACACACCTGCATGGTAAGTACAAGCTTGCACTATTTTACATCCTTATAGTTTCAACATAAAGCTTCATTAGGTTCGTGCTTGAAAGGAATCATTACTGTCATCTTGAGATGAAGTAATATGAAGGGTTTTTAATACAATTGTTAGCACTATATGTATATTATTCAAATGTGTTCAATAAAGAATTATTTTCATACTTATTACTTTTTGTGTTTTGTGTTAGAATACTTCCAGTGGAGTTGAGAATGAAAATATGGCATTGAAGTATGTCTACACAAGGTAAGATAGTGTAGATGCCAACATTGGTTCTGATGCTTCATACACAAGGCTACAGTGTCAGTTTTGGCATCAAGTTTACCCCATTGAAGAATTATTTTCATACTTATTACTTTTTGTGTTTTGTGTTCGAATACTTCCAGTGGAGTTGAGAATGAAAATATGGCATTGAAGTATGTCTACACAAGGTAAGATAGTGTAGATGCCAACATTGGTTCTGATGCTTCATACACAAGGCTACAGTATCAGTTTTGGCATCAAGTTTACCCCAGCCACTTAGGGGCCGTTCATAATTTATGGCTAGGGGATGATGATGATTTTAAGGGGGGCCACCCATTTTGTTCTGGGGAGCTAGGGGGGTCATCAATTTTGTGGACACGTACTGGTGGGAGTCAGCAATTTTGTACATAAAATGTTTAAAATTATGCTTAGAAATTATGGGAAGGGGAGGGGGGTGATTGATTTTGTACATAAATTTTAGGGGGGGGGTCATTCACATTGTACATGCGTTTCCATAAAAATCATCATCACTCCCCCTAGCCATAAATTATTAACGGTCCCTTATATCAGTTGGTCTAACAAAACTTCCAAAATGCTTTCTTGGACAATCTCGCTTTTTCTTAGCAAGTGAATGAGTTCCATATTCCAGCTATATGGAGACAGTCTGTACATAATCGAGTCTGGACCAGACAATCCAGTGATCAGCAGCATGAGCATCGATCTACACAATTGGGATACAGTGACATGTCATCCAAGTCAGCAAGCCTGACCACTGCCTCTTACAAGTATGGGTTGCTGAAGACCAATTCTAACCCAGATCTTCATGTGTACTGTCAAGTTATGAGTCAGTAGTGTCCATGTAAGGCATCCATGCTTCGTGAGTGGGCTAGCCTTGTAAACACATGACAAGCAGTCACACGATCATGCACTTCCCTACACATGAGCTTTAATAATGAACCCAACATGAAAGCCTATTCGCCAAAAGGAGGGAACAGGTGGCCCACTTGTAACAGTGTAAAACAATACAGTCAGACTGAACAGAAGGTCTAAATAACCATTAATAACTAGTTCTACATCCACAAGAAAGGAGAAAAGAAAAGTTTCTTGAAGTCATTATTTACTGAAAGGAAGTCTAGTTCAGAACTGTGGAATTTTTATTGACAGGTTAAAAAACATCTCTTTACACAGAATTTATTATCAAAGGTTACTTTTCACACACAGCCATATAGATGGAAAGAACGTAGTAAAAGAGAATTGTTGAAATTAAACTGACTGGGCACCTATCTACCGATTTATCTTGGCGCTGGCAGCCTACAGAGAGAAGAGATGCCGATTTTGTCGGCAAAGATTGCATTGGGGAAGAAATGAGTGGGATAATGTGATTTTTAGTGATGAGACACAGGTCCAGATCGGGAAAGACAGAATAGTTATGTGTGGAGAGTCGGATGAGCGGTTGCGACCCGATTGTTTGGGGATTCGTACCGATCATGAAATTCGGACGAAATTCGAAGTTTTCAGTGATGTTGGGGGGTGTCGGCGTATGGAGTATGTTGATGGCAACATGAACACTTATAAGTACAATTGTTATTCTTGATAACCATTTGTGGCCTGTAGTTGCCAGGCATTTTGTCAACCGCAAATGGATTTTCCAAGAAGACAATGCCCCCTGTCATGTGTCCGTTCGGGCTAACCGTTGGAAACAGGAAAATCATATTCGGACTTTGCCGGACCTTTGGAAACAGGAAAATCATATTCGGACTTTGCCGGACCGTTGGAAACAGGAAAATCATATTCGGACTTTGCCGTGCCCTCCTCCCCAACACACACACACCTCAATATCCTTGAAAATGTATGGAAAACTGTTAAATATCAACTCAAAGCCAGATTAGGTGACATTAACTCGAGACAAGATCTCATTCGTGTGGTGAATGACATAGTTGGACTGGGCTTAGTCCCGTTTACATTCGTCGTCTATAATGACAGTTTGCCAAGACGACTCCGGGATGTCTTAAGAGCACAGGGTCATATCTCTAAATTCTGAAAATTTGAGGTGAGTACCTTTATTATTTGCATAGATACGCGAATTTTAAAAGGGGACCCGACTCCGCTAGAAATAGCCGTGACGTCACCGGTGCGAACAGACTTTTGGACACTGACTGTAGTTCAAAACTGCGGCTTGTTTACAGAAGTCCGCTCTGCATTACGGTCCTTTTACGTCAGGAAGATGGCGGCCACCAGCTGTCCATGTGCTTGTTTATAAACATGAAATGACATTTGGACATTTTCTAAACCCTGTCATGCAAGTTAGTGATCATATAGAAAATGGGAAAGTCGAAGAAAAAGAAATTCAGGGCTGCTAAAGCCGAACCAACGGGATTAACAAGCGTAAAGGAGATAGAAACGCAAATTGAGAATTTTGTTCCGAATGCACATGGCACAGTTTCGGATGTTATAGAACAGGTGGGTAACTAAGTAAAAGAATTGATGGAGACTGTTTTTGGTAGGCCTTGCGTAGGACTGTTGGAAATGCCATTGATACATCGATGAACTATGACACAGTCTGTAACTTGAAGATGAATGTAGTGTCAAGGACGGATCCATGCATTCACGGAAGCCGAGAGCCGCGATTGTTTCTACAGTCATGTTCCATGTCTTGTGTTGGAGCCAATGACGGCTCACGGCTAGTGAACCTTAGCAGGGGAGGATACAGCTTTTTGAGAAAGGGGGGGTGCACACTATTGAGAAAAGGGTGGGGTGCACACTTCATTTCCACCCGAGTTTCAATGGTCATATAACAAACTTTCGGGACAAAAGGAGGGGTGCGCACCCCTGCACCCCCCCTCTCGATCCGCCTATGCTTAGGTCTATTCCAGGTTAACAAGTATTTGTTGTACATGGCAATTTAAGGTACCTGTCAAAGTATTATGCATATCTGACAACTGATTTGCAGTATTTCATTTTGTCACTATTTCTGAGTTTAAATGATTATCAGGGTTTTTTTTAAACTGATACAAGTATCCTGGGCGAATACAAGAGCGAGCTGAGAATGTTTTCATCTACCTTCCTGTTAATTATTCCATCCCTCATGAACATGTTGGAGGTGGGGTAACCAATGGTGTCCACCATCATGATATTGCAGGAATATTGCTAATATTGGCATACAACCATACTCATTCACGGACTCATGAACTTGCTACAAGTGGCTGATGACATACCAGGGGAATCAAGTCAGATGGAAGGGGTGATTAGGGTGGTCCAAGGAGATTTGCTGCAGTTCACAACTTAATCAAGAAAATATTTAAACAGATTGGGCTTTTGGGTATTTTTCTGTATTTTATCAGGTTTTTGGCTAAGCATCCATGAATTAACAGGAAATAGTTCCAACCACTGAGAAAAACACACACGTTATGTAGAATCATAATATTATGTCAGTACTAACTATTAAAATAAAACACATTGCCATTCTTCTCCAGTCAAGACTTATTATTTGGCATGAATCTGTTTGGGTTGGAGAGATTATTCACTTCAGAACCAGTGTATGAAATAAGCCAAAACCCCAGCCAGACATCAGGGCTGTAACTTCAAAATGTTACTAGTCCAAAATGGATTTAACCAGACCAGACACCAAGATATGACTGAGATGTATATAACATCTAAATTTTTACCAGACCATCAGGCTGGCTAGCTGTAATTCTAGACCGTCCGTCTGAAATCTAACCCATCTCGGGCGGTAGGACAGGCCTTATTTCATACACTGTCAGAACAAATGAGAATTGTAAACAACTGAACAGATTAGCAGCCTGTCTGTTCTGGTTTTGAGACTAGATGTAATTCATACAGGGGTTATCTGTCCACATCACTTGCTGTTCAATAGACTGCACGTGCATAAATGATGACTATACCTGCGTCATCATCCTGTAGGTTACTGCTTTGTAGCAGGCTGTACCAGTGGTTTAGTGTTGGCGCTTTCCTCTGAAGACCCAGGTTTGATTCTCCGCCAGACTAAAAAGTGTGATGCTCCTTAGCATTCTCCATTATAACATGCAAGACTATAGTGGGAGGCAGTAAAAAAGAACCCTCTGTTCGGATTCAGTATTACTACTGGGTTATAAAATCAGGATTTGCCTGTCTATAGAGTTATCTCCCCTTAGTGCCATTCATAATCTGAGCACTTTATATGAGAATCCAGCTAGACTCTCAGAGACATTTGTCTTGATTGTTCATCATGTTCATTCATATTGGTTGTTGCAGCTTCAGAGTGTGAACGTTGAGACCCGAGAATGTGGCTGTTCCACCCTAGCCAACCTGGTCAGCCAGCCGGAGGTTATTCCTCTACTCCTACAACACAACATTGTCAAGATCGTCGGTCCCTTGATAGTAGATCCTAGTCCCCACATCAGACATGTATCACTGGGAGCTTTGAGGTAAGACATATGTTCTGTATACCACCATGTGTTCTTTATTCCAAGATATTAATCATGTTAATGAAAAGTAGTGAGAATAAACTTACATGTTACCATGGTTACAATATAAACATTGATTATGAGTAAATTATATAACTTTGCATGACATTTTCTGTACTAAGAGCTTTGAGGTAAGACTTGTCAGAGAGAGTTCTATGCTCAATAAAGTGTTCATTATTCTGAAATAAATTAAAAGTAATAAGACTAAACTTACATGTTACCATGGTTACATGCTGAACATTGGTTATGAGTAAGTAAATACTTTTATATGACATTGCATGCACTAGGAGCTTTAAGGTACCTTGACATGTGTCAGAGAGCGTTTGGGATACAATCAAGTGTTCATTATTCCAAGATAAATGAAAAGTAATAAGACAAAATTTACATGGTTATATTCTCCATATTGATCATGAGTATATAACATGCCTGAGTTCTATATACCCGTGAAGGTCCGGGTTAGAATGAACCTTCAGTGACCCATGCTTGTCGTAAGAGGCGACTTACGGGATCGGGTGGTCAGGCTCGCTTGCTTGGTTGTCACATGTCATCGGTTCCCAATAGCGCAGATCAATGCTCATGCTGTTGATCACTGGATTGTCTGGTCCAGACTCGATTATTTACAGACCGCCGCCATATAGCTGGAATATTGCTGAGTGCGGCGTAAAACTAAACTCACTCACTCACTCACTCTGAGTTCTATGTACAATCAAGCTTTCATTATTCTGAGATAAATGAAGGTAATAAGATCAAATTTACATGTTACCATGGTTACATTCTCCATATTGATTATGAGTATATAACATGTCTGAGTTCTATATACAACCAAGTGTTTATTATTCTAAGATAAATGAAGGTAATAAGACCAGATTTACATGTTACCATGATTACATTCTGAACATTGATTATTAAGGCCTTATAGGACACTTTGACATGTTCAGTTTTGATATTTTATGTATGTGTAGAAACCTGAGTGTAAGCGGCAGCCATGAGGTCTGTGAGGAGATGGTACAGAAGGATGTCCTTACACCACTTGTCGCACTCTTCCAGAAGGTGAGCCACACTTCATTCATTATGTCCTCAACTTGTGATGTGAAGACCCGGGTTAGAACTGGCCTCGATTTCTCAAAACAAACTGAAGGTTTTACTCAAATTTCAAACTGAGTTTGACAATTTGAAAAAGCTGAATTTTTAACTCAGCTGCTTTTTTAAAATAAAAATGACCAAACAACTTAAGTAATCTATCCACCAAACTCAACTTGTCTACTATGTTAGAGTTTAATATCGATTTCAGTTCATTCTGGAAAATGCATTTTCTGGCATTTTCTCTAATTTGAGTAAAAACTCTAACTTAAGTCAAAACTTAGACTTAAATTTGTTTTGAGAAATCGGGGTTTGGTCTTCAGCAACCTGTACTTTTGAAAGGCGACTAACAATATCAGGTGGTCAGACTTGCTGACTTGGTTGACACATGTCATCGTATCCAACTTGCATAAATCGATGCTTATGCTGTTGATCACTGGACTGTCTCGTCCAGATTTGATTATTTACAGACTGCTGGAATATAGCTGAGTGCAGCATTCTACAACAAAGAAACAAATATTATGTTCTGAACTCCCAACATTTTGTTCAAGGGCCCCTCAACATCAGTTTTTGTCTGAAGTGACACATGTTCACGTATTGTATTACGGACATTATTTGGTCACAGCTTATCTAGAAAATTAGAAAAACCACTCCCATTTGTCGCAATTACCACAAAACATGATCCCAACATTGCTTTTGATGCATCCATGCCTATGAGAATGTCCTTAGTACACATGGATGTCTGTCTTCAGTATGGTGTAGGCTGGCTGCCAAACAAGAAGGAGAAGAATGTCAAACATAACGACACTCCAGAGAACATCTACACAGAGGCAGTGCACCTGCTGTGGAACCTTTGGTAAGATGTCTCACATAGTTATTGGATTCTATTTTAAGAGTAAACCTAAACAGGACATATGTTCCCAATAGCTCCTAGAAGCCATGATACCACCTGTGCCCCTTAAATGTTTATTGGGGCGGTGGGGTAGCCTAGGGGTTAAGGCGTTCGCTCATCACGCTGAAAACCCAGGTACGATTCCCCACATGGGCACAATGTGTTAAGTCCATTTCTGGTGTCCCCCGCCGTGATATTGCTGGGATATTGCTAAAAGCGGCGTAAAACTAAACTCACTCACTCACTTAAATGTTTATCATACCTGTAGGTAGAGATATATATGTATAGAAGTATGTTTTATCTTTTGTCATGTTTTTACAAGCAATGAAAGCATTGAAACATGATCTGTCATCGTAAAATGTTCTCTGAACATTGTCATCTACTAACTATTTGGACTTGAAATGTACCAGCTTTGACGGAATTACAGTGATGCTAAACATTACTGCTTTGGATAATAGATGCAGGACGGTGGGTTAGCCTCGTCGTTAAAGCGTTCACTCATCACGTCGAGGACTCAGGTTCAATCACACACATGGGTACAATGTGTGAAGCCCATTTCTGATGCCCCAGCCATGATATCGCTGGACTATTGCGAAAAGTGGTGTAAAACCAAATTCATTCCCTCGCTCATAAGAGGTACAGTTTTTAGCCTGTTCAGGTTCATGTTTACAGTGAGAGCAGCGACATGGCAGTGAAGCGTGTTCAACAAGGAAACTCTAGTACAGTACCTGCTGCCATGTCTACAGCATGAACTGTATGGCTTCTCTACAGCCATAGCAGTAGGTAGGTACATCGTCAAAGTCCATAGTTAAGTCTAAATAGGCAATTTGTATATCATTGTGGTGAACGCCATGCAGGCAGTTTATATGCTTTGATATTCCAAGGTTTATATACCTTCTTATTCCCAAGGGGTTATATGCCTTCAGATTCTCAGGGGGTTATATACCTTCATGTTCCCAGGGGATTATATTCCTTCATATGCCCAGGGGGCTATATTCCTTCATATTCTCAGGGGGTTATATACCTACATGTTCCCAGGGGGTTATCACGATATGGCTGAAATATTGCTGATGTGACGTTAAATATTAACTCACTCACTCACTCCCAGGGGGTTATATACCTTCATATTCCCAGTGTTATATATCTTCATATTCCACGTTTTATAAACCTTCATATTCCCAGTGTTATATACCTTCATATACTCAACTGCCAGTTTAACATATTCAAGGAATACATGCCCCTCAGATTGAAAAGGTGGTGGGGTAACCTAGAGGTTAAAGCATTCGTTCATCATCTAGAAGACCCGGGTCCATTTCCTCACATTTCTGGTGTCCCCTGAATGCCATGTTCAGATTCTGAAAGGCACCAAACTCTGAGTATGTTTCTACAATTTTGTTTGATAATTTTCTCACCAAATCTGTGACTCACCATGAGGGTCCTTAAATATGAAAAAATTTAAACTTATCCTGTCTCATGGTATGCACCTCTCTTCTTCTTCTATGACCATGTGTGGAAACGTGCTGTAGGTTAAGTTGAATCAAAGCTTTCTGGCCTCTAACCACCTGACATCTGCCCCCACTCCGATAGCATGACCTGTCAATCATCTCATAAGCATGCCGGTTGCTCAGATGATCACATGACGCTCTGTGCCTGTCATTCTCTTTCATGTCGCTACACCGAGTGGACGTGTGTTGTTCTCTCAGTTAGACATTACTTGATTGTCAATATGGGCAAATCGAATCGAAGTTCTTCTAAGAAACGCAAGCATTGTGATAAGTGCAACAGAAAAATGTTTCTGTTGCAGATCCACAGACTTTGTGTGTGGATTGTATGGGGTCGCATCAGTGTTCTGTTTGTTCACACCTGAATGATGATGATTTTTCTGAATATCGACGGGTCGCATCTTCAACTTCTAAACGTGCTAAATCTGAACGCCGTTCAAAGAGAGCAGTTCATCGATCTAAATCACCGTCCCCGGACAAAGATATTTTAGAGGTGGCCTCAGACTCTTACTTGAGTGAGAATCTCCGTCGTCTCTTCCATCCTCAAACGTCCAGTCCCGTCTCCAGACAAGATTTTTCTCCTCAGAGACTGGTAGTGCTAACAACCTCTGCAGTGCAGTCTCGACCTTCTACATTGGTGACGATTTCACAGACCCCTAGTTTGCCTCCGGTGGTTGTTTCCAGTGCACCGCTTTGGTTGGGTGCTCCACCCCCCTCTGCTATGGTGGGTGCGCTTGGTCAAAGCGTTCACTCTCATTTGGCAAGTGCAGTAAGTTCAGCGCTTTCTACCACAGGGATCAGTTCGGCGCTTTCAACCTATGCGCCGCTTGCTTCCAATGCTGTGCTTTGTTCCAGTTCGGCACTCTCATGTCCTCCTGTTGTGGCTCCAGGCATGCCGATAGTATCCAATGCAGCGCTTTCTACACCTTTCCCGCACATCGCCCCACCTGCCTATGGACCGCTGCTTACTTCCAGTGCGCCGCTTGCTACCAGAGTGATGCTTGCCTTCCATTCATCGCTTACTTCCAATTCGCTGCTTACTTTCAATGCGCCGCTTACTTCCAATGTGCCGCTTGTATTCAATGTGTCGCTCTTACATGGACCACCGTTGCCTCCTTTGCCTGGTTATCCTGTATCACATAACCTCCCTCTACAGTGGCGGGTGTGAGTTCGGCGCTCTCTCTTTCTGTGGGGATCTTCACTAGTGAACTACCTTTTGTTGAATACACGGTCTACCACCTAGTGCGCCACTTGCTACCAATGTGGTGCTTCCTTCCTATGCGCCGCTTACAACTACGAAAGGGGTATTTCGTGCTTCATGATGAACATGATCAATTATACCTCCTGTATATTCCGGTATCTACGTCTACGGCTCCTTCCAAGCCTATTTAACCGGTATCATGGAATCCATCATCCGATGTTACAGCATCTCAGCCTTTTGATTTTGATTCCATTGTTTGGGCATTGGCCTAAGCACTGGGTCAGCTACTTCCAGTTCCGGCTACGAGCGCTCAATCAGCTGGCCCTCCGACCATGCCTGTTCAATCTCTTGATGTAGTCCTCCCGTCAGCTATGCCTTCTTCTACTTCGGATGGTACTTTAACATCCAAGGTTAGTGTTGATTCTGTCGAATCGTCTCAGTTGCTGATTTGGATTGCTGATAAACTCTGTCTACCTCGAAGTAATTCGCCAGTGGACTGGGTGATTTCGGTTCCATTACATTTCCTCCTCATCCCTGTATTACCCAGCTTGCTGCTTCTCTAGATGAGGCGTTTGACAACCTTCGGAAAGTCAAGGATGTTTTTTCTGCACCTCGTTTAAACTTGGCGTCTTCTCATTTCCATGGATTCTCCACTTTGATTGCATTCCCGCCTGTGGATGATGACATTGCTTTTTTGGGAAAGAAACCAAGAGCGTATTCTCCCTTTTTGGTGGAAGACCGAGAATTGTCGCATTTGGATGGCGCCATTTGCAAGATTTTGGCGCCCCTCAACATGGTGTAAACAGCAACGGAAGCGATGGCCATGTCTGTATCCAATGCAGTCTCTCCTCAACAAGCTTATGTTCAGGCCTCGATGGTTTTATTGCAAGGTCAATTTCAATTCGGCATAGGGGTCCTCTTCACTTATCCTCCTGGGAGGATAGGTTTTGCACGGATCTCTTCCGCCAACCCTGGTCTGGCAGGTCGCTCAATGGGGCTATACGTGAGGTAGCAACCAAGGTCGGACTGGATGCTCATCTTCAAGTCTCTGTGGAGCTGTTAAAGTTCCAGCGTTTACAAGCGTCCAGCCCGATATGTTCCTAACAACCCAGACTTGTGATCAGGACCTTCCAGTTCCTTTGGAGGGAGAGGCTCGTTCAGAGGGCGTGGCGGTCGTCTTCTCGACCAGCTCCCGGATCCGAGCAGTCCTCCGCGATGAGAGCCGACAAACATTGACTTACAGATATTTCAGCACGACTGGGTCCTTCCACCTCCAGTCGTGCCTGTCAAGGATTCCCTCGTAGGCGGAAGACTTGGGGTTTATGCCTGCAATTTGACTATCTTTGACAACCCTTATGTGCTTTCCACTTTGTCCAAGGGATTTCGACTTCTGGTAATAGGCAACTCGCCTCTTACTCTGCTTCCAGACCGCAGGACGTATCCCGCTTCTCAGACAGCTGTCCTACAGTCCACCATAGAGACTCTTGCGATGGAATCCCTAGGTCCGGCTCCTGACCACCCGGGGTTCTCTCACAAGGCCATCTATGGCCGACAAGTGAGTATGATTGCCGATGGTTTGGGGGAAAATGTCTGCATACTGTCGAGGAAATGATTTGTAGATGTTGCAATAAGTTTTTAGACCAGTGGAATGGCGCTACCGATCGAATCTAGCCCTATATAGGTGCTGTCAACGTGGCTGAAATTAATAAACGAATTAAAAAGGTGAGTTTTCGCTGTCTTGGGTGATCCATGATTTTGGCTTGGAATTGCGGAAGTTGCTGTTTTCGGTGAGTCGTGGCGTATAACTTTTGAAATAATGATCCGATTGTGACCATTTTTAGCTCATTTTGTAGGGAAATCAACTCGCTTTTGATCCGTAGGCCTCGACGGGGCCGTAAAAATAGTTTACGTGGTGAAATCTAACTTAGATTGAGGAGGGGTGGTTCCGTCGTTACATCCCTTTCCTTTTAAATAGTACTAGGGTAGGGTCTATATACCTATATGTCTTTCAAACGCTGTTTCTAAGCATGACACGCCCCAGTGGCTTTATCAAGATTTGGCGGTTATTTCCCCTTGCACTCGCGCAACCCAGGACTCTTCGTCAATGGCAAGAACTCCTGGGTCTACTGACGTCGGCCCAGGCCCTCAGGGCTCAACTCTTCACTTGTTTCTGGCTCCACACATGGTGGGCGATCCGCTTGCTCTGATCGTCCTACCTCTGGCACTCCATCCACATCTCCAATGGTGGATGGAAGAATTGAACAACTGCGGTGGAGTTTGTTTGAGGCCGTTCGTCCCGACTCACCACCTGTACGTGGACGCGTCTCTACATGGGTGGGGCTGCTCACCTTCTCGATCAGCAAGTGGCAGGGCAGGGCAGGGAAGACCACGCCTGTCACATCAACTTATTGGAGCTCAGGGCCGTGATTCTAGCAATCACGCATTGGCAACACCTTCTACAGTCAGCCACACTAATGGTTTGATCAGACAATGTGGTAGTCGTATGGACACATCAATCGGATGGGGTCTACAGGGTCTCCTCAACTCCTACAATGGACAAAACGGCTTTTCCAGTTGTTGGACTCTCTCAACATCACAGTTCGGGCCAACCACATCCCAGGAGTGAAGAACGTGATTCAGCGCTCTCATATCCTCCTGTGGTGGCTCCAGGCATGCCGGTAGTATCCAATGCAGCGCTTTCTACACCTTTCCCCTACATCGCTCCACCTGCCTATGGACCGCCGCTTCTCCTTCATCCATCCCCGAAGGAGTGGAAACTGCATCCGCAGGTGTTCCAGACTTTGTGCTTTCTGATGACGAACCAGACAGTGGATCTGTTCGCCACTCGCTTCAACCACCAGCTGCCTCTGTTTGTGTCTCCGATTCTGGATCCGTTGGCTTGGGGACATGACGCTGTAGCCATTCCATGGGATGACCAAAACGCGTACACGTTTCTGCCAGTGGCCCAAATTCCACACATACTACTGAAACTATGCACGACGCAGAGGATAACACTGCTTTTGGTCGCGCCATACTGGCCGGAAGTTGGTTTGTAGATCTACAAGGATTGGCCGATCCAAGTCCGGCACCACTTCCGATCGCGCAGATCTACTGATTAATTCTCACTCCAATCAGCTGCATTGGTCTCTGCTCACACTCCATCTTCACGCCTGACGCATTTACAGAAGGCGCTAACTGCTAAGGGATATTCCAAGCGAGTCGCTACAGCTATCACCACGGCGCATCGAACTTCCACCCGGTCACTCTATGATAACAAGTGGAAGAATTTTTAGGCGTATTGCAAAACGAAGGGTATAACATCTCCTACTATACTACTGCTTCACCACAGATGGTTGCGGAATGCCTGCAACATCTTCGAACTACAAAGAAGCTGAAAGGTTCTACATTATCTACATACCTGGTCGCCCTTAACACCCTTATTGCACCGGCTTCAGGCGTGAAGGTGTCTACTATCCCTGAGCTCCAGTCTCTCCTCAGATCTTACAAAGTTGCTGACCAATCCCGGAATTTCCGACCGCCAGCTTTGGACCGTTCCGTGGTGCTGAACCATCTTACGTCAGCGGACTATGAGCCCTTGGAGGAGAAGAACTTTGAACATGTCACCTTTAAGACTTCTTTCTCATGGCTTTGGCTACTGCTGCTCGCATCTCCGAGTTACACGCCCTAGATGTCTCTAGGGTGCGTTTTGAGAGGTCCAGACATGCTCAAGTATTTCTTAGTTTGCGGTGGGATTTTGTCGCCAAGAACTAATTGCCAGGACAGCCAGAGCGCACTTAACGATCCCGCCGCTGTCCACTATCTTGGGTCCTGACGAACATTTGTCACTTTGTCATGTTCGGGCATTACGGATATACTTGGATGCTTCCAAGGACCAATGTAGTTTGCGTAAAAGATTCTTTATTCCGCTGTCTACTGCCTCCAATTCTGCCTCCAAGTTTCTCGCACCACTCTGGCGTTTTTATGCGTTCCACCATCTTGCGCAGACCTTCCTCGACCCATGACGGCGAATCCTCACGAGACCCGGGCCTTAGCTTCTACCATGGCGCTCCATAGGAACTGCTCCCTTGCTGCCATCATGGGGAGATGTTTTTGGAGATCGGACACAGTCTTCACCTCCCACTATCTTTGAGATCTCTCAGTTACGGACGTGGAAGGTCTGCACCAGTTCGGTCCTCTGGTCTTGGCTCAGCAGCTGTCGTCGACCCGTACTCGCAGATGAGAAGCAATCCTTCCTCCCGTCGGCTTGCTCTATGTACATAAATAAAAGATATCGATGTTATCCAGATCTTGGTACTTTTTTCATTTTGGCATAGACCACCTCACCTAGGGAACTAGGCCGTGTCTGCACTGTCATAGATATGACTGGATAGACTGAGAGGCCAGTCTTGTGCTACATGCAGATGTGGTCAACACTCCGCTTACTGACCTCTACTCTCTGAGCAATTACGTCAGTGAAATGTTGATTTCCGATTACCTGGTAAGTTACCTGTGGTAAGTTAGGGGGATTGGTACTGAACGTTAAACGAGTTGAGCAACCGGGCTGTTCCTTCTTTCACCACCTTCCAGCGTGTGTCTGTGGAGGATAGTTTCGAAGCAGGGGCTGTCCAGATTAATGTCTTCGACTTCAATTTACTGGGGCCACTTGATAAATCACAGGGAGGCGAGGTCTACTTGCCAAACTGCGTCCGTTTGCTTGTGAAAAGTTGCAGCTCACGTTAAGCCGGGACTGCCCACTCCCTAGACTTTTTGTGCTGTGTAAGCTAAGGGGTTATCAGAAGCGGCCCATTGCAAGTTCGGAGTTAGCATATCGGGAGTTGGTGCTTTCTCCTGGCCTCCTTGTGTTATGCGACCTCACGGTTGTAGAGTTGGCACAGGGTAATCTGCGGCCCTCCATTCAACTGTGGGATAATGCATACCGTGAGATGGGATAAGTTTAAAAATTTGGAAATTTTAACTATAAATTGTATGTTTATATACTTATCCTATCTCACGCCATGGATACCCACCTGACCTGCCCCACATCACAGATTACTGGAAGCTCCAAGATGAGAATGACAGGCACAGAGCGTCATGTGATCATCTGAGCAACCGGCCCGTTTATGAGATGATTGACAGGTCGTGCTATCGGAGTGGGGGCAGAGATCAGGTGGTTAGAGTCCAGAAAGCTTTGATTCAATTTACCCTACAGCACGTTTCCACACATGGGCGTAGAAGAAGATAGGTGCATACCATGAGACAGGATAAGTGTGTAAATATATACAGTTGATAGTTAACATTTCTAACTTTGAGTAAGGAAAGTTTGCTGTTGCTCTGTAGATCATTAGTTATCAATGTGTGAGTAACTACGTACACACAGACACACACGCACATGCGCGAATGGCATTCCATAGGTAACTAATTACACAAAATAAAAATAATATGATGGTGTTTTCAGCTCAATGTCTCCATGCAGTAACAGAAAACAACAAGATGGCTGCCGAGTATTGTCAGACAGGCAATACATTAGCACTGCTCAGCCAGTTGATAACACCAGTTGAATCGGCTGATAGTATCCAGCTCAGCACACTTGTAACAGGTCAGTGGATATCTAGGCAGCAAAGCTTTGAAGGCAGCCCTGTTGAAAAAGCCATGGCTGTTATTGTTCAAATTGTAATGAAATGTTTGGATGAGTGTTTTTTACTCATTACAGTGCTCCTGTTTTCAAGATAATTAACTTTGTGCATTTAGCTTGCTGCATCTCTGCCCTTAGCCAATACTACCCTCATTAGACATCCTTTTGCCTTTAGACTCTGGAGGGGCAGTGGGGTAGCCTAGTGGTTAAAGCGTTGGCTTGTCACGCCTAAGACCAGGGTTCGAATCCCCACATGGGTACAATGTGTGAAGCCCATTTCTGGTGTCCCCTGCCGTGATGTTGCTGGAATATTGCTAAAAGCGGCGTAAAACCAAACTCAGTCAGTCAGTTAGACTCTGGACCAGGTTCTGAAATTCTTTGAAAATATGTTTCCTCACATAGTAAACTATCATTAGCAACCAGAGATGCAGTTGCACTTGAATCATTGCAGGAATCCTGATCAATATCAGCGACCCGCAGCAACCCCAGACCCCGATAGCATCCCTCGTCCACACACTAGCCACTGTCCTGTCAGTTGACGTCACAAACCTGATCGGGGAGGCGACACAGAATGGAAGTCTGGTAGGTGATGCTGTGTCTACTTGTGGCCCTTTTCTGGGGTCCCCCGCCGTGATATTGCTGGAATATTGCGAAAAGCGGCGGAAAACTAAACACACTCACTACTTGTGGCTATGCAGACCCGTGAAGATCCGGGTTAGAATTGATGTTCAGTAACCCATGCTTGTCAGAAGAGGCGACTAACGGGATCGGGTGGTCAGGCTCGCTGACTTGGTTGACACATGTCATCGTATCCCAATTGCGTAGATTGATGCTCATACTGTTAATCACTGGATTGTCTGGTCCAGACTGCCGCCGTATAGCTGGAATATTGCTGAGTGCGGCATAAAACTAAACTCACTCACTCAATGATCAAGTGATAAACATGGATCCATACCCAGGACCCTTCTGCCGCCAATGTTCATGTTAAGGTTTCAATTTGAATGTCAGTTCTAGGGTGCTCTCTTGAAGCGGCAATGTATCTCTCATGTAGTCAACTTGTCATGTTTCACACAGTCATGCATACGACACAGGATGCCCGGTAGCATAACCATGATAAAGTCTGTTCCCGTTATCTCAATACTCTGACTTTGCTACTAGCCCAATGGTTAAAGTGTTTGTTTGTCATACGAAAATCCAAGTTCGATTCCTCACATGGGTACAATGTGCGAAGCCCTTTTCTGGGGTCTCCCAATGTGATATTACTATCTTATTGTTTAAAGCTGTGTAAAACACTCACTCACTCACTCTGGCAAGGTTTTAACAGATACAAAATATTCATTCAATATACATAAACAAAACTGTAAGTAGACATAGATAATTTGCACTGCAAGTGGAAATGTGTAAAAGTGTGGTCAGTTTCAATATTTAGAAATAATTGAACTTGCAGGATGTGCCTGACAACTACCGATATACTGTGTTCTCATATTGCAGAGTGATTCTGGTGTTAGTGATGAAGCCAGCGTTGCACACCAAAGGGTAACTAACAATAAGTTATAGATGATCATGTGTAATGATTTAAAGACACTGTATGTCTGTGTCCCCCTGTCTGTCTGTCCAATATGGGTTGACATAGTTATTATCCCCCGCAACGCGTTTTGCAGGGGGTATTAAAATGGACTCTGTCTGTCCGTCCATCCGTCCGTCCGTCCATCCGTGCACATTTGTCTTTTCCGGAGCAGAACTCTAAAACCATTCACTATTTCTTCACCAAACTTGGCACATAGATTGGTCTGGTGGTGTACTGGTGCCTTTTGGTAGTTTTGGAATTCTGAATAAAATATTTTTGGCTTTTCCATGGCAACAAGTTTGACTTAGCCTGAAATTGGTGGTAGTGTTTTTTTCCCGAGCTGAACTTTAAAACCCTTTCAATACTCTCCTTCCACTTTTCTATATACACACCTTAATATTTGACATAATCATAACTCGAAGACATAATCATGAAGAGTATTTTGCCATTGCGGGGGATATTGATGACTTTGTCTTCTTGTCAAATCTAATTCTGAATCCCCAAAGGAAGTTGTGGCAGTAAGATGATGCCTTTTATCAACATTCAGTATTTATGATAGAGAACTAAAGGACAACTCAGCCTAGACTGATGTGAAAATATGACTACAATATGACTTGGAAGCTTGTTGAACATATCCTGCATGCCATATTTGTTGTCAGGGTGCCGAGCCTCAAGGCAAGCTGAAGGAGGTGAATCAGATTGTCTCCGCCCAGCAGACCAGCCTAGAAATTATTGCCAACCTGTGCTGTGTTGGGGGTAAGTTTAGCCAGATATTTAGTTGTTCCAGTGTCAGTTAGTTTCATTTTCCAGATGATTAATCGGTCAATGAAGGATGACATGGTGATGATGTTATTTCATTTCTGTTGGAGAATACATTGACTGGCTTATTATCCTGTTCCCACCATTGTGTTGCCAGGGTCATGTTTTCATCATTCTGTTCCTAAGGTCATGCTCCTGGCATTCTGTTCAAAGGACCATGTTCCTATCATTGTGTTCCTAGGACCATGTTCCTATCATTGTGTTCCAAGGACCATGTTCCTATCATTGTGTTCCAAGGACCATGTTCCTATCATTGTGTTCCAAGGACCATGTTCCTATCATTGTGTTCCAAGGACCATGTTCCTATCATTGTGTTCCAAGGACCATGTTCCTATCATTGTGTTCCCAGGATCATGTTCCTATCATGATGTTCCTAGGACCATGTTCCTATCATTGTGTTCCTAGGACCATGTTCCTATCATTGTGTTCCTAGGACCATGTTCCTATCATTGTGTTCCTAAGACCATGTTCCTATCATTGTGTTCCTAGGACCATCTTCCTATCATTGTGTTCCTAGGACCATGTTCCTATCATTGTGTTCCTAGGACCATGTTCCTATCATTGTGTTCCAAGGACCATCTTCCTATCATAGTGTTCCTAGGACCATGTTCCTATCATGGTTTTCCTAGGGCCTTGTTCTTATCATGGTGTTCCTAGGACATGTTCCTATCATTGTGTTCCTAGGACCATGTTCTGATCATTGTGTTCCAAGGACCATGTTCCTATCATTGTGTTCCAAGGACCATGTTCCTATCTTTGTGTTCCTAAGACCATGTTCCTATCATTGTGTTCCTAGGACCATGTTCCTATCATTGTGTTCCTAGGACCATGTTCCTATCATTGTGTTCCTAGGACCATGTTCCTATCATTGTTGTTGTGTTCCTAAGACCATGTTCCTATCTTTGTGTTCAGAGGGACCATGTTCCTATCATTGTGTTCTGTAGGGACCATGTTCCTATCTTTGTGTTCCTAAGACCATGTTCGATCTTTTTGTTCCAAGGACCATCTTCCTATCATTGTGTTCCAAGGACCATCTTCCTATCATTGTGTTCCAAGGACCATGTTCCTATCATTGTGTTCCTAAGACCATGTTCCTATCATTGTGTTCCAAGGACCATGTTCCTATCATTGTGTTCCTAGGACCATGTTCCTATCATTGTGTTCCGAGGACCATGTTCCTATCATTGTGTTCCTAAGACCATGTTCCTATCATTGTGTTCCAAGGACCATGTTCCTATCATTGTGTTCCAAGGACCATGTTCCTATCTTTGTGTTCCTAAGATCATGTTCCTATCATTTGTCTTCCAAGGACCATCTTCCTATCATTGTGTTCGAGGTGGTGGGGTAGCCTAGTGGTTAAAGCGTTATTTCGTCACGAAGGCCGGGTTCGATTCCCCACATTAGTACAATTTGAAGCCCTTTTCTGGTGTCCCCGGCCGTGATATTGCTGGAATATTGCTTAAAAGCGGCAGAAAAACCATACTCAGTCAGTATCATTGTGTTCCTAGGACCATGTTCCTATCATTGTTTTCCTAGGGCCTTGTTCTTATCATGGTGTTCCTAGGACATGTTCCTATCATGGTGTTCCTAGGACCATGTTCTGATCATTGTGTTCCAAGGACCATGTTCCTATCATTTTGTTCCTAAGACCATGTTCCTATCATTGTGTTCCGAGGGACCATGTTCCTATCATGGTGTTCCGAGGACCTTGTTCCTATCATTATGTTCCAAGGACCATGTTCCTATCATTGTGTTCCTAAGATCATGTTCCTATCATGGTGTTCCAAGGATCATGTTCCTATCATGGTGTTCCTAGGACCATGTTCCTATCATGGTGTTCCTAAGACCTTGTTCCTATCATTGTGTTCCAAGGACAATGTTCCTATCATGGTGTTCCAAAGATCATGTTCCTATCATTGTGTTCCGAGGACCATCTTCCTATCATTGTGTTCCAAGGACCATGTTCCTATCATTGTGTTCCTAAGACCATGTTCCTATCATTGTGTTCCAAGGACCATCTTCCTATCATTGTGTTCCTAGGACCATGTTCCTATCATTGTGTTCCAAGGACCATGTTCCTATCATTGTGTTCCTAAGACCATGTTCCTATCATTGTGTTCCAAGGACCATCTTCCTATCATTGTGTTCCAAGGACCATGTTCCTATCATTGTGTTCCAAAGACCATGTTCCTATCATTGTGTTCCTAGGACCATCTTCCTATCATTGTGTTCCAAGGACCATGTTCCTATCATTGTGTTCCTAGGACCATGTTCCTATCATTGTGTTCCAAGGACCATCTTCCTATCATTGTGTTCCAAGGACCATCTTTCCTATCATGGTGTTCCTAGGATCATGTTCCTATCATGGTTTTCCTAGGGCCTTGTTCTTATCATGGTGTTCCTATCATGGTGTTTCTAGGACCATGTTCTGATCATTGTGTTCCAAGGACCATGTTCCTATCATTGTGTTCCTAGGACCATCTTCCTATCATTGTGTTCCTAGGACCATGTTCCTATCATTGTGTTCCAAGGACCATGTTCCTATCATTGTGTTCCTAGGACCATCTTCCTATCATTGTGTTCCCAGGACCATCTTCCTATCATGGTGTTCGAGAACCATGTTTCTATAATGGTGTTCCTTGGACCTTGTTCCTATCATTATGTTCCAAGGACCATGTTCCTATCATGATGTTCCTAGGACCATGATCCTATCATTGTGTTCCCAGGACCATGTTCCTATCATGATGTTCGAGGGACCATGTTCCTATCATTGTGTTCCAAGGACCATGTTCCTATCATGATGTTCCTAGGACCATGTTCCTATCATTGTGTTTCTAGGACCTTGTTGCTATCTTTTGTTCCCAGGACCATCTTCCTACCATTGTGTTCCCAGGACCATGTTCCTATCATTGTGTTCCAAGGACCATGTTCCTATCATTGTGTTCCTAGGACCATGTGCTGATCATTGTGTTCCAAGGACCATCTTCCTATCATTGTGTTCCTAGGACCATGTGCTGATCATTGTGTTCCAAGGACCATGTTCTGATCATTGTGTTCCAAGGACCATCTTCCTATCATTGTGTTCCTAGGACCATGTTCTGATCATTGTGTTCCAAGGACCATGTTCCTATCATTGTGTTCCTGGAGTTGTTCCCAGTGTTCCCAGCAGGTTTTCCTCAGAGGCATGTTCAACACATTGCTCAATGTTCTGTCTTTCCACACAGATGATGACTGGGAGGATGTCAGCATCGACTCAGGCTCATCTGATGACATGGCTGTTGACATGAACATGGGGGAGGACGTCAGTGAGGAATTTGTAAGTATATTAACTTACAGGTACTAATTCTACTTTACCCAACGTAAATACGAGGGTCTTTTTTGTAGAGATCAGTAACACAAAGTCAGCTTATAGATAAGTATTTCAACATGTACCTTCTTTACGTGTCTTTCAGTGACATTAAATAAGCTGATGGAAGTAATTTATAGATATCAAATTCTGCAACATTTGAGTAAATTGTTTCTCCATCATCAGGTGAATGGGTGCTAGGATACAGATAGCTTATGTATGTAATGTAGCAACAACAAAAAGTAATGATAATGTACAGTCTAAGTAAACTTAGGCTCAGTATTATTCATTACACTGCAATACTGAGTCTAACAAAACCTTGTGGAAGGTCGTGTCAGGTAACCTTTTCAATGGACCAATCAGAACACAGCTTACCAAATCGTGACAGTTGACATTTGCACATACCTTTTGAACTTTTACCTTGAAAAGGTTTGTACCCGAGCGATTCGAGATGCTATTTTTCTGTATGATCGCTTCCAAGTGATGCACATGGAGCACGCCACAAGAGTGAGTAAACAGTCGCTGAGGAATAGCGTTTTGTCAGTATTCAAGGATGTCAGCTTGCGGAAATATTAGCTAATGATAGCCATGTCAACAGAAGCTCAAAAGCGTATATTCTGCAGGTCCTATATCTGTGTTTTATCGTGTTTTCATTTGTTATTAGATCAGTGTTGGCAATGGTAATGGGCGAAGAGAATATCCATTTTGTAAGTCCCGGCCAAACCCAAAATAGTAGCCGTTGTCTGATTGGTTAAATATGTTCATCCGTCTAAGCGTTTGATTGAATTTGGTCATAGGTCGCTCAAAGGTTACCTGGACGTGACCTTCAACAGTTTTTTGTTAGACTCAGTATAGCAGTGTAACGAGATAATACTGAGCCTAAGTTCTTAGACTGTGATAATGTAGGTCATACTAACAAGTCAATTGTTAATTAGTACTCACTATAGATTTTCAGGGCGATGGGGTTGCCTAGTGGTTAAAGCATTTGCTTGTCATGCCAAAGACCGGGTTTGATTCCCCACATGGCCCAATGTGTGAAGCCCATTTGTGGTGTCTCCTGCTGTGATATTGCTGGAATATTGCTAAAAGATGCGTAAAACTAAACTCACTCATTCACCCACTCACCCTATAGGTTTCAGACAGGCTCCAAAGATTATATGTGCATGTATTGTTTGTGCCAGAGTCCGGTTTGCGTGCCAACAGAAATCCAGGGCGCCCTGCTGAACGAAGATATCCTCACAAAGGTAAGCATACCCTTGGAGACGTCACCATGTGTTGGTCAACTTGCAGCAAAATGACCATCACAAGATCGCAGTGATTTGAGTGCCAAGATCTAGGACTAATTTCTGTCATAACATAATAACATGTAAGATTTCAATGATTATGATTGCGATAATGAAGTCCATCTGTTGGTGATGATTGACTGAGTGAATATGCTGGTGTAATTAATTTGCGCATAAATTTGTTGATGTTGATTTGTCAGGTTTTGAACAAGGCCCAACCTGTAGAGGAGAGCAAACAGATTGTGCTCAACAACTGTGTCGGGGGCAAGAAAATAGCAAACAGGTAGTTTAAATAACATTTTTGCAATATTCTGTATATTCTGAAAAACATCAGGACATTTCTGGTCTTTGAATAGCTGACCTTGATTGACAAGGTCAAATTCACTTGAAAAGACTTAAGACAGTTTCATTATATTTTGTCAGATACCTGGTTCCAGCCAGGTTCATGATTCTCGCTTGACAGCTGTGAATGATGGTGTAAAGCTTCGGGTTCGTATTGGTCTTCAGCAACCCATGCTTGCCGTAAGAGGCGACTAACATGGTTCACGGACTTGTTTAACACAAGTTGCATAGATCGATGCATATGATGTTGATCACTGGATTGTCTGGTCCAGACTTGATTATTAACAGACTGCCACCATATAGCTGGAATATTTCTGAGTGCAGCTTTAAACAACAAACACAACAACTGAAATAGACTTCAATGAGTAATCAACATTGATAATGGCTAGCAAGGTCCCTTGAAAATGACTGCTGATAGTATCAATGATAGCATTTTCCAGCAGAGTTACCGTTATGCGTCTGCTAGACAAGACGATGATACAGTGTGGTGTTTTGTGTAGTCTGCTGCGAGTCCAGACCCATGCCCTGCTATGCCTCAACAACATCCTCAACACAATGTCTGCCGATGCTCTGGGTGGGCTCCTACCGCTGCACAAGATGTGGGACGGGCTGGTGCAGCTCTCCAACTCAACACAAGGTGGGTAGCACTCACTGGGTAGTTCTTGGTGGAGGGTATGAGGTGTGAAGCCCATTTCTAGTGTCCCTTGCAGTGGCTTTGCTGAATATTGCTAAAACTAAACTCATTCATTCACTCACTGACTCGTCATATCAATCACTGGTTGATCTGGTCCACTGAAATTTCAGTACAAAACAACTGAAAGAATTAACCGAGACAGCAACTGCTTGTTTGCTATTCTCGAAGTATATGAATGAGTAAGAGAAAAGTAGAACTCTCTGGATAACAACTTCTTGTTTATTGCAATAGTGACATCGCTAAGTTCTCATACTCAACTACGTGTTGCTTATATTGAATGGAAAACACATATACTGTGAGACCTCGGATACCCGGATCCCAGATATCCGGAAACCTCGCCTTCCGGTCAATTTTTAGAGAAAACCAATCTCTTATGTCATAAAAGTGACTGTCTATAATGGATATTCGGTTTCCGTTTCCCGGACCCTATATTTTACAAACCAACCGGCTAAATCAACACAAAATTTACTCGCTTATCCGCATGAAGCTTTGATCTAACGCTGACCGTGTGAAGGGTCCCAGGTGTTTTGACACGAGACATAGTCTGCTATTCCGGATTAATGATCGGTCAGCAAGGTATTGGTGGTGATTAGTAGGCCTAGCTGACACATTGAGTTCTAACTGTTAAGTTGTTTATTCAGTCAAAGCAATAAAAGTGCAGTGTCTCGATATTCAAGTCAAAATGTCCGTCGTGTTGCAAAGCAGCGGCGCCCAGTGTAAGCAGTCCTCAATGAAAGACTTTTTCAAAACTGAATAATTGTAAAGGTATGATTGTTATGTTGTGATGCTGTTTTTTAATGTCTATACATGTACAATAAAGGCTTGACGATCATAAACATTTTGGATTATCCTAAACGTGTATGAAAACCAAAAATCCAGATATCTGGATGATTTACGTAAAAACAAATGTGTCCGGATATCAGGTCTCACTGTACACATTATGTGTGTGCAATAATTTTAAAAGCAACTTCAAACCCCTCATCACATGATCTATACTGAATGATATGCGACGTATCACACTCTCTGTTTCAGCCAAGTCTCACCTTGAGTTCAAACCCCTTATCACATGATCTATACTGAATGATATGTGACGTATCACACTCTCTGTTTCAGCCAAGTCTCACCTTGAGTTCAAACCCCTTATCACATGATCTCTACTGAATGATATGCGACGTATCACACTCTCTGTTTCAGCCAAGTCTCACCTTGAGCTGCTGGAGGCAGTGACCAGCGCCATGAGAGCAGTCATACAGAAACTGGCCCAGCTTCAGTCCCCCAAGGTGATGATAGTCTCAACATTACGTCTCACTTGTGTCAGTCTACATCAGCTTGTATTGTTTGGCAAAGACTTGATTGTTATAAGTTATGTAACATGGTGATAGGGCTGGAAGACTGGTGACAATGTGTGAAGCCGATTTCAATGTGTGTCTCCACCGTGATATTGCTGGAATATTGCTAAAAGCGTTGTAAAAGCATACTCAATCACTGGTGACTGTTGCATGAAGCAAATTCCACTCACTCGCTCACTCACTCACTCACTCACTCACTCACTCACTCACTCACTCACTCACTCACTCACTCACTCACTCACTCACTCACTCACTCACTCACTCACTGTTGTTTCAGTTCTCGGAGGTCACAATCGCTGACCTGCAGTTCCTGTTTGCCCTGAGCCACCAGGGCCGGGAACGCCAATGTCCGGGTGAACGCTGTTCGCTGCGTGGCCACTATAGGTGGACTTCTGGCCAAACTAACAACACCACACCCACTGCTGAAGGTAAGACCTAGCACTGAAGCAGTTGCAACTCCCATCCCCATCCACTGACTTAGCAACATAGTGCTGTGGTCAATTTGTGTAGGTGAAAGAATAGTTTGGTTCTGTAGCTAGAAGAAGCATAAAGGTTTGTAAATTAATTTGAAATTACTTGGTTAATTGCTTGGTTATGACTAAATTTGATTGTAAACAATCATTCATTCCCTCACTCATACACTCAAGATGGATTAATATGACTGATCTTTGCTATTGCCAGGACATAGGGCACTTCCTGTTGGAGGTGATTGGACGTGACTCAGAACTGTGGGTAGTGGCAGAGGCCTTGGACTCTGTGTTTGACGTCTTCGCAGAGGATCATATTGACCCAATCGTACGAGAGATAGCCCTGGTTGAAAAGCTGAAAAACTTCAGACCAATGCTAATATCACGGGTAAATATCTTAACAATAAAACAAATAAACCAAACCTGATTATTTACAGGCTTTGGAATATAGCTTAAATACCACTGAAAATTGATAGTGGTAATAACGGTACAGTGGCACATGTAACGTCACTTGCCCTTATAATTTTCCCACTATACCGACCGCTTTCTTGCTGATTTTTTAAATAAACAACATAATTAACATTTGAAAGTCAACTGGACACCAGTACAGTGTGATATACAAATTTGCTTGCCCGACAGAAAACAACGACTGGACTCGGACGTCGGGCAATGCGTTATTTCCACCCCTGCAGGGGTTAGAACATCTCCCATTTTCCCCGACTGGCAAGATTGACTGGTGCCTGATAGCAACTGATGTTGTTAGACAATAAATGTTCTCATTTCTTTCGAAATATTTGTTCCCAGACCAAGTTTGGTATAAAAACTTTCAATGTATCTGAATTTCTGGTTCCTACTATACATATCCTGCAAATATAGTTTAAAAGAGCCTTGTCTTGATTATGCTGACTCGGTGAAACAAAAACAGCCTTCAGAGCCAGAAGTAAGCATGACCTGTCAACACACAAAATGGTGCCATGTGCTCTAGTGCTATATGCTTATGCATTGTATACAAAAATATTGGGACACTCATTTTGATTACAAATTTAGGGACTGAACAAGTTCTTCCCATATGCATGCCAAAATCCAGTGATCACATGGTCAATTCCCAGATTCTGATCACTGGGTCATTCCCAGATTCAAACACTGACCATATTCTAGGTGTCAGCACTATACCATGCTGGTCAGTGTCACCAAGGTCGTAAACGTCAAGGAAATCAATTCAGGCCTCCCCTCCACATTAAGCTGAAATATAGTTCAAAACATGGTTAAAACTTACAAATGCTTGTTCACTTGTTAAAGTATGTACCATCATTAATGACACATAATGTGAGCGATTCCAGGTTAGTATTGGTCACAGGGGCTTGTAACCCTAAAAACTGCCATCAAGGTATATACTGTCACTGACGGGGTCTTAGCACTATATAAAAGGAAAGGGATGTAACGAGGTCAACACACCAGGTTCGTTTCAGGGCGAATTCAACAATACTCACTGTATTTATCCCATTTAAAGTTGCACACATTTCAAGCCAATAGATTTACCTACAAAATGACACATACAGCACAAAAATCAAAGCAGTACTTTGGGAGCTAGGGTCTTCGAAAGCTCGAAAAATCGTGAGTTCTCTATTCCGAGCCAAAATCCCCGCTCAGAATTTGTAGCGGTAACTCACCAATTTTCTTGTTAATTCACAGTATACACATACGACATTCAGCAAAACATGTTGACCTGATGGCACCTGTCAGCACGCCAGTCACCATTCTTTCGGAGATACTTACATCTCACTGTCATAATGAGTTTACGTACATTTATTCATCGCAAACAGAATTGTGTCATGCCCGTTTGCCATTGACGACCTTGGCCTTAAAGTGCCCCGCACTGAAAAGAGTCAGCGATTTGATGGGACATATTTTATTTTTAGCCAATGTGCTCCCTTGCTCTTTTAAGTGCAGGGCATACAGCTGGAATATTGCGGTGTTAGGCAGTAGACAACAACCAAACCAAAACAACAAATATAATGAATTGCTCTGTGAGGTTACAGCTGTAATGGAGGTGGTGATCTTGGTCCTCTATGTCTTTGTTTTCTGCTGCAGATAAACAGCGAACGAGGGAGACTGGGAGAACACGTAGCCCTCATCAGCATGGTGCGCACAAACCTGAAGCGATTTATTGACTACAAGGCCTCTCATTGAAACATCGCAGTTGGGTCTTTTGATGCATAACAAACTTTATTGCAGACTTTTACTTATCTTCTGTAAATGTATGGTACCAATGCCAGGATTTTCCCAAACACAGGCCAACAGTTTCATTGCATCTGTAATTGTTTTGAAAGAGTTTATTGTAATATAAGAAAATTATAAATATATCCAGTTAAAGGTTTTTAAAGGGCTCTTCATTATGTGCTGAAAGTAATGATATGGACAGTGGTGACTTCAGGGGCTGCATATTTGCTTTGAAATATTTATTAAGAAACGTAATACTATATATCTGAGCGTCAGCAAATCTGTTATGTAGCTTTTTCCTTTTTAAAAGACAAAGGTTATGAAGTCATTAAATGATCTCAGTTATGTCAATGATGTTAAGTTGTGTGCCTAAATAGAGCTTTCATTGATGTAAGATCCAACCAAGTGCTGCCTCACAAACATGTACATTTAGAGATGTAGTGTGTTTCTAATCGTCCGACTGAGAGGTATGCATAATACTTAAGGGCCCGTTTCACAAAGTTCTCAGAAGCCCAAGATCTCTAAACTTTTCTCATAGCATTCGTACTTCCTATGTTACAGCATATAAGGTACGAATGCTACGAGATAAGTTACAAGATCTTAGGCTTACGAGAGCTTTGTGAAACTGAGCCCAGTCACCCATTCAACAAAGCTGTCTTGTATGTTAACATGGACAGCCATTGTTTAGTGGAGGGAGAGAGCCAGAACCTGTAAGTGTTGGGAGTAGAGGGGTGGGGGGGATAGTGGTCAATGTTTCTAGATCCATCTGAATGACGAGTTGGTCAAAGTTAGTGAGTTGAAACGACATCAGGTTCAAGATTAATGAATAAATCTAATAATAATAATAATACATGCATTTATAAAGTGCAGCAATTCACAAATATGATGAGCTCTGTGCGCTAGCTGAGAATTCATCGCTGGAACTTGTAGTCCTGATCAAACAAGTATGTCTTTAGCCGTGATTTAAAAGAAGAGACAGTGAAGGCAGTTTTGATGGTATCTGGAAGACAGTTCCTGATTAGATGCAGCTGTGAAGGAAAAGCATCTTTTTCCAAAAGTAGACGATTTGATCTGAACAGAGAAGAAATGTTGACATACATGCTCATGTATGTGGCTGCTGGTATTAGCCTAAGCCCGATCCACAAAGTGATATTAGCACTAAGGTGATCGTAAATTCCATACTATTACACACACTTACGATTGTTGTAGCACTATGATCGCTGTGTGGGACGTGACCCTGGGCTAGTGCTGGTATTTGGTGCTGGCGCACTTGAGATACAACTTTGCAGTTCAACATGTATACACCATCAGACGCAGTATACTGACTTCAATGACCTTGTGTTATTCCCTAAATGCAAGCAGACGGCAGGTTAAAAAATGCCATCTGTTTAAATCTTGGGTATGATGCAGACGGGAGTTTGAACCACCAAATTCCAGTCTTAGGGCAGACACTCTGACCCACAGACCATGAGGCGGTCCATTGAGAGATAGTAATATGGCATTCTGCACACAGGATCACATGTCATAATTGTCCATAGTTGCCTTACATGCCGATCAGGGAAACAGTGCCGATACATACAGGACACTATTCTGTTTGGGGGCGGTGGGGTAGTCTAGTGGTTAATGCGTTCGCTTGTCACGCCAAAGACCTGGATTCGATTCCCCACACTCACTATTCTGTTTGTTTCCTATGATTTCAGTGAAAGCATGGACAAATGCATGTTGGGACATTTGTACAGGAAGGGCATTAATCATTGTATAATTATTCTATCATTCTGAAAAAATCTCCTATGAAATTGCTTTGCAGTCAAACTTCCAAGAATGTATTACAATGTGGGTTGACTGTTTTACAATTTTATCTTGTTGGTATTGTTTTAATGTATACAGTCAGAATGTGATTTGAGGGAATGCCTCAGTGTCCAAATGTTTACAGCTCTGAAACCAAATTTGGCAGTTCATATCTTAGAATTGGTCTAAGGGTTCTTAGACTCTGAAATTCACTTTGTTTTTATGTAGATTTACTTGTTTGGACAGCATTTTGGGGTATGAATAACACTTTAACTGCAGAACAGATGAGGCAGGCTCAACTAACACTCACTGTTTCTTAAGGTATTTTGTGTCCTGCCAACCAGGATTTGTTTTCTTAAACCAGGAAGTTGAGGAGGTCACGTCTTGTACTTCTCAGTGATGTCTTTGTTGTCAGACATGCATGGTCTGAGTGTGTCCTATGTACATGTACAAGCAAGTGGTACTAACACTGTGCTAGGAGGATGCCATGTAAGGTTGAAAGTTCAGTTAAGTGAAGAGGTAGGGGTGTTGTCATTCCCTTGTCGAGCATTACACCAAATTCTTTATACATGAACCATGTATAGGAATTGTTACATGAATGCAATAAAACCTTTCCCAATGTTGTGTTTTCTATCGTCTCATTGGCACATTGATGACCCTTCCAAATTGATACCGTGAAAATCTGGGTTGGAATAGGTCTTAAGCAACCCATGCTTGTTGTAAGTGGCAACATACAAGATCAGGTTCAAGCCAGCTTGGTTGACACATGTCATCGTATCCCAAGCAATGGTCATAATGTTGATCACTGGATTGTCTGGTCCAGACTTGCTTATTTACAGACCGGAGCCATATAGCTGGAATATTACTGAGTGCGTCGTTAAACAGAAAAACTTCCAATTGAGTTTCCATTATCACATGACACATGGATCCTCATGATGTTGATCACTGGATTGTCTGGTCCAGACTTGATTGCCACCATTTAGCTGGAATATTGCTGTTCCAACTGAGTTTCCATTGACATTAATGGCCCATCCACATTGAGTTTCCATTGTCTCATGGATGCTCATGATGTTGATCACTAGATTGTCTGGTCCAGACTTTTTACATACAGGAACATCGAATAAACAAACCTTGCCATGTGGATGACCTTTCCAGGTTGAATTTCCATTGTCCTATTCACATTGATGACCTGGAATGTGAACAGATTAATATCTGCAGCATTATTACAGACCAGCTCCTAGAAGCCTATGGTTATTGCAAAAGTAACCCAATGAGAACTGTGGTCATGCCGAGTCTCTTGGGTGAATGCCGGCAGGATTCATGCTCATAATATCAATTGACCCGTGAAGATCCGGGGTAGAATAGGTCTTCAGCAACCCATGCTTGCCACAAAAGGCGACTATGCTTATCGTAACGGGATCGGGTGGTCAGGCTCGCTGACTTGGTTGACACGTCATCGGTTCCCAATTGCGCAGATCGATGCTGATGCTGTTGATCACTTGATTGTCTGGTTCAGACTCTCTTATTTACAGACCGCCGCCATATAGCTTGAATATTGCTGAGTGCGGTGTAAAACTTCGCTCATAATATCAATCACTGACAAGTCTGGTCCAGATGTGATTATTTACAGACCAGGGCCCCGTTTCACAAAGTGATCCTTGCGCTACTTAGGTGATCGCAACTCCCATACTATAACATAGACTTACGACAGTCGTAACGCTACGATTGCTTTGTGAAACGGGCCCCAGCATCATAGATGGAATGTTGCTGACTGGGAGGTTAAGCAACCAACTGTTTTGCGATGATGTGTCATTATTCACCCATCAGTACCAACTAGACACACATTTATACATTCGAGGGTATATCTCAGACAAACAGTCAAATACTCTCATCATGTCTGGTCCAGACCCAGTTCTGTACAAGCAACCTTTGGATTAGCGGTAAGTGTGGCATTAAACAACAACACAAACATGTCAAGTAAACAAACAGTGGAAGCCCTGAAGTGAACAATGACAAAGAAGTATGAATGGCAATGAATATATGAATGTTTATTTATAGTGTTGATATTGCACATGTCCACACTGACACAGTATATTTACATTTTTGATCAAATTCTTTCAAACAAAGTCAGTCTGAAGTATGAGACGAGGAAAGTCAGTTGTGACCACCATTACAACAGGTGGGAATCGGTGTACGTAACATCGGAATGTGAATGACACACTTGCAGACCACTGACAAAAGCATGGCTTCCTTTGATGCAGCAGATGAAGTAGCACATACATTAACATTATAATGAGGCCACACTTTCACAGATCTTTTTTTTTCATGTTCAACCTACAATAGCTACAAAATTAGGATATATTTATATTTGCCATCTGCATTTGCTCAAATGCACTGTACATGGGAACAAAACCTTTAAGTCGCCTATAAATGTTACTCTACTGAAGACCTTGTATTTATTATGAAAATAGGCATTTTCTCTTTCTCTGACAATACCAAATGATCCAAAAGTTCATGGAATAATGAACAAGCTTGAATAAAACAATATGTTTCTTTTTTTTCCAAAATTGTCATCTGCTGGTTTTTGTAAATCATCCACAATATTCTTAAGAAATTATGGACTGTCGTCTAAATGTTTGGACTAAGTTGGGGCACTATGAAGATTATACAGAGACTGGCCTAGAAGAATGGCACTTGGGCCTGAACTAAAACAGGGCACTTTTTGTGTTGAAAATACAAGAATCTGCAAACCATAAAAAAGAAACAGTATGGCCTCATGGAACGAAACATAACAAGGAACAAAGCAATTGATTCCAGGCTGTCAGTAAAGCAATTATACAAGGACTGTACTTACTGTCTCACCAGATTGGAACAATAACATTCAGGATACATACACAATGTGTACAAAGCAAGGACTTCCTGTTCTATTTTGTTCCTTATTTGTTACAAACAGTATGTCATAGTTCTATCAAGTGAATGGCACATAAAACTGTTCTCCATCTCATGAACGTTTTGTATGTCAGCTCGTATCAATCGTAGATCATTGAGGACCCCACTGTACTTTCATTTTGAAAACACATCAAATGGAACTTCATGTGCGATTTGAATTTGTTCAGCAGTTCTTCCATGAATCTGAAACAGAAAAACATCAGATAGGATGATCATGTGACAAATTCAAATGTTGAATTTTTAAGTTCAGTGTGAAGAGGATTCAGTATATAGAGTCTGACATTTTAACATGTTGTCTAAGTCAGAAGACAGAGTGGTGGTTGTGTGAACTGAATCAATTGCAAGGTTGAGAGCAAGTTTAACTGATCAGTAACACTCCCATGAAGATTAGAACTGGTCTTCAGCAACCATGCTTGTCATAAAAGTCAACCAAAGGGATCAGATGGTCACGCTTCCTGACTCTCATGATATGAGTCACTATATCTCATTTGCCTAGATTGATACTCATGATGTAAATCACTTGATTGTGTGGTCCAGACTCAATTACTTACACACTTAGAGGTTGAATACTGCTTAGTGTGTCATTAAACAACATATACAATCTGCTCCACATTACATTGTCACATGCTACTCACTTCTTATCTTGTCCAGACAGCTGGGGAACACAGGCAAGGGCTTCCTTGAAACTGTTGCTGTTGGAATGAAAAAAAGACTGACTGAGTTTGGTTTTAAGCCGCTTTTAGCAATATTCCAGCAACATCACGGTGGGGGGACACCAGAAATGGACTTCACACATTGTACCCATGTGGGGATTCGAACCCAGGTCTTCGGCGTGACGAGCCAACGCTTTAACCATTAGGCTACCCCACCGCCCCGGAATGAAAAGAAGGGCAATAAGTAGACTAACATAAATTATGCATAATGCCAAACAAAATAAATCTAGCAGCCCTAAAGTTCATGAAACCGAGGCAAGTATGCAATGCTTCAGTTGATAAGGTGATGGTTTTCTCTAATACAAACTCCAGAGTCTGGTGTCACTTTCACTTCCTACAGTTCCAATGTCTGTCGGAACATTTGAGAATTCCTGCAGAAACTCTGTTATTTGTTAAACTGACATAACTTTCTAATAGGTATGAATCCAAGTGACAATACCCATGGAATTAAGAGATGTATGAAAAATACTGCATATGGTCTAATCTTTTTCACAGAAAACCTGATATGGGTGAAGAAACAAACAGTTGCTTCTGCAGAGAGAGTACTGTTTTACACTGGTTGAAACAATACTGGGGGAGGCCAATGTCAGTTAAGGCTTTGAACACTGGTACATCGCACTGTTTGCAAAACAGAAATGATTTCAGTTGAAGCTAACCACCAAGTAACATGGCATGGCCTCATGACATCTCCTACCTGATCTTCTCATTCTTGTATACAGCCACTGTGTCTTGAAGGGCATATAACTCCAGTCTTGCCTGAAACAAGTTGACAAAAACTTGATTTAAGGCTCGGGTTCAAATGTAAGTTTATGCAGCTTGCAGAAACTGGCTACGAGACAAGTTTATTACCTGTATGGACATCGCGAGACTAAGGGAGATAACCGCGCTATACATGTTAGTTAAGTTTTCACATACACAAGACTTGATGCATTGCAGAAACTCTTTAGAGGCCGTATTTTTACCGCCCAGGCTTATTTTTGTAATTCCAGACCGCACTTTTGTTAGTGAAGCTGCTCTTGTTAGAATTGTTAGTGAGCTTTTTATTAGAGGAAATATGGTTTACAGATATGTCACTGATAATGGGCAGACATGGCTGCAATACACAAAAGATGGGAAGAGCAAAGCATGAACATCTGAACAAAATCATCAGTAAAGTAAACATGGCTTGATCTTTCTCAAGCTGAAATCTTGAATCCATATCAGAGGTCTCATATTAATCATTTAACCAAATTCCTACTATATAGCATACATGTAATTTGTTTGTTGCTGAACACACAGCAATATGACAGCTGGCCTATAGAGAATGAAAGCTGGAGCAGGCAAACCAGTGTTTGATGTGAGCTACTTCCCACACCATCTGGGGTACACTGATCAGCTGATTCATTCAGTTACTCCACTGTTGGAGCTACACTAAACCCTAATCCAGACAGTGTGTGAGTGAGTCTAGTTTTACGCCGCTTTTAGCAATATTCCAGTAATATGACGGCAGGGGACACTAGAAATGAGCTTCACACATTGTACCCATGTGGGGAATTGAACCCGGGTCTTCGGTGTGACGAGCGAACGCTTTTACCACTAGGCTACCCCACCGCCCCTAATCCAGACAGAAACCATTAGGCAAATATTCATTGTCATGAGAGGCCTGATGTGCTAAGACCTTATATTATTGTTTGGTTGGTTTCTGATATCAACAAACCAAAACAACCTGAATTAAAGTGAGTGAGTTTAGTTTTACACCGCACTCAGTAATATTCCAGCTATATGGCGGTGGTCTGTAAGTAACTGAGTCTAGATCAGACAATCCAGTGATCAACAGCATGAAGATCGATCTGAGCAATTGGGAACCGATGACATGTGTCAACCAAGCCAGCGAGCCTGACCACCCAATCCCGTTAGTCGCCTTTTACCCTGAATTGCCAAATGGTATAAGAATTTATACCGAAACATCACCATTGTCAAAATAAAGAAGTTGATCATCCATAAAGTCTTGTCATCCCTGTACCACCAACCTCTAGAATCCCACTCAAAAAAATCAAACAAATTGTAAACCAAAAAAAAACAAGCATTGTCACTAAGGTGACATAATCCCCCGCCGCAAATTATCAAATCAAACTTATAAAGTAATGAAAGTTTAAGTTAAATGTCAACAAAAACATGACCAGTCAACCTCTCTTGATAGCTTGTTTTTTAGGTGTTCAAACACACACATATTTTCAAGACTGACTTTGACCTTGACATGAATGTCATAGTGTATGAAATATGCAAAAATAGTACTAAAGAAATTGCTTATTGAAAAACATTTAAGTGAAGTCTTGAAAGTCTGAAGAAAATCCAGTGAACCATTCTTGAAATATCTTGCTGACAATTCAGGTTAACATGCTGAAATCTTCAAAGTGTCGCTGTGACCCTGGATGAAGCTTGGTGTCAAATATGAAGAAACTCCAGTGAATGGTTCTTTAGGTATCTCGCTGACAAGCATAACCTGCAGGTTAATATGCTGAAATCTTCAAAGTGTCTCTGTGACCTTGAAAATTAAGTGAAGGTCACCAAAATTAACTGGGCGCTGCACCTTCACTAGATAAAGCTTTGTATTGAATATGAAGAAAATCCAGTGAACGGTTCTTGAGATAGTTTAACATGCAATTTTACATGCTGAAATCTTCAAAGTGTCGCCATGACCTTGAAAATTACGTGAAGGTCACCAAAATCGACTGGGCCCTGTGCCTTCCCTAGATAAAGCTTTGTATTGAATATGAAGAAAATCCAGTGAACGGTTCTTGAGATAGCTTAACATGCAGGTAAAACGTGAAAATTCCCATGTGACCTTGAAATGAAGGTCAAGGTCACCAAACCTGACTTGGACCTTTCTTAAACTGTGATGAACCTAGGTACCAAATATGAAAAGAATCTAGAGAACAGTTCTTAAGATATTCCAATTCGTACGTAGGGACGGATGGACGGAGCCTAATACTATATCCCCCGCTTCGCACTAAACGCGCGGCGGGGGATAATAATGTAATATGAAAGGCCTAATGTTGCTGATTCCTGGTCCACATTACAGGACTCTCTGACACAGAAAATTGCTGACATTAAAAAACAGCTACATTAATCCACCCATCAATCGTTCCTTCCTTCTCTACAAAGCACAGCAAGTGTTACCTGTATAGCCCCGTTGTTGTTGAAGCCTGGGCTACAGTGGATGAGCCTGGACATCTCCTCACACACAGACTCGGCAATCTTCGTCATCACTCGCAACACGAATATCGGAGATATACTGAACACCTGCAAACGTCACATCAGTGATCAGTAATAAATAATAAATAAACTTCATATCTATGTAGCATCTGTTCCAAAAAATTGATCAGAGATGCTCAGCTTAGTGAGGTGAGGTGAAATTGGGTTTAACGTCGTGCTTGAGAATATTTCGCTCATATGCATGCGTCTGTATGTGTATGTGTGGCTGGTTTTATAGTGCCAGACCACTGAGATACCATGCCGCAGTGAAGCATGAATACTCCACTCAGACACATTATACTGACTCCGAGCCGACCAGTCCTTGTTGTACCCATTAATTTCGAGCGCCAGGCAGGGACCAACAAGTACCATATTTTAACGTCCTTTGGTATGACGCGGTCAGGGATCGAACCCGCAACCTTCCGCTCTACGGGCGGACGCTCTAACTACTACACCACGGAGGCGGTCTCTCAGTTTAGTCATCTTGATCATTACAGACAAATTCCGACAGACATTTTTACAGCTTTATCATAACATGTTACAACAACTTGAGTTACGTTTCTGGTCCTCCTTTCACAAAGCACTAAGGTGATCGTAAGTCACTAAGGTAACCTTAGTGCAATGTTAAAGAATGGGAGTTAAGGTTAACCTTAGTAAAGGTTGCTTCGTGAAAGGAGCCCCTGGTAGCATAAGGTAGATCAGGGATTACTCACCTCTGCATGTACTTCAATCATACTCATTAGAATTTCCTTCAGGTAATGCCTCACACCTGCAACACAATCACATACACCTGAACATGTGTCAGAATCTCATCAACTTGACAAACTCTCTACATTGTTGCCACATACTGACCCTGGCATAAAACAATATGTTCTACAGCACTTCACTTGTCTGAACTGGGTAAATGGTATATATATCATCTTTTCAAAGGACACCTTGATATAAAAACTGTGATTAATAACTGTGTATATAGGAACCATTCATACTTTATGGCTAGCGGGGTGGTGATGTTTATGGAGAAGCATGTACAATGTGAATGATCCCCCCTAAAATTTTTGTACAAAGTAAGTGACACCCCAGCCCTCCTCCCCAACCGGCCCCTGCATGTCATGTACAAAATCAATGACAACCCCCCTAGTACATGTGTACAAAATTGATGAGCCTCCCTACCTCCCCAGAACAAAATGGGTGATCCCCTTAAAACCCTCATCACCCCCCAACCCCACCCTCAGCCATAAATTATGAAAAGTCCCTTAGAGCCTTTGATACAAATGTCAGCTGGAAATATCAGCACTGAAAATATATTAAGCCTCCATAGGAGTTTGTTGATTTTTCTGTGATTACTACAAGCATTCACATACTTGTGCTTCCTGTAGCCGTGCCAAGGGAGAGCACTCATTCCACATGAGCACTGCACCACTAAAGTACTTATCTCCAACATCATGAAATTAATGCAAAACATGCAAGCCTCACTAGTTCATATTAATACAGTGACTTGCAGCTTATCTCAACACATTGGAGTACTGGATTTTATAAGTCCACCAAAAAGCCTACCCAAAGTAACGATAAGCAAACCATTATTTTGAAACTTAAGTATAATACATCCTAAATATATGAATGACAAACTTGTTGGTCTTTTCCAGTGCTTCCATTCGAAGCCCCCACGGTACATGTTTGGTTCCATAGCTCCCACTATAGGGTCGGACTTCTGCTCAATGTATGCCTCAAACAGCTTTCTATCCAGGTCACGATACGTCTCCTGTGCAGCCTGCATAATATTGCAAGATATAACATTACCACAAGCATACTTGGGTCTGTGACTGGGACCCACATGGTCCACTATACACACAGTGAGTGAGTTTAGTTTTACGCCGTACTCAGCAATATTCCAGCTATATGCCGGGGGTCTGTAAATAATCGAGTCTGGACCAGACAATCCAGTGATCAACAGCATGAGCATCAATCTACGCAATTGGGAACCGAAGGCATGTGTCAACCAAGTCAGTGAGCCTGACCACCGATCCCGTTAGTCGTCTCGTACGACAAGCATGGGTTACTGAACATCAATATTCTAACCCGGATCTTCACGGCTACAATACACACAGGCAATGACAAAGCAGCAATGTGACAACAATGATCTTTGCAGGGATGACAGCTGCACTGAAATGATCATGAATGCCAGCCTGTGTATGCTTTGTAACAGACACTTTTGGTAGGGATATCTATATCTGCTTGTCTAATTATCTCTATCAAAAGTGGAGCAGTACACCTTGCACTTATATATTGCACATATTGTCCTGTAGTATATATTTCACATATTACCAATGGCATTTATTGCACATCAACCCTATATTATATATTGTACATAAACCTTATGGTATATATTGTACATAAACCCTATAATACCGGTATATATTGCACATATACCCTATAGTATATATTGTACATATGCCCTACAGCATACATTGCTCATATGCCCTATAGTATATATTGCACATATTACCTATAGTATATATTGCACATATTACCTCAAGTATATATTGCACATATACCCTATAGTATATATTGCACATATACCCAATAGCATATATTGCACATATACCCTATAGTATATATTGCACATATACCCTATAGCATATATTGCACATATACCCTATAGCATATATTGCACATATACCCTAAAGCATATATTGCACATATACCCTATAGTATATATTGCACATATACCCAATAATATTTATTGCACAGTGGTGACAGCCACAGGAGCATGCCTTCACATCTGGGTACATTCTATGCTGATGATGCTCAAGATTCTACCTTCGAGGCCTTCTCCATTTCCACATAGCCGTGTTTGTTGAGATTCTCTGTGATCCTAGGAATGACCCTCTCACATGTGTGGATGCAGTTACTCAACATGATCACCAGACGCTTGTCCTGCAACAGGATTCAATAATACTTACACTGCAAATAACACCCTATGTTACACTTAAACATGATCTCAATGCTTTTGGCACAGCAATATTCCAGCAATATCTTTACACAATGTGCCCACACTGAGAATTGAACCCAGGTCTTTGGTGTGATGGGCAAACACGTTACCCACTAGGCTACCACAACACCCCTTAAGTCAAATAAGTAACTTTCAATTAAAGAATGCTACTATCATCCAAAAGCAAACACTAGAAAGCATTACATCAAAGTGACCATATCTCAAAGAATCCACTCACTAGTGAAGGGATTGGATCTTCAAATTGTTCCAGCATCAAGTCCAGGCCAGTGGGATTCTTCATCTTTGTCATACTGTTGGATAAGACCACATTGTCAAAAGCAGCAATGGTGTGTCTGTTTATTTAGTGTGTACACTCTGAACCATCACTATGACTCACTTCTGTCCATGATCTTGAGACACTGACTCACATCTACACTCTGAACCATCACTATGACTCACATATCTGTCCATGATATTGAGACACTGACTCACATCTACACTCTGAACCATCACTATGACTCACATGTCTGTCCATGATATTGAGACCCTGACTCACATCTACACTCTGAACCATCACTATGACTCATATCTGTCCATGATATTGAGACACTGACTCACATCTACACTCTGAACCATCACTATGACTCACTTTGTCATGTCCATGATATTGAGACACTGACTCACATTTACACTCTGAACCATCACTATGACTCACTTCTGTCCATGATCTTGAGACACTGACTCACATCTACACTCTGAACCATCACTATGACTCACATGTGTATCCATGATGTTGAGACACTGACTCACATCTACACTCTGAACCATCACTATGACTCACATCAGTGTCCCTGATGTTGAGACACCAACTCACATCTACACTCCCCACTAATACCCACCTGTGTGTCTCCATCTTGTGCAGTGGGGGACTGAAGGCGAGTTGCTCCATACACTGGGAGAAGGCCTGCAGCAGTTGAGTACAAAGGGAGGTGGCTTCCTTCTGGATTGGCCGCTGACTGAATATCTACAACACATGGCATCAGTCCAGGGAGTGAAAGACAGTAGTGAGTGATTTGGGTTGTAGCAATATTCCTGCAATATCAAGGTGGGGACACCAGAAATGGGCTTCACACATTGTACCCATGTGGGAAATCGAACACGGGCCTTTGACGTGACGAGCAAATGCAGTAACAACTAGGCTACTCCACTGCCCCGTGTAAAGAGTAACTGTAACCAACACCTATCACAACATGGACTCCAACAGAAAGGGACTGCAAGATTATCTCCAACACCCCATCCAGTTATCAGAAGCAGGAAGTATTTTCGCACACTTACATATTTAAGGATCACCAATCTTTGCTCATGAATAACATTGAGCAGTCTCAAAAAAAAAAAATAAATAAAAAACACTTCTAATTTCTTTCTCAGTTTCTGTTTTGAATCCCCTTGCCCAACGTGGTTAAAAACATAAACAGACAAAATACAGTGTACATAGTCCATGCTTGCCACACAACTAGTTAAACATATTTGTGTATATATTAATAATAATAATAGTTCATTTATAAAGCGCATATTTCCATGCACAATGCATGCTCAAAGCGCTGAATACTGCAACCTCAGTGTACACAGTCCCTGTTTGAGTAGAATCTGCCTACCTCTGGCTCTCCCGGCTTGTTGAGAACGACCACCTCATGTAGATGTTGCACTGCCTCATTCACGATGTTCTCAAACAAGGCAGGCTGAAACAAACATTTCACAGCTCACACTACCTTGTTTCCCTTTGACAAACAGACCTGTTCGTTTCAACTTTTCAACAATATTTCATGCAAACTGAAATAGATACAGTACTGAAGATAGAAAATATGAGTGGAAGTACCTACTTATATAGTTCATGAACAACAGTCGAAGTATAGGTTTTATCTGCATGTACATTGTGTCACTAACACATCTGTAAATCTACCATGCACCTCAACTGTCCTACCTTAACACTGGCTTACAACAGGCATATCACTAACTGACTGAGTATTGTTTCAACACTGCTTTTTGAGGAATATTCCAGCAATATCATGGTGGGGCAAAACAATAATGTACCTATCCTGTACCCATGTGTGGAATCAAACCCAGACCACCATGGTGAAGAATGAACACTTTCACCACTAGGCCACCTGTCCACATAAGTCATAGAAAAAGACTGCACGGATCTTTCATACAAATAGATACACACTTTTATGACTAACACAAAGCAACTATATTGTCCCGTGAGCCATACAGTTAGTTATGTTATAAATTAACACACAATCCTGACAAGATGTCTTCTTCTTACCAACTGGGTTGTGCCACCGTACTCATCGTCAGTGTCCACTGCCCACACTTCCTTCGTGTGCAGCAACTTCACATCTGTAACATGTGCGTATAGAGGTCTTTGACAGGCATTCAAAAAGTTTCCACATGTAATGATCATGAAACATGGTGTCTTTATTTGTTTGTTTAATTTTGCACTCAACAATATTCCAACTCTATGATGCTGGCCAGTAGTTGATCAAGGCTGGACCAAAAAATCCAGTGATTCATACTGACTGACTGACTGAGTTTAGTTTTATGCCGCTTTAAGCAATATTCCAGCAATATCATGGCGGGGGACACCAGAAATGGGCTTCACACATTATGCCCATGTGGGGAATCGAACCCGGGTATTCGGCGTGACGAGCCAACGCTTTAACCACTAGGCTACCCCACCGCCCCAGTGATTCATACTGTGAATGATTCCCATTACCATGATTACTGGGTCACACAATTAAGCAAGTCAACCAGTTTGATACATTTGGTGGCCTCTTAGAATGAACAAAGAATAATAGGGACCACTTCTAATTTGAATCACCATGGTGATGAGTGAGTATGGTTTTATGAATTCTTGTAACATTACAGAGGAGAATACCAGAAATGGGCTTCACAGGTCTTGCAATAATGAGTAGTGCCACTGAAAAAGTAGGTTGATGAAGAATATGGCAACAGCAATAGACACAAGTATATGTTAGGGACTTCAAGGATGGGCTTAACAGTCAGTTCCCAGTCACTGTACCCAGTTCTCATTGATTAGGCTTTGTAGAAATGTAGGTTGTAAACAAGTCCCTGCATTCACGCTAATCCTGACACATTACACAGTAAACACTAGACACAGATTCAGACACGCTCACACACGCACCTGATATAGCCTGTTTGAGTAGGGTGAACATGCAGTTGGTTCGGAGGTCAAAGGCCAGTTCTTGTAGTGAGTTCATTGAGTTCCCAAGAGTGTCCAGGTTGGAGAGAGATGATGCACAAGACCTGAAACAGTCAGACACTGAGTGAAACAGTTGGATACAGAGTGAAAGAGTCAGACACTATGAAATGGTTGGACACAGTGTAAAACAGTTCGATACAGAGTGAAAATGTAAGACATGGTGAGAACCAATTGGAAACAGTGTGAAACAGTCAGACACAGAGGGAAACAGTCAGACACAGAGGGAAAGAGTCATATACAGAGGGAAACATATATAGAGTGAGACCTTCAGACACAGTGTGATACAGTGATATACAGTGTTAAACCAATACTCAAATACTGTCGGCACATTCAAGCATGAAACACCTTAGAAGGAATATACAATTGTAAAAACATATTAGCACTAGAATGTCAATACTGTTGTATATGTTTAAACTGATACTGTTGCATTGATAATGCATGTATTCCAAATATACCTTCCTAGGCATCAACTAATATGTACAGAAATCTCATAGCTACCTGATTTGCCTGACACTGTGAGGCAGCCACGCCCCTGGGACGTTGAGGGGTGTGACAGACCACACCCCAAATGTCTCCCGCTCTGTCTTGCCAAAACTCTCTAGGGATCCAGGTAGGAATGCAGCTCGGACGAGGTTGGCAAACAGCCCTATAATTTCTGCAATCATTTGCTGCAAAACAAATAAGTCGTTACCTGAAACTCCTTCCAATAGAGGATACCTGTGTCCTACTTGACAAAACTTCTTTGAGAGGCATTTTAGAAGTTGTAAAGAGGAAGGAAAACCAAGTTCTATGGATAGTCAACTTCTTTATTGCAATGAATGCGACGTTTCGGTGTAGGTACTAGCACCGTTATCAAGCATCACTGGCTTGATAACGGTGTTAGTACCTACGCCCAAACGTCTCACTCATTGCAAAAAAGAAGTTGACTATCCATAGCACTTGGTTTTTTACTTCACAACAGAAAATTGATGTGTTAAACTAAAGACTGACTGACTGACTGAGTTTGGTTTTACGCCGCTTTTAGCAATATTCCAGCAACATCACGGCGGGGGACACCAGAAATGGGCTTCACACATTGTGCCCATGTGGGGATTCGAACCCGGGTCTTCGGCGTGACGAGCCAACGCTTTAACCATTAGGCTACCCCACCGGCCCTGTTAAACTAAAGAAATGGATTACAGGTATGAAGCCATTTTTTGCACCTTTACAATGTAAATGCAAACCCTTTCCATTAGCCTAACTGATGAATTATGAACATATATGTCTAAAGTCATTAATATTGTCAAAGTTATCACCTTAAAAGCATAGTACATCAAAAGTTTTAATGACCTCAGATCTTAGAACCTTTCAATCTGCTTGGCTATGAAACTGGACCTGTGCTTAGACCTAGTGGAAACTTACCTTCAATTTTGAATGTTTACTTGTATCTATCTTGAACCCTTTCTCCGAACTCTGAAATGAATTCGTACTTCATTATAAGACTTATTTTGTTGGTTGTTTGATGCTGCAGTCGACAGTATTGTAGCTATATGAAGGCGGCCTGTACATGATCGACAAACAAGTGGTTGCATTTGACGAGTTAAGTCCAACACTGCTGGGGCGCATTGACACGTGGTTAAACAGGACACTGATCCTGAATGTCTGATCTGATTTACTTGTTTCCAACGATAAGTAGGACAAGCAGCCGTGACCTGGGACCTAGATTTTCGAAGCTCCCTTTGCGCTAAGATAGTCGTAAGTGCCATACATTAACATTAACTTACGACTACCTTAGCGTTAAGAGAGCGTCGAAAATCCAGGCCCTGGGACCTAGCCTAGCCTGAGTTGCCATTTTGTCATGATAAATTCAACTTATAAAAGTAACATTGCAAAGTCATGCCAACATTTATCAATTTCAAGACAGGGTTGAAATTCTGGGCAATATTTCTATCTCCCATCCCCCTCCTGCAAACACCCAAATTCCAAGAACATGGAACAACTGTGATGTTCTACCACTTTTAACGTCTACCACGGCTGAGTGAGAATGAGTTTGGTATGAAACAGTTTTCAACTGTATTGTAGCCACACCACAACACATCAGCATAATGTGGGAGAAAAGCTTGAAGTGATGCAAATGTCCGATGCTTACCACTTTAATAAAACCTTACAAAGCATGGCTATGGTGCTGATACACTTAATTTAGGGTGAATCTCAGATTTGAAGTCATAGGGTTCTGGCAAGCCTATGGGCAACAACTCTGCACAGCAAATTTTGGTTCCTGTAAGGACTAGACCACTTCTGCACTGCTACCAGTGAGTGAGTTTAGTTTTATGCCGCTTATAGCAATATTCCAACTATATCACAGAGGGGGACACCAGAAATATGCTTCACAAATTGAATCCATGTGGGGAATCAAACCCGGGTGTTTGGCGTGACGAGCAAACGCTTTAACCACTAGGCTACCCCACGCCCCTGCACTGCTACCAAGGAGTATCAGTTAAAGTCAGATTGCAATACACATGGACTACAACACAGTATGTAGTGATATGTGACTTGCCTAAACAGAAATGGCCACAACATACTCAAAACAGACAAACAGCATTTGTACACTGTATCACAGACTTTATAGAGACTGTATTGTTGTACGCGACCAAGCATCATACAAAAAACATGAGGACAGGTGAGGTGAAATTGGGTTTAACGTCGTGCTTGAGAATATTTCGCTCATATGACGACGTGCATGCGCGTGTATGTGTATGTGCGGCTGCTTGTACTAGCCCAGACTAAAGCTGGTTTTATAGTGCTAGCCTACTGAGAAACCATACCGCAGTGAAGTATGAATGAGTGAGTGAGTGAGTGAGTTTAGTTTTACGCCGCACTCAGCAATATTCCAGCTATATGGCGGCGGTCTGTAAATAATCGAGTCTGGACCAGACAATCCAGTGATCAACAGCATGAACATCGATCTGCGCAATTGGGAACCGATGACATTTGTCAATCAAGTCAGCGAAACTGACCACCCGATCCCGTTAGTCGCCTCTTACGACAAGATAGTCGCCTTGTTATGGCAAGCACATGGGTTGCTGAAGACCTATTCTACCCCGGATCTGCACGGGTCTGAAGTATGAATACCCCACTCAGACACATTATACTGACTCCGAGCCGACCAGTCCTTGTTGTACCCATTAATGCCGAGAGCCAGGCAGGGACCAACAAGTACCATATTTTAACGTCTTTTGGTATGACGTGGTCGGGGATCGAACCCGCAACCTTCCACTCTCCGGGCGGACGCTCTAACCACTACACCACGGAGGCGGTCAACATGAGGACACAAACACATTCTTATTACAAATACAGGGATTCATGTATGATGATATCCTTTGCTCAGGGATAGGTTATAGATGGAGTATATAAATTAGCATTGATTTTGAAGGTTTGTACACATTTGGATGCATTTAACATAGGGTCAGCATACAGTATGTGTTCTCTGACCGTATATAAAACATGGTGACAAATGAAAGGAATGGATTTTTATAACTGAATCTGCTGGTAACATTCCTACCTCCAGCTTCAGCATAAAATCTCCTGTGAAATATGCCTGTCCAAGTTTCCAGAAGTCGGGGAAGTTGTCCATCATGATGTCTGTGAGGTCCTCAATGTACAACACCTTCTGGGGGGTTCTGAACTTGACACCTGACAAAAGGCAAGGTCATCATGGGAGGTCACCACTGATCAAACAGCGACACTGTACACAACAGGAACTATTTCTTAATAAGGCCACTTATATGGCACTGAACCCTGTGCCACACAGGCATACCCTAAGCACATATAACTAGAAAAGATGAAAAAAGCATCAGCAATGAAGGAAGAGATGATCTTAAGGCCACATTTAAAGGCAGTCAAGGAAAGAGCACATCTGAGGTGAAGGGGAAGAGAGTTCTACAGCAGCAGAGTGTTTGAAGGATCTGGCACCAAATGTTTTCTGCTATTAGGGAGGTACAGAACAGAGGAGTTTGTCAGCTGAACAAATGTATGTTGACAACATACAATGGATTATAAAACTACAACTACAATACTGAACTGACTGAGTTTGGTTTTACGCCGCTTTTAGCAATATTCTAGCAACATCACGGCGGGGGACACCAGAAATGGGCTTCACACATTGTACTCATGTGGGGATTCGAACCCGGGTCTTCGGCGTGACGAGCCAATGCTTTAACCACTAGACTACCCCACCGCCCACTACAATACTGTAACAATTGTGAAATTATTCAGACTTAACAAACAAACTAACAGTAATGAAGCATCAGTGGTTTGTTCAATGGCTAATGATAACGCTGATGATACTTTGGTACTCTAAAAACAAATAATGCATCAGTCCAGTGCTCAAAGTAACAGCTATGCATCAAGACTTTGAAAGTCTTTAAAAACATTCACCCAATGAAGGAACAAGAAATCTCTGAAATTTCATGACAAAGAATAAAAGAAGATGTTATCCATACAAAGGTGTCATGTATTCAAGCTATGCATCAGTTTATCAAATATACATCTCATCTAACTTCTACGTGGCTTACCCTACCTTGACTCTGAGACAGACACACAGACAGACAGATGACAAGACCATGTTATGATTATGTATAAAGAGAAAAGATTTCAATATTGTTTGATCAAAACTGTAAAACAAATCTCCCAATTAACTAATATAACTTTTGACACAAGCTTTACCTGGTTGATCGGATGAGGAAGTGAAGCTGGACTCTCTGGACACACCTGTAACACATCATCACCGTTCATCACATCACAAGCATACAAGACAATCATATCTCTAAATTCTATGTCCTAATACCCTTGCCCCATCTTACCCCATTGATTCCTGGTGAAATTACTGTGCATCAATACTTAAGAACACATGCAAAAAGATTTATTCCTTCATTAGTAGATAACTGAATAGTTCAAACACATTTCTGGAACAATGTCTTTTTTCAAAGCATTCAAAGGAATGAATACACAATGCCATTTAGAAAGTGTAACATATGTTATATTTGGGATTACACTTTCTTAGTAAAGAACAGATTCTAGTACTTTTGTTGGGTTGAGTCCCATCCAGGATTCGAACCCACACACCCCAGAGTCAGGCATCTAATCGCCAGCACACAAAGGCAGCCACCTAACCCTCTCAGCCACCGTGGCTTCCACAAAGGAATGTTGACAGTTTCATCACAATGTTTCAGATAGGAATATTTCTGCTTGCCACATGCCATTCAAATTTGGCAGATTGTTTGGGGTGAGTTAAAGAGGGGCTAACAATTCCTGATAGCTGAGAGAAAACACAGTAGCCATAGACTAAGAAGCAATAGCTGGGTAGTTAGCATGTCATAACTTACTGGACTTGAAGTTGGAAGTACCAAGGGGAACGCGTAGTCTGCCAGACGACATATCCATGTCCCAGTCAGAAGCCTTGTCTGAAGGATAAAAATAATTCTATTTGCTCTATCATTTGTTTTAATCAACCATAAAGGTTTTGAGTTTATTGGCAGAATTATGTTTATCTTGTCTAGAGATACTGTATTTGTTCACAGGATACTGCATGTCTGAACAACCAGACCACGATGAGTAATGATAATGGCTAGCAAGGTCCCTTAAGGATGACTGTATCTGATAATTCTTTTAGGGATTTTTTCCATGGTTCATCTTCACAAGTATACTGAAAGCATACTGGCATCAGTATGCAGACACAAGGACCAGCACACAAGGACAAGCTTTTACCAGTGTGGCCCCAGTGTACAGACACAAGACCAGGCTTACAACAGTGTGGTACCTACCTGCCTCTAGGTGGTCCTCCTTACACAGACACAAGGCCAGGCTTACACCAGTGTGGTACCTACCTGCCTCTAGGTGGTCCTCCTTACACAGACACAAGGCCAGGCTTACACCAGTGTGGTACCTACCTGCCTCCAGGTGGTCCTCCTTACACAGACACAAGGCCAGGCTTACACCAGTGTGGTACCTACCTGCCTCCAGGTGGTCCTCCATACACAGACACAAGGCCAGGCTTACACCAGTGTGGTACCTACCTGCCTCCAGGTGGTCCTCCTTACACAGACACAAGGCCAGGCTTACACCAGTGTGGTACCTACCTGCCTCCAGGTGGTCCTCCTTACACAGACACAAGGCCAGGCTTACAACAGTGTGGTACCTACCTGCCTCTACACCAGGTGGTCCTACCTGCCTCCTTACACAGACACAAGGCCAGGCTTACACCAGTGTGGTACCTACCTGCCTCCAGGTGGTCCTCCTTACACAGACACAAGGCCAGGCTTACACCAGTGTGGTACCTACCTGCCTCCAGGTGGTCCTCCATACACAGACACAAGGCCAGGCTTACACCAGTGTGGTACCTACCTGCCTCCAGGTGGTCCTCCATACACAGACACAAGGCCAGGCTTACACCAGTGTGGTACCTACCTGCCTCCAGGTGGTCCTCCCCACACACAGACACAAGGCCAGGCTTACACCAGTGTGGTACCTACCTGCCTCCAGGTGGTCCTCCTTACACAGACACAAGGCCAGGCTTACACCAGTGTGGTCCAGGTGGTCCTCCCTACACAGACACCTACTTACACCTGTACCTACCTGGCTCCAGGTGGTCCTCCTTACACAGACACAAGGCCAGGCTTACACCAGTGTGTGGTACCTACCTGCCTCCAGGTGGTCCTCCTTACACAGACACAAGGCCAGGCTTACACCAGTGTGGTACCTACCTGCCTCCAGGTGGTCCTCACATACACAGACACAAGGCCAGGCTTACACCAGTGTGGTACCTGCCTACCTGCCTCCAGGTGGTCCTCCTTACACAGACACAAGGCCAGGCTTACACCAGTGTGGTACCTACCTGCCTCCAGGTGGTCCTCCTTACACAGACACAAGGCCAGGCTTACACCAGTGTGGTACCTACCTGCCTCCAGGTGGTCCTCCTTACACAGACACAAGGCCAGGCTTACAACAGTGTGGTACCTACCTGCCTCCAGGTGGTCCTCCTTACACTCATGCAGCAGCCCAATCAGCCACTTCTGCTGCTTCACCAGACACTCCCAGGCTGGGTCGCCATTATACTCAAGGCTGATCAGGTATCTGTGATAGTATAGATTCTATATTAGTGACTGAACAGCACAAAAACACCAGTCTCCTCTCCACCACCCACACATGATACTCCTTGCATTTGAATTTATTGGTTAGTGACTTTTCAAGCATGGATGTGTCTTGTCTTCTTTGGAGTTATGTATTACTAGATGATTTTGCTATAGTGTTGTAATATGTAAGTATGACCAATCACTATACTGTACTGTACTGCCAACCTGAATCCCTACAGAAATGCACACATGAGGTATGGGGATCTTGATTCCTAGCCATACACCTCAACACACCTCTCCACTACAGAGACATGCATGACATACTCCAGTTGAGTGAAGGGGTATGGGCTGACCCCCACATCCAACACCCCCCTCCTCCACAGAGACATGCATGACATACTCTAGTTGAGTGAAGGGGTATGGGCTGACCCCCACATCCAACACACCCCTCCTCTACAGAGACATGCATGACATACTCCAGTTGGGTAAAAGGGTATGGACTGACCCCCACCCAACACACCCTTCCCCTAGAGAGACATGCATGACATACTCCAGTTGGGTAAAAGGGTATGGACTGACCCCCACCCAACACACCCCTCCTCTACAGACATGCATGACATACTCTAGTTGGGTGAAGGGGTATGGGCTGACCCCCACCCAACACACCCCTCCCCTAGAGAGACATGCATGACCTACTCTAGTTAGGGTAAAGGGGTATGGACTGACCTGATCAGCTTCTTCTGCTCCTCCAAGCTGATGGTGGGTTCCAGCAGCTTGTTGTGCAGCATGCCCCGGAACTCACTGATCCTTTGCTCCACCTGCTGGTACACTAAACAACACAGACAAACGTGGTGTTTCACATCAGGTAGACAGGCAGAACAGGGCATCACATCAACAGACAGTTGTGTCACATCAACCGACAGAACAGTGCAGATAACAGAATAACTCCTAAAAACCAACATTTATCAAAGCCTTCATCACAATAGATGCTTAGGGTACGGTTACACTGAGCCATGACCCAGCTACGATCGTGAGTGAGTGAATTTACTTTTACGCCGCACTCAGCAATGTTCCAGCTATATGGGAGCAGTCTGTAAATAATCAGGTCTGGACCAGACAATCCAGTGATTAACAGAATGAGCATCAGTCTGCGCAACTGGGGCTATGATTGTGAACTCACAGAGGGTCGCAGTGAGTCATTCCCTTGATTGCCATTTGCGGTTACACCAAAAATCATTTGCAACTGAATTGCGACTGATAACAGAAAATTCCCCAGTTTTACTGCGACCTGATTATGAAACCACTTTCATTGGTTTTGTGACCTGTGCGATCCCATTGTCACCATATTTGAGACCTCTTGCGACTGTCATCAGTTGCACAACTTTTGACTGCCCAAAACACTCGCAAACCCCTTTGTGACTGATGGAGAGCAATTGCGACCAAAGAGACCATGTCTGAGACCATGGAGACCGCGTTGAGATTAATTTGCGTCCGTATTGCGAAGCTTATCGAGTGAACAGAGGCCAATTTCCACTCCAACCAAAATGCTGACAAGCTTTACAACTACCAACGTTTGCATAATAACAGAAGTATTTACAAAACCTATCCCAGCATTAATGTGATGATACACAATAGGAACATTACCTTTCTTAAACACACCAACTTCAGTGTCTGCAAACAGAGATTTAGCCTTCTCATAGTCGTTGATCACAATATTGTAGTCGCCCTGATGGTAAAAACAATAAATGTCAGTATTATCCCTGCATATGTCTCCATAGCAACAATACCATGCAATCATCTTACCACTGTCTTCATAGTGTGTGTGTGTGTGTGTGTGTGTGTGTGTTTATGTCGTTGATTTCCTACATGAAATGCAAAAGGGGGGTTGTTGTCATATTGTACATGCTACTCCATAAACATCATCATCACCCCTCCCTCCTGGACATTAATTATGAACGGTCCCCTAAATCATACTTTCTGACCATGCATTGTACAGGCTTGTTGGAGTATCCTGAGTAACGTTTTTGAGTAGCATTTAGAAGTTGGAACATACAATATTGAACAAACTTTATGGATAACAACTTTTTTATTTCGTGAGTGCCTACCCTTTGAATGTTTCTCTCAATGTTGAGTGGCAGATAGAAGAGGAATTTGAACTTCTGCAGGACACTGAGGGCGTTCCTGGTCGAGTCAGCCTTGTCCTTCCTCCCCAACACCTCCTGGAACAGCCCGTCGGCATACGACTTGGCCTCTGGAGTCAAACATCAACAGTCATGGCTCTGAATACTGTTTTAGGGTGATGTTTGCAGTATTACAGTTATATTATGCTAGCTTGTAAAAAATATGTTTGCAAAAAAAGAAAGGCATGCCCATCAAAGCAGACTACTTTCCTTGTCAGAGAATCCCACTTACAATCAAGGGAATTCCCTTTCTGTTCAGCAACATTTTAGCAACATTCATACATATTCAGGATCACGTACACCACCCTTCGATACCCGAAGCTGGGAATACAGTTTCCGATTCATACCTCAATGAACTGAAATAATACACAGTCAATCCTCAAGTGAAGCGTACTGGGAAACTGTTCTCCCCATGAATCCACACATTGAGTGTCCAAAGTTTTCAAAGCCACTGGGAAGATTTCTGAGCATTACTTAATTCTAATATTATGATTAATCTGAACTTGTGCTCCAGAACAATATTTTCATTTACATTTTCATATCAGATTACTGGTATAGACTTGATTATTGAGTGTGCACTGTCATATGTCATATGCCACTTTCCAAGTACATGACAGTCTAGGCAGCTGGGGACCTATTTAGTTTGAAATCCTAACGGAATATATCTGTATGAAGTACTCACGCATCAGCAGCACAGCATAGGAATTCATACAGTCACCACGAATATCATCTGTCGAAAATTTCTCATACATGGCTGAAACACAGTGGTGAGTGAGTGAGTATAGTTTTTTACGCCGCTTTCAGCAATATTCCAGCAACATCACGGCGGGGGACACCAGAAATGGGCTTCACACATTGTACTCTCAGAATAAGAGTCAATACAGTCTTCTTATTTTTCACCTCACTTCACTACAAATGCTGGTCATGTATTGTTACAATAACACTATGTTTGATTAGCTTCCTATATAAACATAGGACCGTAGGAAAGGTATCTTCCCATTCTGCAATGTACCAGTACTAACATATACTTTTCGTATTATCAACAATTCCAAAATTAGTGCCCTTTGCTGGCAAACTGGTAAAAACATGAATTTTTTTTTAAATTGTTCTTATTCTTAAAATCACTATTTGGTCCAAAGTTCTTTTTTCCTTTTAACAGATGAAGTTTAGGACAGCATTCAGTGCAGTATACTCAAACTAAAGCATCTTCCTGCATACTTGTCTACATATATTGTCCCTTGAGCAAGCCCATACAGATTTCTGTTTACCAACTTGGACACATCCCAAAACATTTCCGGTCTTGGATGTCCATGCTATCAAGTGCTAGAATTGCTCTTTCCCCATGTTATCCTTTATATAAACAAAAGCACTTTATATAAAAACCAAACAAAAAACAAAATCGTAAACCAGCCGATTTGTAGGAAATTGTCATACAGTGTGCAAGCAAAGATCATGGGGGGTGGGGGGTGGGGGGGGGTTTAAGTGTAGGTAGACTGTCAGGACATGACAGTGTTCAGATTTCCCTGGACAACAGAATAACCAAAACAATCAATGTAATCAACTACATAATTCCCCTATCTCACTACCAGCTACAGCAGGGAACTGCAGAGTGTCACCAGGTGTGAGACAGGTAGATCAATGGCTGATTGCATTAGTATCGGACATTACACAGGTGTGACAAAAGACCACAAAGTCGGTTGTTCACACCAGACAGATGGTCTCCACAGGTGGCCACTGCTGCAGGTGACATGAATATTCAAGAGGTCAGCCTCCCAACTACCATCCTAATCACCTACCACGACTAGCATGGGGGCCTACTTAACAAAGGGTTACCCAGAGGGCATTGTAATACAGGGTTTTACCAGGACAAGAAGCATGTGATTATTCATGAATACAGATTGAGCATAAATGCAAAATTTTACAGTGAGTGTCTAGTGGGACAGCAGCAATTATTGGTGTTTGTATCATAAATTTAGCCAAATTGTAGCTACAGTCTTACAAACTTATACATTTTCAGTGAATGAGTTTAGTTTTATGCTGCACGGTTACACTGAGCCATGACCCAGCTACGATCATGAGTGAGTGAATTTATTTCTACGCCGCAGTCGCTATTCTGCTATATGGCAGCGGTCTGTAAATAATCGAGTCTGGACCAGACAATCCAGTGATCGCCAGCATGAGCATCAATCTACGCAATTGGGATACGATGACATGTCAACCCAGTCAGCAAGCCTGAGCACCCAATCCCCTTAGTCGCCTCTTACGACAAGCATGGGTTACTGAAGATCAATTCTAACCTGAATCTTCATGGGTACATTTTCAGTATGATACTTAAGAAACATACTTGAGGTTCAAAGTAATAATGGTCGAGCTTCTTCAGTCTGATATTGAAATCACTATAGGTAATAGGCTTAAGGCTTCTGACCATGGGCAGTGACATTACGTCAGTTATATTCTTGGAAATCAAGTGAAGCAGGCCACATACACCAGCCTCTAATACCCTTGTTATGGCCTTGCATTTTCAAAATGTGAACCTAAGACGGCCTTGAACTCAAAACTAAACAGACACTCATAAATCTCTGACTACACGAAGAACACATAGAACCATACACACACCGCTCAGTTTTACTGTTACCCACTTACATGACAAACTTTCCAGGCAGTCTAAGATGGCAGTCAGGTTGGATCGAACAATTGCGATTGGTCCCTCTGATCTCTGGCTAGCTTTACGCTGCATATGAGCTAGCCCTGCCTTCAGGTCTTCAAAACTAACAAGGACAAATTAAATAAAGACATGTACAGTGTACCTACAAATTTAGTATACATTCAATTTCAGAATGAAGACTTAAACAAAGAAGTTTTAATTGCAGCTGTTCTGTTTCACATACACAAATAAATATACTGAATTATCAATAATAGTTCCAGATGTAAGTTTATGTACAGAATAAATAAGGTTTAATTGTAGAAAGATTATTTTCACATCAACATTTTTGCCAGTATTCATCAAATAGAATAAAGAAGGGCTGGCTATCAAAATAGTTCATAGAGATCAATAATGATTAACTAACTATCGATCGATTATCAATAAATATCAGAAAAGTAACTTTGAGCAAAAATGCCCAAAAAAGTGAGGTGAGGTGAAATTGGGTTTTACGTCGTGCTTGAGAATATTTCGCTCATATGACGACGTGGGTGCGTGTGTATGTGTATGTGAGGCTGCTTGTACTAGCCCAGACTTAAGCTGGTTTTATAGTGCTAGCCCACTGAGATACCATGCCGTAGTGAAGCATGAATACCCCACTCAGACACATTATACTGACTCCGAGCCGTCCAGTCCTTGTTGTACCCATTAATGCCGAGTGCCAGGTAGGGACCAACAAGTACCATATTTTAACGTCTTTTTGGTATGATGCGGTCGGGGATCGAACCCGCGACCTTCTCTCCGGGCGGACGCTCTAACCACTACACCACGGAGGCGGTCCCCAAAAAAGTCTTTAAAAATGAATATATTTAATATCACTGGTGAGTGGTGACATGTTTAAAGGTCACATAAACCCTAGGGGGTAAAAATACATCAATCACTAACTGGCATCGTTATAAATGAAACCCCGTCATTAAAACTACTCATTTCGACCTTTAATTGACTTAAATCGACCTTTTTGACAACAGTGCACAATTCTCACCCGCGAACGAAATTTCAACCAATCAGAGCGGCGCGCGTCTGTGACGTCATATGAGGAATAGCTTTGAGGGCCGATGCAGAATTCATCTACATTTTAGGGTTAAATGATCTTGTTTACAGGCTTGTATAAACCTGAAATCGCGTGACAATTGTTGTGGAAAATAAAAGCTATATGTTCTCACAATCTACTGTCATTTAATTTTGTCTCCTGCTTTGCCTAGTTTCCGAAGTTACAACTTGTTTTCATAGAGCGATTCTGTCAAAATCGATTGGTGTCGTTAGGCCCTATTTGTATAATGACTGATCTAAATTGATCCCATTTCTGTATTTTTTTTACCTCGATATTTAATCATGTCATGTAAAAATCTGTTTGTATTCTCAAAACAGTGTCGGCCCATACGTTTTCACATGCAATACAGTAATTAATACTCCCTTGTTGTAACCCGTGTTAGGTGGTATAAACCCACACATGTTATTTGTCATCATTCACTTGATGGTCAGTTAATGAATTTATAACAGGTATAATTAGTGGTAACACACTTAGATTACCCGACAAAGGTTCCCATTTGGCATTTCTTGTGTCTGGAGTAAATATTCAACATTATAAACATCGCATCAAAGGATTAACCGATAACACGCTGATTGATTAATTACTTTTATCTTACACAGCGGAATTGTCAAAAGGTAGTGTTTATGTATGTAGATTTACTAATCTATACTGAATACACTCTGTCGTGTCGGTGTTCGCGTAAAACAACGCCCTTCTTTCAAAGGACTAACCGGCAATACATTGATTGATTGCCCATTATTGGCTAACTAAATTACTGTTTTAAAGAAAGGACATTATGCAATTAGTTGCCAGGTGTGCTATCTTGGGTGACCAATGAGACTATACACCAATACCTGAAAAGATTTATCACTTTTCAGTATATTAAACTGTTAAAAGACACATCATTTGGAACAGTTTTGTGGATATTGATGGATACATTCCTCGAACAAGGTAATGGCCTGATATTGTTCCTATAACTTTAATCTGTTTTAATTTTAATATTTGCATTTTGATTTTATTCATTTGTCGTAGCATTCAACAGAATCATTGTGTAATGAGTCAGACAACATGCACTAGGGTGTGTGTGCTAATTATGATTCACATTGGCAAACTATAAAATGTCTAGATATTACAGTTCTGTTATAAATTCACTATAAGTATCAGCAGATCGCCTGCTTTTTATTATTTTATTTAGTTTCAAAATGGATACAAGTATGATAATAAACTAATTAGGATTATAAGACCAAATATAAAGACACACATTGACTAGTATCTACATACTGGTGAGTGGACATTAACCATGGGAATGTAGCAAGAAATTTATCGCCAAGAGTATTGTGACTTCGATTCCCCCACCTCGCCTCCGTGGAAGAAATCGTTATGTTATAAGTTGTGTCATGCAAAATCCGTTTGGTTATGATTCCAATACATATTTAACTACACAGTAGAAAGTAGTCTTGATTATCTAACTTGATGAAAACAAACTATAATCTCATTAATTCTAACAGATTTGTTTATTTTTAAAATGGCGGCACTCTGTCGGGAACATCCGCCAGTCTGAGGATAAATGGTATTTAGGTTTGTTTTCACCGAAGTTACAAAATCAAAACTACTTTCTACTGGTAGTAAAATATGTATTTTATTGATGGCCAATAGGATTTTGCATGACATATGCGTATAACATAACAATTTCTCTCGTGGCAGCGTAGGTGGGTGTCAATATAATACTACTTACAATATTATTGTTACTTCGACCACAACCTCACTTCCGAGGAAGAAATCGTTATGTTACAAGTTGTGTCATAGAAAATCTTTATGGTCATCAATCATATGCATATTTTACAACAACTAGTAAGTAGTTTTGATTCTATAACTTCAGTGAAGCGATCTGAACACAAGTAAGATATCGCTTCAGGCTTCCACAACGCCGCTTCAAGACTCACAAACATAACCGATTTAGCACTTAACCGCGGGTCCTGTGGAAATCTGCTCATGGGGACACCATCGCCTCGACCCCTAGGAGCAATTGACGACAAAGCAACGATTCGGCATGTCATCGTTGATGCCGAAATCATCAAAATGATGAGCGTGCTACACATTTTCTATACAACTAACTGAAAATCGTTCCTCATATGACGTCACTGCAGTGCTCTGGCGACAGAGTTACGTAACCTGTCTGTGGTTTCGTTGGCGGGCTAGAGGGAAGCAGGCGACTTTTTGGCCACTTTTAATCGCTCGGTATTAATTAACCACAAGTTTTTAAAGAATAAATTTGGTGTTCCGCATAAGACTAACCACAAATCTTTCATATGTAATGGTTAAAAGAGTAACAAAAAACAAAGTTTAGTGGTTCTTTAACAAAACAGCATCCTGAACAGAACTTAGAAGCATCCCATCAATAAAGACCTAACTTTGTATATTGTGAAAGCAAATTAAAAACTTATTCTATTACAAATGTTAATGTACAATATTCATAAATAGCACAATGTTCATATTGATAATCATTAATACTTTTTCCTATCAACAATATTTCTGATTATAACTAATTTTAGCCTTCCTTAGAGTAAAGATACTGTATAGCTACAACAATACCTTGCATTTTGGTGGTTTTCCAGCAAGTACCACTCCGGTGTAAAGTTCTCCAATGAAATATTCCCAGATGCTGAATTGAAAAGAAGCACTAATAAAGTACCTATGTCCTTAAAATCTTCTACGGTTATGTAATCACTATATTAACCATGTGTGAATAATGTAGGATATAAGCAAGGATATATGCTCTCGAATCTGACAAAGACTAAAACAATGAACTATAAGAAAATGTTATTGTAATATTAGCAATATAAAAGCAATATCAAGCTGGTGTTAATAAATAGTTTTTAATGTTGAATATATTACAAATGACCTACATTGTTGATGTAGACACACAGACCCATGTACCGTACTATAACTATAAGGGACCCTTCATAACTTACGGCTAGGGGCAGTGATGATGATTTTTATTGAGAAGCATGTACAATGTAAATGACACCCCCCTAAAATTTATGTACAAAGTAAGTGACCCCCCTGCATGCCATGTACAAAATCAATGACCCCCCCCCAATTTTTAAGTATTATTTCTTAATATTTTTATGTACAAAATTGATTAACCCTCCCATAACATAATGAGTGGAAAACCAACCCCCACCCCACCCTTAAAATCATCATCACCCCAAGCCATAAATTAAGAACTGTCCCTACTATTCGCAAGTTTGATTATATAGAGAATCTCACCCAAGTGTCTACTGATATCAATTATATCAACACAAGTTGATAAAGTTACAATACCCAAAGCTTGCCAAGAATATTTTTACTTTTATCAAAAAGTGTCGATATATTTGATATCAGAAGACACGAGGATGAGATTCTATTTATCATCAAAACTCACTCTTCATTAGTTTTCAATAAAATATTTACATCTCTGAACATGGTATTGCAGTGCAACAATGTCATAGCATTGTGACGTCATCAAGTTCAAGACGTCATAGCATTGTCAGGGCATTGTACAAAATCTACTGTCAAAACGATATCTCCAGTTTTGGATGATAAATTACAATCTCCTTAAAACTGTTTTGTCTGATGGACCCTGAGCAAACCTTGGCCACAGAATTTAAAAAATGAAAGATGCTTTCTAAAACAATTCAGTTTAACGTCTTTCCCTCCTTGTTTTGGAAATTATGATGACAGTGAAACAAAACTGCCCCAGAACACAGATATACCCTCGATAGTACACGCTCCTGGGTGCAGATGTCATGGCACTAAGAGTGAGTGAGTGAGTATGGTTTTACCGCTTTTAGCAATATTCCAGCAATATCACGGCAGGGACACCAGAAATGGGCTTCATCATGTCACTAAGAAATAACATGATGTATACAAAATCAACAACAACATGAAGATAGGTTACTCACCTTCAGGAAACATCTCCAACAGGTCTTCCTCAGAAATCTTGCCCCTGAAATAGATTCACGTGTAAGTGGACAGGGTTATGTATCAGGGTTTATTCTACCTGCTGTAAAGGTGTGTCTGTTCAGTGTTCATCCTAGTAAACAAATACAGACAATTATTGAAGAAAAACTGGGAGGAAGTGGGCAAACAGTTACAGTAACAAAGGCATAAACTTTTCTCGTAACGGACAGTCTCATATGAGTGAGTGAACAAATATTGCATAATGCTGCATCAGCAATCTTGCAGATATTCCAAGCAATCCAGTCCCATATGATCCAAGGCGTAAAGACAAGCTGAAGAGCTGTCATCACTTGTAGCTTGATGTGCAGAATCATGGATCATTTGAAGTCTGCAGTTCAAGTATAGTACCTGACAATGTAATATTCCAATCAATTTTCACATGAGCCAGAGATTGGCAAAGGCAGGAGCCATGGGCCATTTTGCACATTAGAATAAAAAATGGCCCATTGAAATTTGGATGTTTACTATTGATACAAGGGCAGTGGCCCATTCTAAATTCAGAAATTGGCTAATAATCCTGAAAATGGCCCATTGTCAAAGTTCTCTATCCCAATCCCTGTGAGCCATCTTTTTCTACAGTTTTGTTTGGAAAGAATAATAAAAAATACCATAAACACTTTCCATTTGTCAAAGATCCAGCTGTAAGCGGTCAGCTTTGTCACTACTAACATAACAAGTGGTGCAATTAAAGCAAAATGTAACATAATCTGTAAGTGATAAGAGCCAAGCCAACCTGCAAGCTTCTTGTATCATCTGCTGTAGCATATCCCAGAATGATAGACTTCAAAATTCTTTACAGGTAGCAACTCTAACCACCCAAACTGGGCTTCTTTGCGAAAATACATTCGTTATGCACTGCTTGTGACCCTTAAAAATAACAAACCGCCGCCGAAAGGCAAGCCAAAGCCAAAGCCTAAACCCAATGGCAAGGATGGCAAAAAGAATAAAAAAACTCACAGCTACCAAGACGAGGGCTACCCAAACTCTAGTCCGTTTGGGTTCAAATGAGAACAATGAATGATTATATATCTCAAAATAGGGATAAGTGCACAAAACATAAATAAGACACATGGTCCTGAAACCTCTGTACCCAACAGGATCTGAATCTGATGTGTTATGATCGATCTTGGAAAAAGTTGTTTAAGAAACCATCATGTAATATTGTGCTTTTTCACGCTTCACACCAAGGGGTGACAAATGTCTGGTGGAACAGCACCTGACTGGCTGGAGTTGCACCTGAATGCGTGCTGGTGCTGTTCCACCAGAGGTTTCAGGACCATGTGTCTAATTTATGTTTTGTGCACTTATCCTAATTTTGAGTTATTTAATCATATGTCGTTTTCATTTGAACCCAAACGGACTATAGATGTTGTTTACAGCCAGCAAGATATATCACATGATAGACTAATCTATCCCTGAATAAAGGAAGTGATAATTCAGATATACATTATTCCGAAAGATCAAATGCATTTCTACTCACTCCAATTGTGACATGATGTTGAGCTAGTTATTTTGATATGATGTCTGAAAGTAGGAGTAATAAATATGTTACTTACCTTTCCCCCTCATCTGAGATGCCAAGGGGATCATCTTCCTCCCGATCTGTGAGAGGAGACGATGCACGACCATGACGGAGATTGGAGGGCACTGTTTGAGATTCATCAGTCCACAGTGCGGATTCTTGAAGAGGGCCTTTAAATGAAAAAAATATTGATATCATTATAACTCTTTGTTCTGGTACTGGTGGCCGCCGCCATATAGCTGGAATATTGCCGAGTGTGGTGTAAAACTGAACTCACTCACTCACTCCCTCTGGTACTGGTGGAGCCTTACACAAACTATATGAATGGGATTTTTCCTTTTTGACTTAGTAAAGAAAATTCATCATGGTCTGTGATATTCAAACCCATGAAGATCCAGGTAAGAAATTATCTTCAGCAATCCATGCTTGTCGTAGGAGAGACAACTAAGTAACAGGTGATCGAGTCGTCAGACTCGCTGACATGGTATGTATGTCATCGTATCTTAATTGTGTAGGTCGATGCTCTTGATGTCAATCACTGGATTGTCTGGTCCAGGCTCAATTATTTACAGCTGGAATATTGTGGAGTATGACGCAATCAATAAACAAACAAACAGATTCAAACAGACACATATGCATTTGAATCCTACGGTCCATTTAAATTTTCATGACTAAGCAGAATATTTTGTGCCTGGTAAAACCTGCAACACCACACACTGTAGTAACTTCACAACCTATGTTTAACAATTTTCAGGCAAACTAAAGCAGTGTTATTCACCTGTCTGCAAGAAATATCCTCTAAACCCCACAGTACAGCTACCGATTCCTCCACTGCGAGTGACGACGATGACATCCCCCTTGCCTTTCCCTGGACCAGTGCGAGCAATGATTTTGCTGGAGGTCTTCCACTCAGCAGACAGAATGCAATCCATCCCACATATCCTCAGAGCTGGGAAAAAAATCATCAAGTCTAAATGATGTAACGCTGTAAAACTGGGACAAAAACACATTCTCAGCAGCATGTCCACAACTTCTTCATGTTGGAATAAACATACTGAATATCTTTGTTTAAAATGATCAAATAGATTTGAAGGCAAATGTCAGCAATATCACTGTAAGAGTCTTACAGTTGTGACCTGTGATCTTTGACCTTTAGTCTGGCGAGGACACACCATCAGTTAAGATCCATGCCATTATGAAAACAACATACAGTCACATCATTTTACGATATTCACTTACTTTTTTTCTGGTGTTTTTGTGATAATATATTACCATATAAAACTCACCAATAAAATCTTTAGGATCAGTTCCTAGGTTCTCTCCCCTGATGGTTATACGAGTTCCCGGGGGACCCTCCTTCGGGGAAACCCCAGTAACAAGTGGAGCAGAGTCTCCTGGCATGCTTGATGGTAGTGATTATCTCCCTTGTAATGTCATCACTTGGGGAGGAAAAAGGGAAAACATGACAAAAAACACCCTTTTGAAAATGTAGGTGCTGACACAAGCAATATAGGTTTAACACCACTTTTGAAGAGTATTCCATTTATATCACAGCATGTCAGTCCAATGTGGGAGAAAAGTAAAATATGTCCTGGACAAAACCCACTTTGGTGAAAGCCAGGAGCATAGGTATATTGCTGACAAACATCAAACAATGACTCCAACCAACGATCATATGGACACAGCTCTGCTAACTGGATTCTGGTACCTAGTATACAATAAACAGTTTAATTTGGCGCACAAACTGAGATGTATCTTATATTATATTTAGGATTACACTTTAAGTTAAGATTCTACTGGCAAACAAGGATAAGTTGGACCGGCACAAGAGAATCTGTTTACAAGAAGTAGGCGGCACATGGCAATGAGCAAACCCCTTTGGTTTGTGAAAGGTAGAGCAGATGTAGGCAAGTGCATGTGCATTGCATGACGATGAAATTGATTCCGCACGTAACTGCACACACCTTGCTCATAAGACTCTCACATCACTACACTTGATCGCGGACAACTGGGGCCCCTTCCCTAGCAATGGCAAGCGCCAGTGGGCGGCACTCATACATGCTAATACAGGTCAATTGTCAGGTCGGTGCTAAACTTAGCCTTGTTTGCCAGTAGTACCAGTACACTTTGGGGTTGAGTAACTTAGTCCCATCTGAGATTCAAACCCACACTCTCAGAGTGAGGTACCTAATTGCTGGCACACAAAGTCAGTGATTTAAAGGAGAATACGAGTGAATTGCAATAATTTGATGGGTGAAAGATAAAGTCATCAGAAACATATTCACAAATTTTCAATGAAAAATTATGTATAATTATGTTTTAATCGCGAAAACAGTTTCGGGAAATCTCAGCTTCGGCCATTATGCATATTTCGCTGGAACCCACGTGACCTTTCCGAGCGTGACGTCAAATGTGCCTGGAGTCCGCCATATTGCCAAAGACCAAGCGCTACAGTAGTACAAATCGTGTTGTTTCTGTCGTCTTTTTAAATGATACGATGGTGTATTGCGTTGCCTGGGGATGCTCGGCATCATTGAACATGGGAAAGAACCACCATTTCTTCCGTTTTCCTAGTGAAATGACAGTTTTCGGCAGGAGAAATGCGCCGATCATTCTGAGTCGGACGCATATGAAGGAGACATGCACGCATAGGGTATGGAAATCCCCAAGCTAGGCTGAAGAAGGAAAAAGTACCCACAAGATTAATTAATTATACTCCATCATTCCCTGTAACAACTTACTGTCAGTGGTATTTTTAACATAAATTAAATCAAGTCCGATTGCCAGTCAAAATGCCCCCGCTACAAAATGACCCAGCATATTTGGTCAAATTGCCCCAGTGGGGTAGTCAAAATGCCCCAATTTATTTAAAATGAATAAATATAGGCCATAAATGCATATGAACATAGAGATTTTCATCATCTTCTAAAATGCCAATCAAGCACATAAATGCATAGTTTTGTAAACTTTGATATTATGTTCTTCATATATAAGTATATACATAATTAAGTTATGAGTTTACAGATGAAACATTTATCAGAAATATTACTTCCTAATAACTTTTATATGAAGAACATAATGTCATAATAAGTTGACAAAAACTATGCATTTACGGCATATATTCAATCATTATAAATAAATTTGAACAAATTAGAATGAATGACCAAATTTGCTGGGGCATTTTGTAGCTGGGGCAGTTCGACTGGTACACATGAGATATATTATTATCAAAATCAGTCAGAGATTTCACATGAGCTTGAAAATGTTTCGCTATAACGTTCTTTTCGGTTTTGAGCCCTAAATGATGCAGTCAACTCAAAACATTGCCGAATAAAACAGCAAATCATGAAGTACTTGTTGCTTTCATTGTTTTCCATTTTGTCAAATTGCGCACGTCGGCATCAGACTTGCTATTTGTCAGTAGTGTGTGCAGTGAAAGTTGTTCTGTATTCGCATTGGCTGACAGGATGTCATTCTAAGGCTATGACCGAGTACCATAACTATTTCCATAACCAAACAATGGGGAAACATACGTTGTCCTGACTAGTATTTTATAATTCACCAGTTTTCGGGGAATAACTTATCTGCGTCGCGAAAATTATCTCTGCTCGACCAGGCTGGGACCTTGTATCGAGACTTGATACGTTATTAATGAGAACTAGGATCCTAAATTTTTTCAACAAAATAATTCCAGTGTAATTTTGAAGCAGATAATTTTTATTTTCCTTCGTCTGAAGCATAATTATTTTGTTTTTAAATCCCAGACACCCTACAGTCACCCATTTGACACCAAATGAACTGTAATCACATTTTTTTTTAAATAATTCTTAGTGACTGGTCATATATTTATAGGGGTGAGTTTGCTGGCTTGAACTGTATGACATTTTGCTGACAAATAGTAATCTTGTTAAATGACATGGTCTACTTTTAAATTTATTTTGACCTCAAGCGGTGCCTCGGTTTCGCTTGATTCTTCTTCTTCATCTTCAGTGGAAGACTGTCTTGCAAGATGTAAAATCGGATCGTATTGATACGGTCTAACATCCATTTCAGAAATGACACCAGGAACATCTTTTACTGCTTCAGAATCCACGGACACTGTTAAGTTGTGAGGTAAAATCAAAGAGGAAGCCATCAGCAACAGGCACTTATGACGTCATGTCACATGATACCCCTTCTGCTCATTAACTGTCGGGTGTTTCCGTAATAGGCGGAAATACGAGTACGTTTTTGTGTTTTTATTGCTATTTTACAAACTTTTGGTTCAATTTTAATCATGGAATGTGACTTTTAGAATATCCTTTACAGTATATCAAAAGTTTTGTTTTCGTTTGTATTCTCCTTTAAACCACTCAGCCTTCAATGAGGAAGCTGCTCTGAGAGTGTGGGTTCTGTATGAAACGGACATTAACTTTCCCTTCAATTAGCCTCCAATAAAACAGCATTACGAAAGCCGTTTCATCTGTGCAGCACTTGGGCTGTAAAATTTGCTGTGAAAAGCTCTATTGTTTGCTTTTAGAACTGAATAGGCATGAACCAAAGGCATTGTATCACATAGAAACTACTTAAAAAGTTAATGCACCATTAAATAACACCAAACCACTGACATAATGTCCTGTTTAGTCTATTCATGAAATGTATGTTTTGTCCATACATAGCAAGATATGTTTATTTTGGACTTATTTCATATATAGGGGTGGTGGGGTAGAGTTCGCCCATCATGCCGAGAACCTGTGTTCGATTCCCCACATGGGCACAATGTGTGAAACCCATTCCTGGTGTCCCCTGCAGTGATATTGGTGGAATATTGCTAAAAGCAGCTTAAGACTAAACTCACTACTTCATAAACATAAGATGTATATTATTGACTTGTGTCAATGTATGCCTGACTGAAAGAACAAATGCACTCACAGATGATGACGATTGATATTATTTCATTTCATCCAGTGCAGATAATGTGTACCATTATGTAAAAAAGTGATATTAAAAATACTTATAAAATAATACAGAATGCATTAATGAATTAAAATATATATTTAGTTTGAGAAATCCACCACATTTTGATATCAACTGGGAGTGGGATACTGTAGAACGTCACTTGTCAAAAATAATTTATCACAGTGCATTTAAATGAACAGCACTACAAATTTTTGACATATTCTCGCGATTAAAAGTATCGAGAGTTTTGCATAATAATTGACAGAGAGATACTTTATCCATGCATTCACATCAGTATGCATACCATAATGCCTATTACCTTCTATCCAAGAAACATATCAACACCTTCGATATCCGGAGTAGGCGGCGCTCATGAGAAGGGGAGTAACTCTAAATTGACAAGTGCGTCAAGATAAACTATACGAAGCGTCGTAAAAGTATCACATTCAGCATGGCTTTCAAATGTTTTCCGAGTCAAAAATATACACACAGAAACAAACACTCAAAGGAAAAATTAAAACGGATTCGTTTAAAGCTAAACTTTAAACCTGATAAGGCAGTATTTCTTTCAACTTTATATATATGGAGTGATATTTTCACATGGAGTGCTTAAATGGATTATGGACAAAACAGAAGGTCAAGAAGAGCGCAAAAACTGCTGGAGACTTCAACCAAAAACGACTACATATTTCAAGAAACATCAAATTTTGTTACAAAACAGAGCGTTCAACACCAAGTTACAGTTCGTCTGGTCTATTTTTAACCTTGTCCATTAGGACTAACGCCGACTCGTCACGCCATCGACCTGCTATCGATTCGTCACATGGTGTCAGTGTGTTAGACCTGTTTGTGGTGTTCACTCGTAGTTCGTATCTTAAAACACCACCCTCTCCATTTACTGTATACATCAAACGCATAATAACTTTCTGAGATGATAAGTATATACATGGAAGCCAGTCGTCTGCATCATAAAAGTGATGATTACATTTTTGTACATACATCAATCACAAAAAAATAATTTGGTGGCATATTTTCAACAAATATAAGAATATATTGACCAATAATTATTATAACAACAGGCAAATGTGTCCCGAAATATATACATTTCTTGCTTATCTTGTTTTATCAGTGTGAATTCATCGTACATCATATATTACCAACTTGCCTGAAGCAAGAGTCCTGGAGATCAAAGCGGTATATGTTGTTTTCGTTATTTGGGGGATTGGGAGAGTGGGGGGCGTAAAAACGTGCATCTAGCTACAAAGTCGCAATACCAAAGGCTAACACTATTTCTGCGTTTTCAAAATTATCTTAAATAGAATTATATTAATTATAAATATGAAAACAAATATTTAAAAAACAAGGCACATTACATATTGAATTTGTTAGAACATATTGTTAAAATACACTCTTAACAAACAAAATTCACTATTATGTTGAATTCAGTGGAGTTTGTAGTTATGTATTGTACGGGTATGTGAATACAAACCATGTTGTACGATTTGAAGTTGGTGGTACACGCGTCTCGATCGACGTTAATTATATATTTCACAGGTCACAAGAAATAATAGAATGTTATATTGTATCCATTGTGCCAACCTATCGAAGGCATTCATTAATGCCAACAACGCGTGTCACGTGATAATGTTACTTCCGGTAAATTTGGTGACGTCACGTGGCGTTGACATCATCAACACATTCACTACATTTCGCCCAAGATGTCGTACGCATATTTATTCAAGTATATCATTATAGGGGACACAGGTAAGACTGTTATTCAATCGTAGGTTTCACAACAATATATTAGCTGAAAGGCGTAATGTTTTCCTACATTTTAGCTTCTGTTTGCGTTGTACTGCGTCGATAATATTCTCTACCACAGCATCCATGATCCAAAATGGCGATGTGTAATGTTTTGGTTCACAGTTTCGACATGTGTACTAACTTCCGCATTGCGCTTCATCTTTATGTAATGTCGCTTGATAAACGTTACTGTATTGCTCGTGAAAGTGTTCTGTAATAACCTAGTGAAATGGTTATGTCGTTTCAAGCTCTGAAACCTTTTCCCAAGCAATGCAAATTAGCCGATCATAATGAGATATGGACCAGTCTGCAAACCACAGTTCAGAAAGTGTCATATCGCTACATATGAAAACGAGTCATATGCTAAAAATGGACTATGCCACCGAACATGGTTAATTTCACCTCTCCAATTACACTCGATTGTTCTTACTATTGCTTTAACAATGTGAGCAACGCTGTAGGCCTTTATAAATAGGTATGGACAGGAATATGTGAATCCTTTGTGGTCAGTGGTTTACTGTTTACTGGTGGTCAGTGAACTGTTACAAAGAAGACTGGGTAACTATAAACAAGTTGCTCACCCGCCTGTTGGAAAAGGCTTGATATGAAGCAAGATGTTGTTTTCAAGGATGGTCTAGCAGTTCACGTATCTGTAATGCACATGTATATTCCCAGTTCTGAATGCCTGTGGATTGAAGCAGTCGTGTCAAATATCAATGATTCATTGTCACTTTATAAGGTATATGCAGTAAGAAATGTCTGTTACTCTCTCATCATTACTGCAGGAAAGATAGTCTTCTACTGATCTTCATTGTAACAAAACTGTTCGTTTACACATCTTAAACTGGATCAGGACTATATCATAGAAGGATCTCTGGCTTAGCTTGCATTATGTTCTGATATGCTTAACTCTGCAAAAGGAAGAAAAAATATAGCCTCCAGATTTGTCTTTTTCTCCTTTTTATCATTTCGGTACATGTAAACCTTTGTAAAAAATATAGTAAGTAGGTAGGCAAATATTGTTGTCTGGTATATTGTTTAATATTTGTATTCATGTTAGGGAAGTTCATGTAAGATGGTTATGTGTCGTTCATTACATTTTTCATTGATGTCGAAGAATAATGGTAATAGTTAGTCATTTATGAAACCATTAATGATGTGTACATATAGCATACACGCTATGATGTTTTACAGACATCTGTTGTCAAGTTTTTGCTTTGTTTATTGTTTGATGCCACACTCGGCAATATTCCAGCTATATTGTAGATCTCATTTGTGAACTGTTAGATACAGATGTGATATTGCCCAACAGCTATCCTGGTTGAGCTTACACTATTACTTCTATCTATGTCAATGGGTGTAAGTCACGATATGGCTGAAATATTGCAGGTGTGTCTTAAAATCTTAACTCGCTCACTCAATGGGTGTGCAAATGCCAAGCAGTAATCATTATATCCACTTCAAGTATCTGTTTTTGTGATCAGTTAAGCATTGGGTTGCTTATGGTCATTTATTTAGGCTTATTTTGGCAATTTGTCCTTTAGCAAAACTGATAAAAAAATTCTTCTTTTTGTTGTTGTTAAATTTGGACTGATATCATTACTGTTTTCTTGTTATGCTTTCATGGTTAACTGTTACTATTAGATTATACTTGACATTGACATTTGCTATTACGATGAACAGACACCATTTTGAAAATGTTTATGCTCTCACTTTAAAATAGCTGGTGAGCTATTTACTGAATAAGACCATTCATTCATTCATTCATTCAAAATACACTGGCCATGAAGTATGGAACTAATTTGATCCTTCCATCTTTAATCATTGATAAAACATTGTCTTCACATGTTAGAAAAATCACTTTTTAGGGTTAAAACTATAGATAATCTACAAATTAGAACAATCCATTTGATTTTAATTATAGTTACTGCATGATTATGCTAATCCTTAATGAACCCTCACTTCACCATGATCAATGACATCATGAATGAAGTAACATTTATGATTACACTTTTTCAGTAAAGTACAGATTTTGGTTCTTTTTGGGCTTGAGTCCCACTTGCAGATTTGATCAAGTAGTTATTCTCAATTCTTATGACAATGTCAAGTCCAAAAGTTACTTTTACATTGATTACAAAAGGATTTCATATTCCCATTTGTTGTCTGTAATATTTCATCTTGGGACTCCCTTAGTCTCTACCGCCATTGACAGAGTGTTACGACTAATATGAGTCATGACATTGACAAGGATAGTTTGAATAGTTTTGAAATATGGCCTGTCCAAGGACTGGCTGTCCCAAAAAAGTGACTAAAGGTCGGTCTTACATATTTAATAGACTGTCCTTCACAAAAATAGACCATCAAGGATGGTGGGATGGGCTATATTTTGTACACTGCCCTTAACCAGCAGTCTTAATATTAAACATTGTCAAACAAATACTGTAGAATAATGTGTCACCAAATACTTAGAATGGCATGGCCCCTAGCCTACTAGGATTGAGGATTGCTAGCTTTAAAGTATCCACAAGCAACACTACCTCAGATACTGTCCATAATGTAACTGGATGAGCAAAACAACACATTGTTTGTATTAATTTCATGCTCTCATTCGTGATTTACAATAATCGTTTCACAGCTATTGGAATAGTTATTAAAGAGTCACAATATATGTCATTAGCTCATAAATGATATAATAACACTTTCCATATTTTAAGTAGGTGCACAGAAAAGAAGAACAGCATGAATATTGTAATATATTGGTCAGAATATTGTATGGAAGATGTAGGTGTGATCCATAATGTGATTGATCATGTTTTCATTATAAGGACAGCTGTTTAAAAATGGGCTGGTCTAACCATGTACTGGTTGTGGTTATCTGTTTGTATGGTAAACATGATAATGATATGTATGGTATCATTCAAATGAAATAATGTTTAATCATTTTCATTGTCATACAGAGATATTTTGATAGTTCTGGTGAATTCCTCGTTATACAATATCTCTGAAATATAATGGAATCATTCATATGTATTGTTGTATATATTCATGCTGTTATAACTTATAAAATGTAGATGAGAAAACCAGGATATGATGCTGGTATTAATACATGTGCATGAATTATTATGTATATCACACTTCCTGTTTCTGAAAACTGTGTTCATTGGGTCCTTACACTTACAAAGTATGCCACCATTTTCTTGTATGTATGCTTATTTACAGAATTAGGGCTTACAGCTGGGCATGCTATGAAAGTTTCTTTTGGTTACCAAAAGCAAACATCAGGCACATAGACCATTATTTCTTCTGGGGTATTTAGCATGTTCAGTGATTTGGTTGTTCTGATATTGTGAATATCTTTGCAAGATTTAAAAGACATCACAGTGAAAAAAATGTTTTATTGTTGAATTATTTGTTTTTTTATATTTCTTTTAGGTGTTGGAAAGTCCTGCCTGTTACTGCAGTTCACAGACAAGAGGTTCCAGCCTGTGCATGACTTGACTATAGGTACATAGATCTCAATGTAGATACTTTTCTAGACTTCACTATTCGTTGTCAATTCATTCATGCAGACATTTCTTTCATAAATTCTGCTTTGTCACTTTAGTGTATGTAATGTAGTCAGCCTGTTTTGAAATACAAGCTAAGACATCTCTCATTGGCTGTGTACAATCAACTCATACTGTCTTATTAAAGGAAGATCATGTTCCCAAGTTTCTGTCAAAGTTAGTTAGCTAACTTCTTTCATAACTTGAATGATGGACAAGTGAGTACTTAAATCTTAAGACAGCTTCCACACAATAGTGAGTAAGTGATCTGAGGTGCTACAAGGTGCAGTGTCCTGTCTCACCAAGACTATGTTGTCAGTTATCCTGTTGTGTCAGGTATCCTGTTGTGAAGTCCAACTGGCTGTTCCTTTTGATGATAGAGCATCTCACCTACTACTAGTATCGGTTTTATTGGTTCACTGATGTTAATCTCACCACAGACAGCATTCTGGGAAGAACTGATCCTCGGTAACCTGTGCGTGTCATTGAAAGCAACTTGAATCGTCTGGTCAGACTTGGTGACATTGTTGTCAGCACATCCATGACATGGATCGTTGTTTGTGATATCAGTCAATGGTGGAACTGCCTCTGCTCTGATTATGAACGTGTGATTGTCATTTGGCTCAGATACTGTTTGTGTGACATCAAACAACAAAAGAGACTCATGTATGAACCAATTTCTTGTCTTTTTTATCAGTAATAAAAAATTATGGACATGTAGACAATCTTAAGAATTGCCATTTTGATCCAGGTTGCTGTTAATGTGGCACAACTTCATTTCACAGCAGTGTGATCATGTAGTTTCATTCTCTGCATTGCTTAGGTTAATAATCCAGTGTTTGTTATACATTTGAAGCATATTTCCAAGAATCTTTATATTTTCTAGGTGTTGAATTTGGTGCACGTATGATTACCATCGATGGAAAACAAATCAAATTGCAAATCTGGGATACAGTAAGTATAATGCTTTACATATATAGTTTTCTGTAGTTTCATCAGTCTCATGATTGAAATGTGCTGACCAGAAACATCAGGGCTCGATTTATGTGCAACCTAAGATAAAAACCTAGTTGCAGCAGTCAAATTCCAGTTGCACTGTTTTTTATGCAATTTGTAATATCAGAAACATGCTATTGAATTATTTAGAGGTTTTATTCAGAAGTTTACCCACTCAAAAATTGACTTGCACCTAGTGCAAGTTAGACAAATAACTAGGTTGCATTTTGTAATATTGGGTAGCACCAGTGCAAGTAACAAAGCACTAAATCGAGCCCTGAACATGAAACAGTTAACTGGTCTGTGTTGCGTATGCTTAAGTAAATATAATAAAGACAGATCTGGCGAGAAACAGCTCAGTTTCCTTAACACCCACTGAATGCATATGAGATTTAGCTAAGTCAAATCATGATTGTCAAACACCTGTGAAGATTCGGGTTAGAATTGCTCTTCAATTAACCCATGCTTGTCGTAAGAGGCGACAAACAGGATCGGGTGGTGAGGCTCGCCTACTTGGTTGCCACATGTCATCATATCCCAATTGCTTAGATCCATGCTCCTGCTGTTGATCACTGGATTGTCTGGTCCAGACTCGATTATTTACAGACTGCTGCCATATAGCAGAAATATTGCTGAGTGCAGCGTAAAACTAAACTCACTCATTAAAAATGTATAAATTTGTAAGACTGTAGCTACAATTTGGCTAAATTTATGATACAAACACCAATAATTGCTGCTGTCCCTCTAGACACTCACTGTAAAATTTTGCATTTATGCTCAATCTGTATTCATGAATAATTATTTACAGACTGTTGCTATATAGCTGGAATATTGCTGTGTGCTTTGTTAACAACAAACCAACCAACCATGACTATCAAAACTTACTTGATCAATATTTAAAGAGATCAATTACCAGTATTTAGTGTAAGTTTCTAAACCTCAATGTCATAGTACAGAGAGCGTCAAGAAATAGTTTTTCTCTGTAAGTGTGATCTAAAGTTAACCCTTTACATGAAAAACGTCCGATTTATGGAGTTAACTTTCAATTCATAATTCTCAGTTGGAGGTGAGCCATGTAAATATGCTAAAACAATCACCTTCTGTCTAGTCAATTTTGAGTCACTTGCATACCAGCAAACATGAATTCAAGAATCCCCTTTGTATAAGAACATTGTGCAAATTTGCATAAGTGTCTTTTGAGCTTGCATACAACTGTTTCCTTACACACAGGGGTGTGTGGGGTAGCCTAGAGGTTAAAGCGTACACTCGTCACATCTAAGACATGGTTCAATTCCCCACATGGGGACATGTGGTGCCCACTTCTGGAGTCCCCTGCCATGATATAGCTGGATTATTGCTAAAAGTGTTGTAAAACTAATCTCACTCACTATATAAACTGATCTAATACAGACACCACCTGTATGAACTCAACTTGAAATAAGGCAAAGAGGCATAACATGTAAATGTATTGGTAATGTAACATTATGCACCACATAATGGTCATACGTGAATAGGTGCAAATTACAAGCTGGCATTTTAAACAGAATCATCTGAATACAATTTTTTACACATTGGTACAAAATACCCAGTAAACTGGACTTCAGGCAATAATAAAATATTTATTCCTCAAAGAAAATGTCAGTACCAAATGAGAGGGATTAGATGTGAGCAAATACTCAATGAGGATCACTTGCCATACTATTCTGTCTTGATGCAGTGAAGGTGGATATGACATTGTCCTCAAACATTACAGTAAGAAGTTTATGCATTAAAACTGCCTACTGAGGATGTGGCAATGCAGTTACCTGTGAATGGTTTAGGTGCTTATTTGGTCTTCAGCAGCCATGCTCAGGAACTAAGGTGTTTGCTCTGCTTATCTGATATTTGGACCCAAGGTTGTGTCATGGTATGAACTGTGTCGTGTGTATGTGTATCCTTGGATCAATATTCACACGTCCTCATTGTCAACTTCATCCACAACCTGTCACATCAGCCCAGCTGCTGATTCTAAAACGGCAGACATCTTTCCTGATCATGCAATTCTTATCTTCTCTTTTTGGACATGCTTTGAAATTTCTTTTGGGACGTTTTGAAAATTCTGTGTCCAAGTAGTGGACCTATTTAGTGTATATTCAGTATATGGACATATTTAGTATATATTAAGTATATTAAACATGAGGAGGAGGATTATGTGTTGTGAAGTACTGAAGTGGCAGTAACTGTTACAGCATTTCTCTGTAAGGAAGTAACAAAGCAGAGGAAGCCTTGTGTCATTTTGTCCCACATTGCATCCAAGATTCCCCCATGACTGTTATGGTATTGAATGTCCTGTATTTGACCCAGGATGAAATATATTACAAATTCTATCTTATGATGCTAACTTGAATCCTGACCAATGTGTTGCTATGTACAGAGTTGTGCAAAAAGTATTCGGACACTTGACTTCATTTCCATAGACTTACATGTTATTTCAGTGTAGCATAAATAATTTTCATGAAGTGAGTTTAGGGTGGATCTTTGTTAAATTTGACAGGCAAATTTGAAATCATCTCACATAATTTCAGTTGAATTCTCCGACCACTATTTAACTAATGACACCACATTTATCAGCTTACGTACGGTTCCACAAAGCACAATTGCATAGGCCGCCATGTTAAAGGAGTTCACAGCACTGTACAATTGTTGATTAAATTGTTGCCATTCGATAAATAAGCAACGTAAAATAAAACAGAAATTATGTGATTATAGATACAATGATTCCTCACAAATGTGCAAAATTTGACTTGTATCCTACAAACATTAAATTCAAGAACATTATTTATGCTACTCTAAATTAACATGTAAGTCTATGGAAATTACATCAAGTGTCCGAATACTTTTTGAACGACTCTGTATGTGACAATAAGTTGAATAACATTGTGAAAAACATAATCCAGACATAGCTGAGAAGATGGATAACTGTCAGATTATTTTGGAAATATCTAAGAAATTCCTGTACATGACACTGTGACATCTTTGTAACATTAAAAGGAAATGAGTAGGCATGTCAACCTTGGATAATGCAAATTGCCCCACTTGAATGCTTTCCTATTTCCTGTCAGTGTACCCATTCTTGGGATGACTGTTGAGCAAAAAGGTGCATTGTGTAGAGGTTGTGCAGGAACATATTGCCAATGTTACGTATTATGAGAGGCCTTGAAGATTTTGATAAACTAAGTTCATCATATTTTCTGAGTGTATATTTTATGAGTACCGGTAGGAAGCAAACATTTCCACCAAATTTATGACAAATATTCGCTGGTGAATTTCCTAAGAATAAGACTTGTTACAACTATGACTCACAGTCACAGACATGTTGGTGACTCACTGGAGACAAACCAACATGTGCAACAAGTGTATTCATGGAACATTATGGCTAAGGTGTGTCAAATGATATAAATAGGCATGTCAACGTCAGTTGTGTATAGTAGCACTGATAAGGCGCAGGCATATTGAAATATTACCTAAACTTGAGACTACAGCTGTTTAAAAGGGATTAAAATGAAAAAGTTTTTTTTTTGGTATGAATAATTAGTATTTTCCGATGAAATTTGTGATGTTTCATTGATTTGGTAATTAAGAATTGTAATATTGCAGTGTCTATGTAATAAGACATTATTTGGTCCAGAAGACCTTGTGTTGACAGATGTATTAGGCAGAGTTAAGTGGATCAGATAAAGAGTCCACAGAAATCCCCAAACTTGTCTGGTCCTGGTCCTTTTGGGTATTGATCTACCTTTTCTTGACCAGATTACTGAGAATGTACTTTGATATTGATAGGTCTTTAGGGATTACTGGCTCTGCTGAAGTGCTGATATGATATCATGCACTGCAAGGTCTGTGTTGTCATACTAAGTCATACTTATCTTAGCACAGTAAGCTATGAAATGTAGTTCCAATTTTGTGAGTCTGACAGTCCTGCTATTTGAAATATGATACATAGGTATTAAGTGTATATTAGAGTTGTATCAATCCCCTGCAGACAGGAAAGAAAATGACATCTTTAAATATGCCTGCTATTGACGGATGATGTTTACAATATTTCATTTGAGAAGTGTTTGCAGTTTAAGATCATTCAATTATATTTGTATCATTCAGCATGTTCAAGTAATAATGATAATTTATTTTATTACGTAACACATGGGCGTATCTTAAATTTGACTTCCTTAAATTTTTTAATGTAAATGTAAACAATATTGACTGAGATTGTTAATACAATATGTGAAATAGATTAACAACATAAGATAAGTCCAGATATACAATTAATACTTTTCACAACCAGACACTGTAATGTTTCGTTTTAAATGCACACACCCCTCTACACAGCTTGTGTGTGTGTGTTTACAGTATACTCAAGAAAATATGGTAATTGTAATATGAGATGAATACACCCACGTACCATTACAGTAGAAGCCCTCTATTAGAGGACGTGTAAATGATCATAAATTAACTAGCTTCTGTCGTGACCAAATTCTAGTGCCGATATTGAGAGCATGCCGGATTGGAGGGCTGCTGGTTTAGAGTCTAAATGTGTGTGTGTGTCATAATGAGCCTTTTTCTGTAAAATATGTTCTTTTCAGAGACTAGTTGTTAGTCTAAGCATTTTTGTTTTTTGTATTTTTCCAGGCTGGTCAAGAATCCTTCCGGTCCATTACAAGATCTTACTACAGAGGTGCAGCTGGTGCATTGTTAGTCTACGACATCACCAGGTATTGAACAGTTTACACTGTTTCCTTGGGGTCGCTGCTGTTGGCATAGATCTATGTCAGTAGTACTCTGATAGATCGCCTTTTATTATTAGTAGGTAGATCTATGTTTGGGTACCAGGATGGACATGCATACTTACAAAGGTCTCAGACTTTCAGTGATTTGGGTACATCTATCGTGTTAGCTGTCATGGATGGCTACAATTAGTTTTGCCATTTTTTAACATTAGGCATGTTAGCAGATTACGTTAACCTGACAATTTGCGATTAGTACTTCAAAAAAAATTAAATTTAAAAGGATTTCAGTGAATGACAAGATTTTCTGTTGAAAATTTTAGTGTTCATTTGGCAACCAAAAACAGGAAATTTAGCCATGATATAATAACGGTAATATTCTTAGAAACATGCACATATCTGTATTTTGGGTGCCCAACTGAACGCAGTATTTGGGTCACTTCTTGTGATAAATGTTTTAGACAGTATTATATGGTGTTTTGCCCTCTCTTTACAGACGTGATACGTTTAACCACTTGACCACATGGTTGGAAGATGCCAGACAACACTCCAACTCCAATATGGTCATCATGTTGATAGGAAACAAAAGGTAATCAATCTGTTCTGCTTGTTTTAGTAAACTTAAAACGTTTAAAAATAATCAGATTTATTTCAATGCAGCCATTTAAATTATTTCACTCTCTGGGCACATTGTAGATATTCACAGTCGGAAAGCTGGATTGAATCTCTTGATTTTTCCACATCATGTCCACACAAGTTCATACTTAGAATGTTGGGTTCATTATTCCTGTATGTTATAATTGGTCATGTCTGTACATTCCAGTGACCTTGAAGCAAGGCGAGAGGTAAAGAAGGAGGAAGGTGAAGCATTTGCCCGGGAACATGGCCTCATCTTCATGGAAACATCTGCCAAGACAGCTGCCAATGTAGAAGAAGTGAGTGCATTTCACATTACAATTTGTGTAACAGTTGAATTTTAATCTAAATTGTGTATTGATTTTTGAAGATGAAAAATTAATTACAAAGCTTGAGAAATGAAGTTTTAAAAAATATTCTTTAGGCTATGTTTGTTCAGCTCATACAATTCCAATTTGTCTTTTTCAGGCTTTCATCAACACAGCGAAGGAAATCTACCAGAAAATCCAAGATGGTGTCTTCGATATTAATAATGAGGTAATTGTCCTGTAATATTACAATCATGCTATTTCTCTTACAAGACAAAGATCTATGCAAATCAATCCAAGTAGATGTTTTTTCCACTGTTGATTTTTGAAAGTCACCCCTGAAAAGTATCCATGCTGCAGCTGCACGTTTTAATGGTTTGATTAAAGGCACAATTACACACATTTTGGACAATATTTTGGCCTGTATTATATATTGGTGCATACACTCTCAGTTTTGTTTCCTATTGATGCAATAAAAGACTTATCTCTTACGACATGACTGAAATCGATAATTAAAACTTTGCATTCATTCATTCAAACTTTTTAATTTAATATTGTAAACTAAATACATAAAAAAATGGAATAAGTTATATGGTAGCTTCACTGAGGGCTGATAGTTAGTATTATTGAGAGAAATGCATTATTTATTTTTAAAGAAGTGTGGTGTGAAATAATGCCTTTTAATTTGATACATTTCAAATGGACTGAATTATTCACTTGCAGGCAAATGGTATCAAGATTGGCCCCCAGCACTCACCGACCAACCAAAGTATGCCCTCCAGTGGCGGAGGTGGGGGACAGGGAGGTGGATGCTGCTGAGGAGGCTGCAGCACACAACACATGGACAAAGCTGATTGCCGAACGAGTATATTTAAGAAAGGGAGACAACACCCTATCATTGAGTCACCATGGGATGGTTGAATCTTCGATAATTGTAAAATATTTCTGTATGTCTGAGCCTGTAAAATATATATAGACAACTTTCGTGTTATGCATTTCTTTTAAAAGTATAACTTGTTTCATGTTTCATTCTGTCATGAATATAGACTCAGGTGTTGTTAGTGACACCTGGCATGTTACTGTCGTTTTTATTTGTTTTGAAGGACACTGCTTGGTGTTTTCACAAGTTTTTGTAACTCATTTGTAAGTCTTTCATTGCTAACATTGTTTTCTGTACCTCTTTTAGTTCGATGGTTTTATCATCTCCGATCTCTTGAACCTATAAGCAAACATCTTCATGACAATACTGACACGTACTCATCATTGTCATAACATTTCAAATATTAATTAGAATTGATTTGAGAATTCCAAGTTCAAGTATTTTTAACACTTTTGAAATCTTGTTATTTTCATTGACAAAGGGTAGCAGCTCTTGTAATGGCACTGGCAGACTTTCTATAGATATCTGTAACCTAAGAAGATATTATGGTGTTTGTAATACATGCACAAATTGTAATCATGTCATTGTTGTAAGGGCATTCTTCTGAAACAGTTGTCTGTTGAACTAAAACTGGTTGTATTTATTGGAGAAAATCATTCAACATGAGACACACTTTCAACGTCAATTCTGATGGTGGATATCTTTGTACTGTCAGTGTATTTGTCTTTCTTAAATATCTTCAAAGGGGAAAACTTTTTAAAGAGTTGTATCAGTTCTCATGTGCATGCCCTGTATGTTTAAGATTATTTTTCTGCAATGTGGTTGTAACACTCCCAGTGTTGTGACGTCACAGCAATGGAAGTATGTCACTGTAACACTCTTTGTGTATATGCTTTGTCTATTTGCTGTACAGAATGCTTCAAGCATGTAGAATACAATGCATTCCAATATCAGCTGAGCGATCATGGAAGATGTATTTAGAACATGTATACCACAATTTATCAAGTCACCGTCAAGGAACTTTGTCAACTGCTGAGGATGGAAACAAAAGTGTTTTTTCAAATGCAACTGTTCACCTTGGTGTAAATTAATGTTCTATCACCGTTAACTAGTTTCAGTATGTGACATGCACACTGGTGGTAGTACCTCAAGTTTTGGACCTGCTTGATCTATGATGTTAGGATCAAAGTCTCTAACTGAAAGCAACTAACTTTGCAAAGTTTTTAATCATCTTTTTGTTAATGATAGAGATAAATTTATTGACTATTTATTACATGAAATCCTTAACAGTGCTAATATTGATGTGCCAGTGGATACCTTAATCTTCCTAACTGTTCGTTCTCGGCAAGCTTTAAGCCTATGTAAACAAACACTTTGCTCTCAATATGGTCCTCTTCTCTTCAGGCCTTTACTTAACTATTGTCTCATCAAAGGAAGAAATGTGGTTTGTAGAAAATATTTCAAATCTTTGATATTTTGACTTTTTGGGTTATTAGCATGCCATTAAGAATTTCGTATTAGTCCAAACTTTTCTAAGGACTATTAAATAATGTTTAACAAGGGTTGTGAGAATGGTTAAAGATTGCAAGGCCTGAAAGGAAAAACAGTTCCACCTTAACATATATTCTTTGTAGATCTGTAGGAAATGGAGATCACTGCAATATTTATTGTCCTGTATTCCTGTAATTTACTGATAATTATTGTATGTTGACGTTGACTGTGTGATTGCACCGAGACTGACAACATCTGTGAGTAGGCAGGGATGGGAGATAACTCTGTGTCCTCCAAACCTGGTAGGTGGTGCACTATGTTGTGAAGGCAATAAAGGGTGTCCTTGGTGAATTCATTGTTTTGTGTCATCTTTCTTTTATTGAAGTAAGGTTAGTAATATGAACTTGATGGGGTGATATGAACTTACTGGAAAGTATTTTTATGGAACATGTGATGTGAGTTTTGAAGGAGTTTGAGTATTCTACACAATGTTCAGTTTCGTCAAATGATTTATGAACATGATGTGGCTTGTTTAAAGTCATGGAACTGGCATTATGTCTGACATTAATCCAGCCATTTAGCGCCGCCTTCACCAGATAATGTATGTGTTCACCCTGGGCTCTGATGAATGTCAAGGCACATTACCCATGTGGGTTTCACTAAAGTGCTAATCCTCTAAGACCTGCATCACTTCAGATTTTCTTGTCATATCAAGCTCCAGTGTGATATACCTATTACAGGTGTTGTTAAAGCAAACTCACTAATGTGAACACATTGCACTCAGCCAAAGTTGGCCTCATGAGCTAGCCAGAAACCTTTCATCGGGCCTTAGGTTTCTTCTAGGTTTGTTAGCATCATACCTGTGCTTGTGGGTGTTGTTACCCTAGTGGTAAACTGAGACGTGCATCAATTTGGGATATCCTCTCACATTATGGGGGCGGTGGGGTAGCCTAGTGGTTAAGGCGTTCGCTCGTCACGCCGAAGACCCGGGTTCGATTCCCCACATGGGTACAATGTGTTAAGCCCATTTCTGGTGTCCCCCGCCGTGATATTGCTAGAATATTGCTAAAAGCGGCGTAAAACCAAACTCACTCACTCACTCTCACATTATGCTGCAACGCTACGGTATAAGGGGAGCACTGTTGAAACTGTTTAATGCAGCTCAACTGCTCACTCACCAGTGTTGGTGTATTTACCTAACAAAAACTCAACTACAGCAGAATTGTGACTCATCCGAGTAACATAGCAGTATAGTAAAATGAGGTGTCCTGGTAGGCCTGCACACAGAATCTACTTCCTGGCCCTTGTTCTACAAAGTGATCTTGGTCACAGGGGCTTGTAACGCTAAAAACTGCCATCAAAGTATGTACTGTCACTAATGGGGCCTTATCACTATATCCTTTTATATATAGTGATAAGACCCCGTTAGTGACAGTACAGACCTTGATGGCAGTTTTTAGCGTTACAAGCCCCTGTGATCTTGGTGCTATGATGGTTTTAAGGTAATGTTAAAGTATGGCATTACGGTCACCTTAGCATTAAAATGGCCCTGGTGGAACAGGGCCCTGATTTACTCCTTACTGCTGGCTCAAAGTCCAATAGAATTATATGTGCTTAGTACGGGAGATGTCTCTCTAAGACATACAGGCGGGTGTAATCCTTACTTGCCAGAACACTACAACTGGGGCACCTGTGGTGTTGCACATCATTAGTACAGTGGGCTCCAAGGTGGCAGTCCACTTCCTCACCATTTCATATTTCAAGGGCATTTTCCTGATATGTCATCAACAATGTTTCATATTTTCTGTAATTTGAGGAGCTTGGTTGATTGAAGGCTCAGCCCAAACCTGGCTGTCATGTTTGGTTGGATCTTTTATTGGTCCTTGGTAGGGCTGTGCAATATTAACGGTACAGTATCTCGTGATACGATTATCACGATATGGTTCAGATTCTGCAATATATTGGGTCATCCAGAGTTAGCTCCTTTGAATTATCTGCCCTTGTTTTCCATAGCAACAAAATGTGCTCTAAAAGTGCCAAATATTCTAACAAATGTTTTGAGGGTTTAAATGGTTTCATTAGAATATGGAAGAATAAGGAAGGCATAATCTTATGGACAAATTCTACATTTAAATCGATTTTGGTTGATACTTTGTTGCGACATAACTGGAATAATTCAAATATTAAGATGTGGCATATAGCCTAGCAGCTTAAATTAAGTATTAAATCACCATGCAGCTAATGTTACCGAAATGTGACAGGGACATTGTCAACAGTCAACAAAGACTGAGAAGAGAGTTACCATACTTCTTGGAGGATTCTGTTTTTGTCAAACATAAAAGTGCCTGTTTGGAACTGGAATCAATGTTTGGAGTTTTAATATCATGTTTAATTATCTCATTTCATCAAATCATTACCAGTGGACTTGCAACACCTGTAGTGAGTGAGTTTGGTTTTATGCTGTGTTTAGCAATATCACTGGGGGGACACCAGAAATGGGCATCACACATTGTACCCATGTGGGGAATCGAACCCTGATATTGGGCGTGACGAGCCAGTGCTTTAATCACAAGGCTACCCCACCAACACATGTAAAGACGCTTCTTGAAGTAAGACATTTATAGTGACCCCTACTGAGATTTGCAACATGTCTTGATGTCCCCATTGCAGTAAGATACAGTGATTCTTAACAGGATTTGCAAGTTCTACAGAAAGAGACTGACTGCTTTTAAGCAATATTCCAGCAATATCACGGCGGGGGACACCAGAAATGGGCTTCACACATTGTGCCCATATGGGGAAGCGAACCCGGGGCTTCGGCGTGACGAGCCAACGGTTTAACCACTAGGCTACCCCACCGCCCCTACAGAAAGAGATCCCTGATGGAGTACACAACACATAGTGGCCCTTAATGGGATTGTCACCATTCGGAGATTTGTGTTAAAGATCACATATACTCTAGGGGGGTACAAATACATAAATCACTAACTGGCATCGCTATAAATGAAACCCCGTCATTAAAACTACTCACTTCGGTCTTTAATTAACTTAAATCGACCTTTTTGACAACAGTGCACAATTCTCACCCGCGAACGAAATTTCAACCAATCAGAGCGGGGCGTCTCTGTGACGTCATATGAGGAATAGATATGAGGGCCGATGCAGAATTCATCTACATTTCAAGGGGTAAATTATCTTGTTTACAGGATTGTATAAACCTGAAATCGTGACAACTGTTGTGGAAAATGAAAGCTATATGTTCTCACAATCTACTGTCATTTAATTTTGTCTCCTGCTTTGCCTAGTTTCCGAGTTACAACTTGATTTCATAGACGATTCTGTCAAAATCGCTTGGTGTCGTTAGGCCTTATTTGTATAATGACTGATCCAAATTGATCCTATTTCTGTGTTTTTTTTACCTCGATATTTAATCATGTCATGTAAAAATATGTTTGTATTCTCAAAACAGTGTCGGCCCATAATGTTTCACATGCAATACAGCAATTAATACTCCCTTGTTGTAACCCGTGTTAGGTGGTATAAACCTACACATGTTATTTGTCATCATTCACTTGATGGTCAGTTAATGAATTTATAACAGGTATAATTAGTGGTAACACACTTAGATTACCCGACAAAGGTTCCCATTTGGCATTTCTTGTGTCTGGAGTAAATATTCAACATTATAAACATCGATCAAAGGATTAACCGATAACACGCTGATTGATTAATTTACTTTTATCTTACACAGCGGATTTGTCAAAAGGTAGTGTTTATGTATGTAGATTTATTAATCTATACTGAATACACTCTGTCGTGTCGGTGTCTGCGTAAAAAACAACGTCCTTCTTTCAAAGGATTAACCGGCAATACATTGATTGATTGCCCATTATTGGCTAACTAAATTACTGTTTTTAAAGAAAGGCGGACATTATGCAATTAGTTGCCGGGTGTGCTATCTTGGGTGACCAATGAGACTATACACCAATGTGAATTACCTGAAAAGATTTATCACTTTTTCGTATATTAAACTGTTAAAAGACACATCACTTGGAACAGCTGCAGATGAATGGCATATCACTCGTTTTTATGGATATTGATGGATACATTCCTCGAACAAAGTAATAGCCTGACATTGTTCCTATAACTTTAATCTGTTTTAATTTTAATATTTGCATTTTGTTTTTATTCATTTGTCGTAGCATTCAACAGAATCATTGTTTTCGCCGTGAAGTGAAATGAGACAAACAACATACACTAGGGTGTGTGTGAGAATTATGATTCACATTGGCAAACTATAAAATGTCTAGATATTACAGTTCTGTTATAAATTCACTATAAGTATCAGCAGATCGTCTGCTTTTTATTTAGTTTCAAAAATGCATACAAGTATGATAATAAACTAATTAGGATTATAAGACCAAATATAAAGACGTACATTGACTAGTATCTACATACTGGTGAGTGCACGTTAACCACGTGAATGTAGCAAGAAATTTATCGCGCAGTATTGTCACTTCGACCCCCACCTCGCTTCCGTGGAAGAAATCGTTATGTTATAAGTTGTGTCATGCAAAATCCTTTTGGTTATGATTCCAATACATATTTAACTACGAGTAGAAAGTAGTTTTGATTTTCTAACTTGATGAAAACAACCCATAATCCCATTAATTCTAACAGACTTTAGCCCGTCACTTTACGATTTTCAAAAAAGGCGGCGCCCTGTCGCGAACATCCGCCAGTCTGAGGATAAATGCTATTTAGGTTTGTTTTCACGGAGTTACAAAATCAAACTGGTAGTAACTATGTTTTTACTGACCAATAGGATTTTGCATGTAGGGCGGAAATATGTATTGAGAAATTGATACCCGAGTTTCAATGGTCATTTAACAAACTTTCAGCACAGCAGAGGAATGCACCCCTGCTCTCTGATCCGCCTATGTAGCTTATAACATAACAATTTCTCTCGTGGCAGCGAGGTGGGTGTCAACATAATACTACTTACAATATTATTGTTACTTCGACCACAACCTCGCTTCCCAGGAAGAAATCGTTATGTTACAAGTCGTGTCATGGAAAATCTTTATGGTCATCAATCATATACATATTTTACTACAACTTGTAAGTAGTTTTGATTCTTTAACTTCCGTGAAGCGATCTGAACACAAGTAAGATGTCGTTTCACTTTCAGGCTTCCACAACGCTCGCTTCGCACTCACAAACATAACCGATTTAGCACGAACTGCGGGGTCCTGTGGAAATCTGTGCATGGTGACACCATCGCCCGGCCCCTAGGAGCAATTGACGACAAAGCAACGATTCGGCATGTCGTCGTTGATGTCGAGAAGTCA